GTCTGAGCCGTCCGCTCGGGTCCATGTGAAACACCAATGGGGGTGTTCACGACCGCGGGGCTGTCTCGCAGGAGGATTGCACGGGCTCCTCGGTTCAGATTAGCGGGAGTGTGGATCCCCAGATCGAAGGGGTCCGGGGCAGCGGGCGGGTTCGTTGAAGACGAAGCCATCGCCGCGGCTTGCGGCTGCGCAAAGCGCAGATTGAGTCGTTTGTTGTGCACTTGTTAAGGATTTAGGTGTAGACAGGGCCACTTTCTTAACACTTGTATGCCAAGAAAGTATGATGACAAAGGAAGGTGTCCAGAATCTGCATTGGAAATTACGGCTAATGATACCGGGTAACTTCTTCCTTAACTCTGAGAGGTCCAAGTGCAAGCCACATGCAGAAGAAAGGAGACATGATATGATGTCTCTTACGGATACGATGCAACTGTAAGCGAGTCTCTGCAAGGCAACACAGTCACGTAATTCTGGTTAGCCTTATCGAATCTGGGATTAATCAAATTTGGAATAATACATACTGTGAGACCAACCAGACTGAACGTCAGGCAAAAAACTGACCAAATCCCTAGATTCTATTTATAGGCAACTTAATATAAATTGTCTAATGAAAAAAGTTATTTTGCTTAATTTTTAATACTTGATCATCTAATACTGGGTCGAGCTGCTAATTAGTTTAAAACTAACCCTAAACCCTACTATATAAAGGACTATTAAAATCCCGCCTGGTTATCTACTTTTTATCCACGCTGCTACGACCCTAGCGGTTACGTCATAAGTACTCTCGGAATGGCGATGGTGTTCGGGTTGAAGGTGCGATTGGAGGGACGCCCAGAATGATCAATGTCATAGTAGTCACTTTCTCCATTTCGATTGGAAGACCCTGATTGAATTTGGGGCTTACGGACTCTGTGATAGGATTGCCCTTGCGGGCTTATTCTTCGTTCTTTTTCTGTTCTGTTTATTCTTTCCCTTGGCTCTCCTTTCAGTCTCGACTTTTCCTCGAGATCGTCTTTCAATCCCTGTTTGGCAGCCTCATCATAGCTTTCTAGCTCACTCTGATATCTCCAATACAAAGGGAATGTATCTCTCGAGGCAGGTGAAACATCAACTTCACTATCTCCCCTAGAGCCGGCGTGGGTGCGGGGTTGCCGTGTACTGCAACGCTGCTTCAACATAGCGACAAAACCAGGGCCGCCGATAATAGTTTGAGAAAGAAAATGGAGACTCTTTTGTATGAGTTTGAAGGTGACAGTTGACGCGACAATTAGTTTTTCGCGAACGGAGTGAGTATGGAGAATGAAGAGATTATGGCATTGTTTTTGGGGTAGCCAGTACTCAGCCTTGTAGAGTCACGTGTGGAATCTGCAAGTTTATTGTTATGCTCGTTTCAGCTTACGACGCTATAAAATCTATTCTTAGAGAGACCAATCGCCAGTCTAATCCTTCCTAAAACAGTTGCCCCAAATCCCACCATGTTGTGTAGCCCCAAGCTATCTCCTGACGCTTCTCGCTAGGCGTGGAAAGCTTTTAGTCGTCGTTTTTTTAAGCTTCATGTACTTATCGCTTACCTCCGACCTCGAAGAGACTGTTCTAATAGGATATTAGGCTTATATTACTAGGCTATTATTATTTAAAACTGTAAATAAGTCAAGGTCTTACCCTCACCCGTCATGGGCCTAGGGCAGGTTAGTATGGAAGACAAAATATATCTCGCACGCTTCCTCGATATCGAAGCTTTCCTCGGAGTTACTTTTGTCCTAGTTATAAATTGTAAGAATATTAGGTGATACTCGCGATCGACGTCGTGGGAAACTTGTTTCAGCGTTTGCCCAACATTCTCAACACTAAAGCAACACCTCAGCTCTTTCGAGACCAATGCTACCCCGAGGAACATAACTTGAGTCTTTGACTCTAAATGTTTCTGCATCTGGGCTCTTATAAGTGGTGAATAGTTCTGGAGCGAATGATTTTTCTCAACTGCAATTTTCTTGTCTATATCCCCTCTTATGAGATGTTCTGTAATCTGCAGCCTTGGCACATCGTTCTTGAGAAGCGTTCGCGCTGAGGCCTCTCGACCAGCTAGGAGCACTTAAGGTTTTGTGTGATCCTTGAAGAGGTCCAGAAATTGATAGACACCCGTCTGTATCACTGTTCCAGTCCTTGCTAGACTCATCAATGCCGTCGATGGTGCAGTATACCTTCTGGCTGATACCAGATAAAGCAACGTGGATTGCCTCGACAAGGCTCCGCTTATCGATGCCCTTACTTCTGGTCAACAACTTGAACACTTTCTCAAGATCAGTCTCTTTAATACGCCTTGAAATTTGCCACACCAGGGTCCTCAAGAGGTCCTCTAGTTTCCGTTGGTTTTCGTTGCCTGACCAGAACGAAAAGTGCAAGTTGATCTGGCATTGTTCTCCAAGTTTCTGGGCAATGGATTTAATGAGAACCGACTTTCCGCAGGCTTTCATGCCACAAATGCAAAGGGTACGGTTTAGGTAGGAATCTGGTATGGTTGAAGAGCCTTTGACCCAGTCAGGGAGCGTCGAATGCGACCAAATCCATTCGCATGTCCCAGGTGTCTTGTCGGGAATAAGGCTGGCGCTTCAGGGATGCAAATCAGCTCGCAAACGGGCAGTGACAGTTTCATCCAGTATATCTACGAATTATTTAGCTTTATTCATAACGTTTATTCAACAACCTACTTCTCATCACATGCTGTTGAACATCCGTCATGATTAATGTGAGATCTGTTTGAATCCGACTTAGACGAGTCGACCACTCATTGAGTGTTTTTTCGAGGTTAGTCAAGATAAGACAAAACTTCTTAAGAGATCTCCGAGGTACCCTTTTGAGGTTAGAAGGCTGGAGCACAAGCTTGAGAGAGTCTAGCTCTTTCGTACACTGTTCAATGGTTGCCTTATGCTGATCAAATTGCCGTTCATCCCATAAGTGTTATTGACGCCCCTGTTCAAGAATATGTTCGACATTTTGAAGGCTTTAAATCATATTTTGAGCTACTTTCGGTGCGACATCCTTTTTTGATACTTCGCGGACGGCTGTTGTTACTGCCTGGATAATCTGAATAAGACCCGGAACCCCCGCGATGACCGCCAACGACCTCCATGGCCAGCGCTGTCTCTAGGTCACAAGGATATCAAGAGAATAATTTCAAAATAACAAAGTTTGAAGTCGAGCGTCGTGGTGTAGGGAGTAATACTTAACGTTGTGAGAAACAAAATAATTCATACCGAACAATTACAAACATGTTATTGGGGGCTATGCCTATAGTGTACACAGCCCCGCATCTTATGTGTCCAGAGCTGCATAATCGGGCTGCTGACCAGGGCCTCATTGGCGAACATGTATGTCTTGGATGAGTCAGTCTCTTATCATGTTATGTGTACCATGTAATGCATGGTGAGGTACTGAAGGAGCTTGCATCTAAAACGGATGGTGTATTGAAATCTTCTTGGTTAAAGCTAGTTTAGCTAGATACAGGTCGCTTGCAACAATATCTTTCCTTTGCCCGAATGGGCTAGGCCGGAGCTGAGATAACTGCCAGGATGGCGCGTACTCCAGAGGTCATTCGTCACAACTTGTCTCACACAGCCTCAAGGCGGAGTGCGGGGCTGACCGACACTGACTGTGCCGCATCTTGGCAAAGGCTGACAAAACATCTTCATTTGATTCACCTTACCCTTACTCCTCCTCATTCTCATGAGGGTTGGCCTTGAGTAAGATGCACCAGGCTGCCATCACTGCCACTCAATGGAGGTGACATTCGGCGCCGTTGGGGATTTTATCTCCATTGGTGTGCTCATCAAGGATTTTATCGAATTACTCGATGACAGTCGGGGCTCGGCTTGGGAATACAACTCGTTGAGGCAACAACTCATCTTTCTTCGACTGAACTTGGACCTCGCAAAGCGCTCCTACGATGAGTACTACAACGCGCCCCAGTTCCAAGATATTCGGAACACGCTCGAGAGTGTCGTGGATGAGGCTGAGAGAAGACTGGAGGACATTGCAGTTAAGGTGCAAAAATACACAACTCTGTCTCAAGGCTCGACTGAGAGACGGATAAAAAAGGTTGCAAAAAAAGTACAATGGAGTCTTGAGAAGAAGGAGACAGAAAAGTTTTTGTTGGACCTCAATCGTTATACATCCATCATTCAATCACTGCAGTTTGATGCATTTGCGTAAGTATCGCCCATCACAAGCTAGTCCTTTCATCTCATGGCTAACCTGCTTTTTAAGGCGTTTGATGGAACGCAACTTTAATAGTAGCCAGAAAGACCAAAGTGATACCCAAGAACTTGTAAGCAAACTTCAAAAGGACTTTGGAGATCGATTCACTTGCCTTGAAGAAGAGCTGAGAGCTGTTAAAACCACCTCGGCTAATACGCAACAATATCTACTCAACATTAGTATGGTTGTCACTAGGCGACTCGACATAGTCACACAAACAGTCAACTCTCTGGGTCTTGCTGTACTGCGAGGTGTTTCGGGCATGTCTTACCTTGGGACATCCGTCTTGTCTTTATTATCCACCATGCACAACAACATTATAGGTCGTCTCGAGCGCCCTCCGCATATGGGCCCTTATTTTACGTTTGAGGATTATCTAGGTGTTGATTCGATCATATTGATTAATTTTGTGGATTCTTGGAACGCCTTTGAAGGATCTTTACATGGCAAGTTCAAGGGTCGAAAGGGCGGCAGACGAGTGGCCCAGAATCGATTCCTCCTACAGGATCATCAAACCGGAGACGAGATTGATCGAGATGTTCATTGGAGCTTGGCTATCACACCAGGGTCTCGGATCAACATGAGTCTGATTTGTGAAGTTAAGGAGGATGAGGATGAAGCCCAATCCCTAAAGTGCCCGTTTCCATCATGCGGAGCAATGTGTGAAGGAGTTATAGGGACTGTTATTCAATGGTAGGCCCAACCCGATACACTCAGCACGTTCTAACTGTTTGGCTAAAAAGATCGTAGCCCTTCGTGTCAGCAGTTGTTTCGAAAACTACCAGGCATGTCTGACGATGAAGAGCTTCCAGTAGCACCCAATGCTCCTGACTCGGGAATTAATGATCCAAACTTGAAGCCGGGAAGTAACCCATCTAAGCTTGGTCAATCTCGCAAAAGAAAGGGGGCCCCTCTAGACAAAAGAAGAGCGCTACGGGCCAAAAGGAAACCAACAGACGCGCGTAATGCTGGTTCTGACTCGGATGATGCCGACTTGACAGGGATCAGGCGAGTGACTGTACTACCGATATTGCGGCTTGCTATACGACCAACTCCACCAGACTCCGAGACAGAACGAAAGTTCGGAGCTTCAGCACAACACATTGCTTTCGAAGAACAAGAAACGAGTCGCAGCTCAGATAACATCACCGAGAGTGACAGCATTGAAACACCATCGAGGACCATCGAGTCACAACCCTGGGGCAAGAATAAAAGAGTATCGCAGCTACAATCTGAGTCTTATGGAGAACAACTCGGGTTCGGAACTGCCTATGTGAGTGGCATACCGTCCCAAAAGAGTGGCGGCCACAACGGATATCCGGACGACAAGATTCCTGGCCCAGGCGCATATGGCTTTGAGAGCGTGTTGCCGGGTGGTTTCAAATCCAAACACCCTCGACGGAAGTGCGAAAGCACACGTGTCCCGCAAAGACCATCAACATCCCGGGATACGGGATCTGAGGAAAAGAAGAAATCCGTGAAAAAAGACGTGCGAGACGTCCGGAAGGCAACAGAAGCAGATGCAAAGCGCCATAAAATCCCCACTGGATATTCTTTAAAGCACTGGGACCCAGATGAGGAACCAATCTTGCTCCTTGGTAGCGTTTTCGACGCCTTTTCTTTTGGGAAATGGGTTTATGACTGGTCTGTATACGCTCATGGACCTTCGACACCAATATCGGATATGGCGGGAGAATTCTGGCTGCTACTCATTCAGCTGGCTGGCAAAGTGAAGAGAGCGGAGGAGACAGTAGAAAGGGTCAGGTTAGTGGACTCTAAGGACTTGGTAGAGGAATTTATCGAAGCAGGGGAGAGGTTATGGGCGAAACTGGTGTCGCTGCTCAAGAAGTGCGAGGCTCCCATGTTGGAAGCATACAAGCTTAAAGAAAGGAAACGTAAAAACACAGTTCACAAGCAGGGCAACTCAGACGGCAACGACAAGAAGTTTTCACAGGAGGCCAAGAGCGAATCAGATGGTTTGAACAAGGAAACTGAAGAAACGGTAGCGTCTAACGAGGGAGGTAATGTGGAAGAGACGGAAAAGCCGAAGCAAGATGTCGAGAAAAACGCTGGCGTTGTTTTCATTGACACGCTATTTGGCCAAGACAAGGAGTTGAAACGAACTGAGCGGTGGATGCAGAACATGCGAACTTACAACCTGAGATTCGACGCCAATTGCGAGGATATGATAAGAAACCCTAGTAAATATTAACAGGCATTTAACCTTTTGTCATAGTACAACCTTTTAAGATTAAGGATTAAGAAGGCTTAACATTACGTTTAAATGAGATCATGTAATAGTGAAAGTATAAGTTATCTTCTTTTAGTAATTTAATTACAGATTAGTATTACAAGTGATGTCCATGCTATTATCCCATAGAGGTTAAAGTTCAAGTTACAATCTGAGGTAGAAGAGACAATCTAACATATACTAGTCCAGACATAGACTAATTAGAAGGGATAGAGTTAGCATATTAATAAAAGATTTTCATATATTCCAAGCTCATCCTCCTCTATGATCTTTATTCTTAACCCTTTATCTCCACTGTACCAAAGGCTCGATACGTCAGTCCTACTGCACTTTGCTATTTCCAACTCTAGTATAATCATTTAGGAAACACTCAGCTACTGATCTCTGTCTGATCCCTGATTTAGAGCTGGAAGCTCTAGCGTGACGAACCTCGATGCGTTCAGGTAAGTTCCCTCTGCACGCCTGTCCGTGAAGCTGCAGCCTGAGAATTGGTCTCTGGTTAGCATACATCATTAACCACATATGGAGTTAAGCGGCTATGAATAATTGGGATAATGCTTAAACTTAGCTTACTATGTGTTAGCTTCCGCATATTGTTAGTATATTTAAATCTTTAATTCTTAATCAAGAGTAGGTAAAGCATACCCTAACCATATTATACATATACCATAATCATTTTTTCCAAGCACTCAAAACGGTCACTACCGGTTAGGTGCTGGGTATTAAGGTTCTTGTTGCCCTTAACTAATATTCAGGTCAATGATTAAAGATTCACGGCTTTGATAGAACTTGTTTGGCATTTCCAGAAATCGCCTACCCTATCGCAAACATTACTGGCTTATTTCCTTCTGCAGCTAAAGCCAGACGACTTCACCAGCGGCAATTCCGTAGTGGATTGAACCGTAGAACCTGATTGGCGCTGCACCAACAGCTATCGCGAACTTGGTTTAGGTCTCGGGCTCTAGACTCAGTCCTGCAAGGTACGGCCAAAACGGCCCGCTATAATGATCAATAGTTGTCAATAGTGACAGCTCGCTAACCCAAATTTTGATCATGGGCCCTGAAAACAGTAAATCTCGACCGTGATGCTGTCAATAGTTTCGCAAAGCTGAGTCGAGTAAAGACTTGGCGGAACAAGGGGTCCATACATAATAAACCAGCATCGCACGATTTTGTTTTGCAGAGGTAAGCTCTCATTCACTCGTTTTTTGACCAATTTTGTGGTCGCTTTTACTGAGCTTGTTTCAATATGCAGTCTATACTTGCTCTCGCGGGCCTGGCCCTGGCTAACTTGGCCACTGCCGGTCCTTGTAAGCCCAGTGGTCCAACGCCGGCATCTAGTCTGGCACTTACATCCTCCGTCCGGACCGACATCTCCGAAACATCCGAGATCCCCAGCTTGACCGTTCCCCAATCGACAACTACAACTCAAGACGTCGATGTCATCATCACCAACGCCATTGACGGAGGTAGCTTCGCCGCTCGTAATGCGAATAACCCGCCCAGTGGACTCACAAATTTCGGCGCGTCCGGAAATGCTGAGTTCCATCAAGGTGGATGTTACAAGGCCGATGGTAGTCCAGATGATGGTTGCGCTGCGTTGACTGCTTCTGGAAACCCAGCTGGAAAGCGAGACACTGGATCGTTTGCTAGTATCTGGCAGACTCTCAACTCGCTGAGCACTGGCTCTCAGAGGAAGTACACCGTTCAATTCTACTACCTCGTCGCTTCGGCTGGTAGCCAGGATTGTACCGTCACTGCAGCTCTGGGCAACAAGCAGTTCTACTCGCAGTCTCTTTCCTCTGTCGGAACTAGCGTGTCTTGGACTCATGTTCTTGAGCAGGTTGACGCTGAATCTGCTTCTGCCACTTTTGCCATCTCCATGACTTGTTCTGGCAACGGCATCTCCGTTATCTTGGTCGACTCAATTTTCATCTCCAATCAAGTCACCCCAGCCAACATTGGCAACTTTGTCCTCGACTTTGGCGTGCCCACTACAAACCCTGCTACGACATCCGAGTCTCTGCCAACATCTACCGAGCGAACCATCGAGCCCGAGACGACCTCGGCCAGTTCCTCATCGGAGGTCTTTACTGAGAGAACCATGCCCGGGACCACCTCCACCTCTTCCCCCAACACCGACACTACACGTCCCGCTCAGCCCACTGAAACTGCCTGCAAACCAACATGCGACCTCCGCGACGGCTTTGACAACAACCCCGCGTGGAATTGCAGAGTCTACGGTCTCTACAGCGGTTTGACATACCAGCTCCCCAACCAAGACGACGACGAGACACGACCTTGGTACGACGGCGCCGAAGACTGTGCCGAGATCTGTAAGACGCTGCCTGGTTGCAAATCAGCGGGCTACATGTTTGCGCCAAGAAAGTGCTTTTTCTCAAACAATGTTGTTACGCGCTCTGAGGTTCGGGATATGATGGATGATGGTATTGATGTTGATTGGTATGCAATGGATTGTTTCACATGCTCTGCTTGTGAGCATGGATCTGCAGAAACAACTATTGCTGAGGTTTCTTCTACGCCTGTTAACACTGATACTACCATCGCCCCCAAGCCAACAACCTTTACTACCAGAACATCTGAGAGCCCGGCAACTACGACATCACCAGCTGATGTCTGCATCTACAACCGCGGTCAAGAATGCGAGTTCAACCGCTTCAAAGACCACAGCGACACCCTCTGCATCTGGGCCGCCCTCTTCACCGGCACGACATGGAAAGAGTCTCGCGCAGATTATCCTTACCAAGATGATGTTTACCAATGCGCTGCTATCTGCCAGACTCTGAAGAACTGTGAATCCTCTGGCTACTACCAGACCGAGAACCGCTGCCTCTTCACCTCCAAGAAAATCCAGCAATCCGACATGGTGTCACATGAAGATCGGCCTGGGGATCACTCCGTCTGGAGCCACAACTCCTGCTGGACATGCCCAACTTGCTCTGAGACCGCCACTCTCCCCACCACGAAATACTGCTCGTACGAACAAGGCGATAGCTGTCGCGCTGTATCTGGCAAACCGGGTGCTTTGTGCAACTACCAGGGCTTCTGGGAGGCGTACAACCAGTGGGACCTTGCGACGTATCCTGATCAGAGCTCACCCGAGAAGTGTGCGGCTATTTGTATGGCGCTGGATTACTGTGTTGGGTCTGGGTATAAGGATGATAGGTGTATGTTTTCGTTCAGGGAGCTTAAGGTGGCGGACTTCAGAGACTGGCCTGATCACTCGAGGGATGGGACGTGGAGTGATAACTCTTGCTTTGAGTGCCCTGGCTGTACCGCCTAACGTTCGCAGGAGTAGCAAGTATTCTTCACCGTATAATAATTATTTAATTCCTTCTCCACGCCATCTTAGCTTATTTCGCAGTGACAGTGTAGACACCCTTATGCTTAAACGTTGCCATGTTCTTACAAGGTTGTTCATTGTACGTTGGTCCTTCCTCTTATATATGGAGAGCAGTCATTCAGCATTATTGTACTCTCTAGAAGTCTTCGTCGGCGTCTCACCACGTCTCAACTGAGCGAAACTACTAGCAAAAGCACGACAGAAGCCTCGCCACGCGATCTGAGATACCAACGTCCTCTCCAAATCTCGAAGGAAACGCACGCAATGGTCAGAGCCATCCAGTATTCCAACGCCGGTCAAGTGAACGACGTCATCACCGCCATTCTCAATCCATCTTTCAATGGCTTTTCTGTCTTGCAATTGATCAAGGCGTGTAATCATCGGACGCGTGGGGGACGGCACCAACAATGCGCGTGTTTCGCTGTAGCAGTATATATAGCCCATCGCCACCGTAAGACTGAGGGCGTCATAACACGCAAGTCGACGTGAACTCCGCGTTGTTTTGAAGATGCAGGTAGCATGCCATAGACCCTTGCGCGCCTTCAAACCACTATTCTTAAAGAAGTCGTTTAGGTACAGTTTGGACTTCATCATCTGCTCTTTGTTCGTCTCCCAGCCTGTAGCAGAGTGTAAAGTCTCAAGCGGAATCAACCTCAGGATTGCAATGACATGTAAAAGTGTGTCTGTACACTCTCCAGGGCCCAACAAGCTTTTCAAGGTCAATTGATCGATCGTCGTGTCCAGAAGCACACTTTCGCTCCTACTGGTGTCAGGTCTGTGACGCGAAGGGTTCGGCACGTGTTGAGTATCACTATTTGTTGAAGAGCTCAGGTATGAGGCAAATGACGACTGCAAGAGTTGGGAATTGCGCAGTTGGCGGTAGTAATTCCTGTCGTCGATGTATAGTTCGAGAGGAATAACCTTGGCGGCAAACGTATCTAGCTTAGGTTGGCGTCCTGGAAAAAATGATCAGCCATGTAATGTACCCTACTGCCAGTGACAATTAGGATACCTGTAGAGGAGTTTTCTTGTCGTAATTTCCACTCTGAAGCATCCCGAGGCCGCCATAGCCTTTCAGGACACGGCAGGTGTCGCGTCGCCTCACGGAGGTTGAACACCAGCGGTGTACCTAGAAAGATATGGCTCAAACACTCCAACACACGTACACAAGTGACTAGACGTAGTTCACTCTCCTCAGCGATCCAAGCTTGCCATGCTGCTTCGTTGTCAAGCTCACCCTGACTCGAGTGTCTGCGTTTGTCAGCCTTGCCAATGAGGTCCCAGCACATCGTCGCTAGGCTACTTCGCCTATGCTGCAGAACGATCTTGTCGCTGTGCGAGCCTGAGAATAGCCACAGAACATGTAAGAGAAAGACACACTGTACTGCTGTTACGTCGACATTCCATATGTCATCATGTACCTGAGGCTTGAGGGTTAGATACCACATAATACAATGCTTGGCCATCTGTGACTCTACTTACAGTGAGTTCAACAGCTCGGGCTAGTAGGTCAGATAACGCAGAGTTATACTCACCTGCGCCTTGAATCTCAGAATAATGGCTTCCGACCGCTGCAACGGCTAATAACATAACCCATGGGAGATCTGGGTCCTCCAAGCGAGATGGATGAAGAAAAGGGAACTGGGAATCGAAGTACTCAAAGTATAGTTCTACGAAGGTGTGGAGGATGTCTTCAGGAATTACTAGTAGAGTTGAGTCTCTTTGCTGCGTCTTGTAGAAGTTGTTCAAGCCCTCTACGGCCTGTCTAGGTAGCTCATGGATATGCCCAAAGACTTCGGCCTTAGCCATTTGCAAACTCATGGCTTGCGGCTCTGGGAATGAACGGCATGGCAGCGTATAAGAAGAGCATATATGTTCAGGACTTAAATAAGTCTTGGTAGAAGCCGAGCCAGTTGCAGTCTGTTGAACCGAGGCTGCGTGATGTGCTGCGTCTTCAGGAGGATGTGCCATATCCGGTAGCTCAAGTGGCATCTCCAATTCGTCCATGAACCAGGGAAAAGGGAAATGAGCCATCACAGGATTCCAAGACATCCATGGAATATTTGATATGGCATCAAGACTGCCAATATCCGCGCCGAAAGGAAAAGCATCGGGCAAGGTTGGAAGATAAGCCCAGCTGGAAGAAGCATCTGGGACTGTTGTGTATATGGTGCTTGATGCTATCGTCGGCATTCCACTAGTATCAGAGGGAATAGAAGGAGGATTGTCCCATACTTCTGAAGCGACATGAAGGTCACCAGGTATAAAAGCTTCCTCCTGGAAGTCTGCGCCTTGAGCTGTGAGGGGCGATGAAGCAGCGATGTCTTGGCCTTGGGATGACTCTCCAACGATTATAGTATCACTATCATCTTGCCGTGCACTAGATACCCTATCAGGATAAATGCACTCTGAATTGCGAGTCTCACATCGCGAACAAGGATGGCCTCCATCACAGCTCTGCTTCACCCTTGAACAGGGTGCACAAGCTTGACCACGGCGGCGACGGCGAGTTTTGGACGTGCCAGGTTGACTATCATGCAAGGCTCGATGACGAGTAAGGGTGTCACTATATTAGGTCAGCAAGATCACCGCGTCCGTGAGCGCAGTCAGTGACTGACTTGCGAGAGAACGACTTGGAGCAGACGTTGCACTGAAACGGCTTGAGGCCCGTGTGTCGTAGGACGTGTCGATCGCGGTGCTCACGGCGTTGGAACGTCTCCCCACAATGGCCACAGGATAATGGATTCGGCTCCATGACTTAGTACTCCGATGCGGTACAAATTGGTGCAAGGTTTCGTAAACGAGTAAAAGATGTGTGAGAAGCGGCGGGACTGGTTATTTGACGATGGTGGGGTGCTAACGACGTTTGGATGCGTGCTATTTACCCCGCCGGCCCCGCCTCCTCCAGGGTAAGAACTCACGGAACAACGGACTCTTGCTATTAAATAAATCGGTAAAGGGTTTTCAGCTTAAGAGATGATATTTCTCTAGCTGCTAGCGGCTGAGTTTCATGTCAGAACAGCATAACTTAGCTTTGACTTCTCAATAACCTAACGGCGGTGAAGCCCTCTATGCGTAAGCATCAAAGCCCACTTCACGAACAAAGATCCCAGTTGTCGTCGACCTGATCAAAATTGAAATGGAAGATTCTACCCTTGAATGGTTCGGTATGTTTATCTCCATTTCTCTAAACATGCTCTGTCATTGAACCAATAGGTGCCACGACATTCCGCCTTCGAACAAGAGGCGTCACCGTCTTCCTAGATACTTGGCTCGACAGACCTTCCGTACTGAAGACTTATGTCCCAGTTGACGAAGTAAAAGAGGTCGACTATATCTTTATCTCACATGCTCATTTCGACCAGTAAGTTCTATAACTCTCACGAAGAGGCTTCCCTAATCTGGAGGAAAAGCCTCCCCGGCGCAGATCGCATCGCCATCAGGACCGGCGCCATCGTCATAGCCAATAACGAAGCGATCAACCTCCTGAGAGAAGCCGGCGTTCCAGAACACCAACTCCTGCCTGTTCAAGGCGGCGAGCGAATTCCATTATTCACTCGCGAGACCTGGAATAAAGCCAATGCCAACCCATCCTTGTTCTGTCCCGGTCCTCCTGGAGCACCTCGACGTCCACTGGATAAACTTGCAGCATTCTCAGTTGATGTTTGGCCTTCACTACACTGCATGATGCCTACAGATCACCCTGAAGTTATCGACACAGCGACTGTATACAAAGGCTCAGCGAGTCCCTATAGCTGTACTCTCGATATCACAATCGGCATGAAATACGGTTTGCTCAAGATCGGAGAGCTCATGCCGCCGGAGAAACTAACACCTGGCCATCGCTCCTTTATCGAGTATGTCGGCGACCGAAAGCAAAACCTCTTTTCACACAGTGATGGTGGGCAATTGATGTTCAACTTTGTCATTGGTGAGAAAGCATTGCTTTGGAGTGCACATCTAGGAGGTTATGAGGGTATTCTGCGAGACTTACAGCCAAAGCCTGATATTGCGATAATGGCTATTGCTGGAAGGGCGAATCTCAATGGTAGGCCCTTTGATGGTTCTGCGGCTGAGTTTGCAGCTATGACGGTTGGTTGGTTGGGGAATCCGTCTCAGGTGATCTGGTGTTTACATGATGAAGCGTACGCAACCTTGGCCGAGTAAAGCTGGAATGGAAGATTCTGACATATTACAGATGTATCCCCCCTTGGAGGATCAAGACTGAAGCGGCTACAAAGGCTGTCGAGGAGAATGGCAAGACAAAGGTTTTGACGATGGATTTTGCGCAGCCGGTCACGCTGGACATATAGCTTACCATTGGTGCTGGGCGTCTCATAGAACTTAATGCTACGTTTCAATCTTCGGAACTAATTTAATGCAGTAGGGCAGCTTGCATACATAACTGTACTAGCATTTCTCGTGACTCCTTCGTATAATGGAGATTATAGGGTCCTACCATACCTTCACCATCCATCACATAGCGCAAATAACAGATATTTCATAGTTCTCCAATACAGCGAACATGGATCTTTTCTTATGCTGCTATCCATTTTAAGTCATCTACTTCTCGCGAGAAAGGTCGATCCTGCTACCATATAGAATGCTAATCTCATATCTTGCAGAATGATCTCACAGAAGCAAAACGCCCGATCCTCCGCCACCAGCATGAGGCCATAAATTGCCAAGTATCTGAGGTGGTTTAGTTGACTTCTCTTCTCCTCTCAGACTAGGTCTCAACGAGGTTTGCATTATCCCCCGCGCGGCCCCGTCGGCTACATGTCAGACCTCGACTCTTTCACCGTGGGGAACTATCTTGAGCCGGTGCACCTCCGCTGGCTACTAGCTTATAGCATTACTTCACTTCGTTCTTAGCTGCTATTGCCGCTGCAAAGTTGGTCTATAATCTGCTTCTATCGGCTCGGTACGGGTCCAGACTCCGCGATTCCGATTTTCTATGACTACCTCAACACAAAATCTTAGCAACCAGGTATTGCTTCGACACCATTGTGAATTCATCGTCCCTCAATAAACTCATCCCAAGTCTACCAAAGCACTAAATCCCCATGGCCCAAACTGAGAGCTCACTCTCGAATGACACAAGCTCTATCAGACAAGATGTCGACATCGAGACATCCGAAAAGGGTCCCCAGGTTGAGGCACTACCAGAATCACCAGCGACATCTCCGGCGAGCGAGACCGAATATCCCGAAGGCGGCAGGGAAGCATGGCTCGTCGTTGTCGGAGGCTGGTTTGGTCTCTTCTGTACCTTCGGCCTAGTAACATGCGTCGGCGTATTTCTTGAATACTACCAGACCGGCCCTTTGGCACTTTACAGCCCAAGCACAATCAGTTGGATCACGAGTTTGCAAGTTTTCTTCCAGGTCGGCGGTTCGGCTGTTGTAAGTCGCCCCCTCAACACCGTCAACAGTTCAGAATATGAAACTAACAGCGCGGCCCGCAGTGGGGTCGTGTCTATGATTCATACGGCCCTCGATGGCTTCTTCTCATCGGCGCTCCAGTATACGTCTTTGGCATAATGATGCTCTCTTTATCCACGCAATACTACCAGATCCTCCTCTCGCAAGCTCTACTAAGCTCAATGGGCTCAGGTGCCGTCTTCACCGCTTCTCTTACCTCGACAACATCATGGTTCAGAAAGAAACGCGGTACTGTCTTTGGTATCGTCAACTCTGGATCTTCCGCCGGTGGTATAGTACTTCCAATTATGCTATCTCGCTTGTTCAAGATCATCGGTTTCGGATGGACATTGAGAGTGGTGGGATTTATGTTCTTGGCTTTCATGGCGATTTCGTGCGTGTTGATCAAGTCGCGGACGCCACCGAAACCTCGTCCTTTCGCGTTATCAGATTATCAAAGGTGTTTCAAAGAGCCAGTCATGCTTTTGACAATGCTTGGTGGCTTTCTATTCTTTTGGGGAATGTTTCTACCTTTGAACTACATTATCATCCAGGCTAAGGCAAGCGGCGTTTCTTCAGATCTTGTTCCTTACCTTCTCCCTCTTATCAACGGTATCAGCCTCATTGGTCGCTTGACAGCAGGTGCACTAGCAGATCTCATCGGTCAGTTCAACTGCATGTTGATAATCACCGCATTCACAGGCATCTTGACGCTAGTGCTCTGGATCCCGGGCAGTCAAAGCACGGGGGCTATCATGGCATATGCCGTTGCTTTCGGGTACGGCTCAGGTGGCTACGTGTCCATCTTCCCTGGCTGTGTTGGTCAGATCAGCCCGATTGAAGAAATCGGTACAAGGATTGGACTCGCGTCACTTGTCAATGCGTTTGGGGCTTTGACGGGAAGTCCGCTTGGTGGTGCGTTAATCTCGGATAAGAGTGGAGGAGGGAATAGCTTCATGGGCTTGCAGTTGTTTTGTGGTTGTACAATGATTGCTTCAGTATTTGCGTATGGGACTGCACGATATTTGCAGGCGGGTTTCAAATGGGCAAGGGTTTAGGATCTTGTAGTGAAAGGCGTCCCAATGTCTCTATGGCTTTTTCATAGTTCAGATGTATGACCCCTCGTAGAGAAAAATACGGATATTACTATCGGTGTGTTACATCATTTAGAACCTTACAGCCCCATACTCCTAGCATAAAGCTTTTCAGCTATTCTTTGTACAACGAGGTAAGGCTATGTATGAGATGGGGCGGCTAATTTTCCATGTCAATTCTTTGCATACTATTACTGCGCCCTAATACCTCTTGCCACTTCTCTTAATAGATGCGTTATTTCCAATCAAGACACGTGGCTGAGAGCTTGTAGTCGCCATATAGAACGAGTCACTTCTCTTCAAATCGAGCTGTTATATTATCCAGTTCTTGGTTATGCAGACGCACAGGCATGTATAACAGGGTGCTGGCTGCATACCTTCAATCCCAGCCAATTACAAAGCTTCAGGCCGTAACTACCCGAGCGCCAGGCTTGCAGCCAGCGTTCAGTGGCATAACTAGCGCAAATCCCTCTCTGCGTCAGAGTGTTTTGAGCTGAAAAATCACTCACCCGTTCAATTCTGTTCATCCTTCCGGCGGTATAATGGCACAAACGAAGGCTTTGGAAGGGTCCAATGTGCGCAGGAGTCGGGTAACTTGCTTATTGGTCTGCAAAGTGTCCGAGGGAAACTAACTGGAATTTAGCTGGCGCCGTTCTCCATACAGCTCTTGAAATACCACCAGAATCCAGACCATGAGAACAGCCCACTCTTGAGTCTTTTTCCTGCATCTTATTGCAGCGATTCTTATGACTTGGTTTCGCCCGATGGTCATCTTGCTACCTGTATTATGAAAGAGCTTGATATTGAACGCCTAAGCAGAATACAACGATGGTTATGGATTGCGGGAAGTCCCGTGCCCGCCAGACCACTCCACAGCCAGATCTGGAAAGACCGAGAAATTGTCATCACGGAGGATATGGATATGCATCTTGTATGGACGACAGGCAAGATATTTATCAAACCGCTTCCACGCTTCTTATTAGAGCCTGCCGTCTGGACTGACTTCCTCTGCTGTTCAGAGAATTGTGATTGCTCGACTGGTGCGGATGGGGAGATGCAGGATTGTGAGCAGCGGAAACTTCACAAAGTAGCGTTGGGGTTTTTGTATTCCTATGCCGCTTTGATTCGACATGAAAGTGACTTACTGCTAGCGAAGGAGAGGTATCTCCTCCCTAATGACGACATTCGCTGGTCCGATTGGACAACTTTCATACGACAGCTGGACACTGAGCATATCTATCCCGACATCAACCCACGATTCTACCATAAGGAGTTACAACTAAGTCGACTGGATTATATCTACTACTTTATTCAAGGCAACCCAGCAGGCTTTGCACGCCGTTGGCACCGATCTTCAACATTTCTCAAGGCAAATCTTGGATGGATTACTGCGACGACTGTATACATAGTTGTCGTGCTCACATCTATGCAGGTTGGGCTCGCCACCGAGGCTCTCGGTCGTGACCACGCTTTTCAATCAGCGTCGTATGGTCTTACTATATTCTCAATTCTTGGGCCCTTGATCTGTGCTGGGCTCGTCGTTGTTTTATCGGTGTGTATTTTGGTATATGACGCGTCGCAGATACTTGTGAAAGTGAATAGACGGCTGGATCATTTCGGCGGCCAGCCAGGCCATGGTAGGAATTAAGATGAATAGTTACTAGCTTTCTATAGAAATATGGACTTGTTAGCTTATACTGAGGTCTGCATCTCTCTTAATCGCTAGCCACTACTTCTTGTTGTGAACTTGCTAGTATAAAAGCTAAGAATATGCATAATGGTATTTATCCATCAAGGAAGCTCGGGGGCATCATCCTTGGGTTCCCAGCCAAACATCCTAAGACAGCTCACGAAACCACCAACTACGAAAAGCATCACTCGTAGACCAATAATTATCCCTCTACCAATCAAACTATCCAAATCCGGTAACTATTACATCGTCAGCTCTAATCATTACGCTACGAAGAAGGGATTCATACCTGTTGATTGCTGCTCTTATTGACCCATTCAAAAGCCCTTGGCATCATGGCTTTCTCATACACCGCCAACTGGTCACCAACCTGCTCATCGGTCACACTACCATACATGTTCTTCAGTTTGGCAAGTTCCAGTAATGGACCAAGTGCATCAGCTGTATCGTGGATCGCATTATTCGCGCCCATTCCTCTAGACGGAAGCATTGGATGGATAGAATCTCCAATGAGCCAGACGCGCGGATTGGCAATGCTTGTATCTGACTTTTTCTCGTTCGTAGACAGAAGTTGCTGTCTCCAATCAACAGGCGTGTCGTTTCTTGCGTATCTCCAAGGTGTCGTCATGATTGCTTCTTCGTCAACAGCATCAACCAGCTTGTGAAAGTCTAGATGGAAGCCAGCCTCGTCGAGCTTCTTTTTCATCAAACCCTTCTTGTCTTCGACTTGAGGTAGCTCTGCGGCTTCAGGCCCTGTAGTCCATGCCATGCCGAGAAATAGGGAGGCTTCATCCTCGTCGTAGTTTTTGGGTTTGAAGTTATCTGAGCCATCTGAATTTGCTGTCTTTTTGGTAGATGATAGGCATTCCGGTAGATACACAGCGGCAAATACTTTGGCCTTGGAGTTGCCGGTGTATATGGTTCCTTTTTCTAGAAGCTGTCTCGGCAAAATCTGTAGTACAGACCACGGTAAATGGCATTTTCCTAAGTAACCACCGTGTCCAGGCGTCACCTCGGTGATGATGTTGTTCAGTCCAATCTGTTTGTTAATACGACTTCCGCTTCCTTCGGCAGATATGAGGACATCGCAGTCGTGGTGGGTATCGCCGCTGAAGTGAACCCTGATGCTGCTTTGTCCAGCTACCCCTCCTTGAAGTACTTCATACCTAACAAACTTCTTGCCAAACCGAATAACATCCCTCTCCTGAAGTGGCATCTGAAGAAAGTTCCGAAGTCGTGTTCGTGCGATCGGGGCACTCTTCTCATACACAGGAGCTTTACTCAAGTCAATCAGGACCTTCAAGTCAGAAGGACTGAATATGCAAGGTGCTGATGAAACAACGCCCCCCGATTTGCCGAAGCAGGGCAGTAGGGCATGATATTGATCTTTTGTCAAACAGGCTTTGAACCCGATGAGCGCGTGAGCGCCAAGGCGGATTTGGTAGCCTCCCCGTTCTGAACCAGCTTCGTCACGTTCGAAGACGGTAACGTCGATTTGACCGTCGGCTTTGTTGATGAGACCATTTGCTAGACATGCGCCGGCGAGGCCACCGCCGACTATGATGACTTTGAGAGGAGCCATTGAGGAACTACCGGTCTGATGCTGTTGTTCGTCAAGTGAGATGTTCGTGGGAGTAACAATGGTCTAGGTATCCGTCAAGTTGTATCAAGGTGCAGCTTATATGAACATTTGCAAAGTTAACGAATTGAGAATTGCTTAGAAAGAAGAGGAATTCTAATAGGTGATCAGAGTTATCCAAGCATATTCGTGCTCAAGCCAAGACCGTATTATTGGATCTCCCCTACAGTATCCGTCTTCCGCAACACGATGCCGTCGGAGCGGCCCCGCCATTACAATTGTCTGTCCAAATTCGGTTAGTACTCCGCCGGTCCCGTCGGCCTTTTTATCAAGGCAATTGAAGGGTGTATTATAGGTGGTATCGCGGTTTCTTTGGTGTTCCGGTCACAGTAATTCGTCATCACAAATATCCACTAAGAGCTTAGTGGCTAACTCGATGTTATTTCAGGGACGCACCGCACTATCTACCTGGGACCTACGCCTGCCTCACGTAAGACCCAAGCTAGTAATAGATCTTCATATGCTGATGTTTTCTAGGGCTAACGGTCTTATTCTTATCACGATCACGGTACTTGTCCTCTACTATGTAAGACAGAACGCCCCGACGGAGGAGGGCAAGACTATCTTTACGTACACTAGCATGATTACCTCCACCAAGCACAACATGCAACTCATCTACTCAGTACTGTTTTCCCATCGCTTATTCCGGCGTAGGGTTGCTATCAATCCTGACTCGATCGGTTACAAAGAGTGGTGAATTGGGTGTAGACATGTTTCTCCAATAAAATATATTGTCTTCGTAGCAAAAATACGACAACTTTCACCTGCACTGACCCATGTCGGCCAGGGGAGTTGTTATATTCGGTCGCCGTAAATTAGTTCTTGCTGAAGTCCCAGCTTGCGTTATAAGACTTTTGAAGTGCAACTAGATCAACGTCGTGCTTTTGTCGCCGGCCTCCCTTGCCAAAATGCTGAGCGTTAATCTGGAGCAAAAGCCTCGAGGTCGAACCCTCTTCTATCTCTGCCAACTCTGGAAAAGCTTCGTCAAACTTGGCAGTGATTTCTTCTGGCGTAAAGGTATCCCTCGGTTTCGACTCGATCTCCTTCTGAAAGAAGCGAACGTACGCTCGTGTGTGGTCCGTATCCTTACTTCCATTGAAACCTTCTTGGTCACTGAGTGCATGTCCTGGAATAATTCTCTCTGCACTGAGAGAGTCGATTAGTCGCAAAGAGTCGAGCCATGCTTCCGTCATTGACGGGTCATCAAGATCAGCGAGCCACATATGCATTCCATGGCCGTATACGACATCGCCGGCAATCAATGTTTTGATGGAGGGGATCCAGAACATGGTCTGCTCAGGGCTGTCTCCGTTGACAGGCCCAAGAAGATGGACAATATCGTCCCCCGGAAGCGAAAAGAAGGTCGACGGGAAAGCCTTGGGGATTCTAGGCGAGTTGGCAATGTTTTCACCACCTAGTGCCGACTTCCAGAATGCAGTCTATTTCTATGTTAGCTAGTCAATTGTTTGGTCTGAGCAATTACACACTTTGCCCTCGATGATGTCATTGATCAAAGCCACTGTCTTCTCGGCAGCATATAAGTCGGCTTCAGGAAAGCTCTCCAAGATAATGTGAGCAGCGAGATAGTGATCTGGATGGAAATGTGTGGCAAATATCGCCACTAATGGCACACTGGCGTTGGAGCGGATCCACGGGACAAGCTCTTTTGCTTGAGGAATAGTCAAGGGTACATCAACGAGTACAGCTGCTTGACTACCCACAATCAAAGACGATACCATATCTTGAGCAATGCCATGGCTGATGCGGGTTTCGACTCGAAGCCGTGTAGGCGCCATTGTTTGCTTATCCGAATTGTACTGTTATGATGTGTAAAGAGGCTAGGTGAAACCGTCGAAACTACCCCGTACGTTGTGAGAAAAATGCATCTTCCCCATCTATCCCACTCGGTTGTCTTGAATTGTCTTAGTCAGAAACCTTGTGAACGGACCAGCTGACCAAAAATGTTCGCGTCTCAACATTGAGGTGCCAGAGGAGATCATCACAAACATCGCAAGCAGTAACAATACACCCCTAACTGATGAAGCTGGCGATAGATGATAATTCTACTTTTGTGAGCCTGATAGCTTTCAAAAACCATATGGCAGAGGGTATCTGCGATCGCTTGTAACGCCCGGTCATACACTTTCTCTTCACCCTGCACGCCGGCCCTATATTCAATTTCAGCCTCTTGTTAATCGGCGACTAGGTCTCTGAGACTGGTGCACTAGTGTGCTCCAGGTTGAGGAGCGGAAAGGCGCGTTCTTACCCAAAGACAGGCTTTATGTTCCTCGCTCTGCAATGCGCCACAGCATCTCGTCATACTGAAGCGGGGTTGCGGCGTTTTGCAAAATTGGAACAAAACTCTAGTCCCTTACCAACTAACTCACGGTTTATACCCTGCCCCATTTGTACACAAACATGCTCTACTTGTTCTTTTGCAATTCCTCAAAGCTCTAGTAGTTATCGACGTGTAAATTCCAATGCTTGTGAGCCACAACAGTAGTGGACAGTCCCCGAGGCGCAAACGCTCTGTAATTTCGTGCAGGGAGTGTCAGCGACGTAAACAAAAGGTATTTGCACCTGCATTTAACAAGGCACCCCAGACTAACCTTGTACTGCAGTGCGACCGTCGCCAGCCATGTGCTCATTGTATGAAACGAGGTAAAGCAGTAAGCGTGTTCGTCTCCCTAGGGACATGCCATTCGCTGAGGAAACAAGACGTCTGCCTCTATGATTTGGATGCCAACCGCGCACCCTCTACTTTCCTCCCTGTCGAGCTCCAGGACCAATCCATGAACGGCGTCTTGCAAGCATGCCCAGAACCAATTCCACCCGCCTCGGGCGTTGTACCCGATGAGTTCAAACCATTGGGTTATTGCGACAATACAAAGGGAACACCAGGAGTCCTCCGTAGTCTGGGGGAGTCTGCAAGTCTTTTGCATCAAGTCCCGCCTAGGGACTGTCCTGCCCCTGGTGGATACATGAGCATAATTCGAGAACTTCCGTCTCCAGACACATAGACATTCTCGTGCAAGACTTCCTTAAAAATGTAGCATGGCATTACGATATCGTCGACGAAGCTACCTTCATCAATCAACTTGCTCAATGGGGCCGCCTGACTCATGATCAATTCAAGGGAGGACCAGACGCCTTACCGGCCACCCTCATCTATAATGATGGATTCCGTTCTTTTCACGCGATTTGCTGATAGGCTATCACTTAATCGCAAATGGATTGAGACGGCGCAGTTCTCTGCTGTCGACGCCGAAATGTGTCTCGCCATGGCTTTATGCTCTGACATAGAACGCTTGAAGATACAAATCTCAGACGATCGAATTATGGGTAAATCAATGCATTTCGAACTCTTGTATACCCTCCTGGATAAATTCAAACATGAGAAAATCCTCCCGAACCTTCGACATGTTGATATCGACAAATCTGAATGCTTCAAGTTCAGCCTCTGTGATCCAGAGCCAATCCTTCTTATGCGTGCTGCACCTCGTCTTGAGACACTGATCCTCCGAGGTCCTGGGGGCGAGACATACGCTGATCAGAATAGCGACTCGGATATACAGGAATTCTGTTCTGGAGTCAGGAACATCACCGAGTTTCAGATTCTCGGCCTACCATTCTTTACAGGTAGTACAGGTAGTTGGCAAACTCTTGAACTAGAGCGAATTCTCGGGGCAGCTCAGAATCTTAACACGTTCAAGTTTGTCAGTGATGGTCATAGTTGCTGGCATACTCGGGCTCGCTCCCAAGTCTCACCAACCCAGTTAATCGAGTTCCTCAGCCCACGAACTCAAAGACATTGCAGCGCCTCAGTCTGAACTTGGACAGCAGGTTGGAACCCAGTCAACGTAACCTAAAGAAACCCCAACCCATTACACCCCAACAGATCAAGCAATTTACAAACCTCACAACCCTCGAAGTCGATTCCTCATGCTATTACAGCCATACGGTCCAACGAAATAGAGACGGAGTTATCGTTGAGCAAGAAACATACCTAGTCGACTTTCTCCCGCAGGCAGTTCAAAATTTGACCATCTTCTTCAATAAGTCGGCGAGGTATGAGATTATGGATGATATTACTTATCTAGGGCAGCGCGCTGTTGCTGAGGATTTTCCGAAGCTGAAGAGGGTTCAGATTGATGCCCCTATTCGATATACAATGCCTGGGAGTGATAGCTGGGATGATGATTGGGATAATGAGCAGCTGGCGAAACTGTCGGCGGAAATGGATGTGCGCAAGGAGGAGTTTCAGGAGGCGTTTGTTGGGTCGGGTGTTGACACGCAGTTTAGGACATGGTATATCTGGGAGGAAGGATGGTTATGAGGCTATTCTAGATGACCTGGGGGCAATGCAATAGGCTGGTATGGGCTGCTAAATTAGCAACAGTCGTCTATAGAGAGTTGTTGCATAGTGTTATTGGGATCTTCAACCACTTAAATAGCATGGTAGCTAGATAGTGGCGATATCAACATGAGAAGCGTGGAAATAAGTGGCCTAGCAACACGCTTCTATCGCTGTTTGGTAATAGTAAATCTCAACGGGAACCGGGAGCGAGCCGGGACGATAAGCATGTGGAGTTGATCGCGGAAGTGATTTGGCACGGACATTATCCACCAACAGGGCATCCCAATGCACTTGACATTCAGAGGGTTGTTGATAGGTACGATGGCCTTTTGAGTTTATGGCTAAGGTTAGCTCCGTGGCAGTGGCCTGGGCATCAGTTCAATGCACTGTAAATGACTCGTACCTCAGTGAGACATTGTCACCCGTGAAACAGGCTGTTGGCAAAGTCTAGCCCCGATGTCTTTACCTGTAGTCTAGAGAAAGTCCCTGCGATCTAGAGTCTCCGGGTTCGAGGGGATTTCTCACTCGAGGGAGAACCAGACCCTGATGTAACCCACATCGGCAATTCAAGAAGCTCAGCGGTCAGACCAGTAACAGTTGTTGAACCTACATGACGGACCGCACTACCGAGCGCCATAAGCCGCTAGCCCACGGGGTAATGTCACACCCAACAGAAGTGCCGCTGATCATTAAATCCGTTAGTCCGCCTGTTTCCGGGGAGGCGCACTGCAAAAGGGGCTCGGACCTCTCATACTGTACAGATCACACTTCAATTGCTCGCCCTCCCAGTCGCTCTCCTTCTCCTGCAACATTCATCTTCCTTTTTCATTCCCATGTCCTGAAGAAAATTACTTCGGGAGGCAGCGAAAGCGTCCTGATCATCGCGCTCTCTGATGACATCGCCTACGGGTCTCGGCGCAACGATAATCGCAGTTTGTGTGTCGCTGACCTTATTGGCGGGTTTATTTTTGGGTCTACGATTGTATTGCAAGATCATTCGCCATCGGGGCTTCTGGTGGGATGATTACATCTTGATTGCGGCATGGGTGAGTGACAGCTAATCTATGTTGAGTTTGCATCTAGGATCCGTAAGATCCGTGATAGCAACCGTCCGTCCAGGGCGCTTGACCGCATTTCAATCCGTCCCGTCGAGCTAACAGCACGCGTTTATTCGTTAGATCTGCTTGGCCATCGGCACTGGTCTCGTCATCTTCAACGTCACCCTCGGTTTCGGTAAAGACATGTCAGAGGTTGATCCAGCAGTCGTACCAAAAATCGCACTTACCGGAACAATCTTCGGCCTCTTTGCAGTATTGTCCGCAGCATGGAGCAAGACGTCATTTGCATTGACACTGATCAGACTAGTCGATGGCTGGATGAGCTGGTTTCTCTGGTTTCTCATCATCGCGACAAACATCACCATGGATCTGGTTATTGTATTCTCTTTTGTGAAATGTACGCCGGCCAAGAAGGTCTGGCATTCGAATCTTCCGGGAACCTGTTGGAATCCTATGGTCGCGACGTACTACAATATCTTTGCTGGAGGTTAGTCTTTGCCTTACCGGGAACTGCACTTACTGACTGTAATCAGCTTTTTCGGGATTAGTTGATCTTATCCTCTGTGTCATTGCCTGGACAATCATTTGGAAGCTTTCCATGCGGACACGAGAGAAAATCGGAGTCGGGATTGCTTTGACCTTTGGTGTTTTGTCAGTTTCTCAGGGATCTGCGTATGTCTACCTACTGATGATGTTTTAGTGCCGCCGCCACTGCAGCAGCCAAATGCTACAAGATGCTCGGCCTTAGCAGCAAGAACCGGACTCGTCAGTAATTCTATATCTCGTCACCACTTATTATTCACTAACACATTTCCCAGTGGATAGAGTTGGCATCATTATATGGGGCACTACCGAGTGTGCCGTCACCATCATGGCAGCATCCATTCCCGTCATGCGCATACTGGTATTGCGCGTTTACCGCCGCACGCCTGATCAAATCTCCAATCGACCTCTACGCACTCTTCGAGTAATCAGTACTCTGGATAAGAGAGCTTCAACAAACAACACAATGCCAAGCTATAATACTGAAGAAGGCGCGAATATGCTAACAGAAGAAGGGTTAAGAGACCTCAGTCTACCATCACGGACAATCTCAGCTAGGCAGAATGATATAGGTCTGTATGAGATTAATGGAAAGGGTTAATACCGCTAATTTTAGAGATATTTATAGAGATAACATGATACCTTCAAGCTTGCCTCAGGAATGTAGATACAACAGAGATCAACTTCAAAAGATGGCCTAACCAATCTGGCATCTAGGTTAAGAATGCTCCGCTTCAATAATGCTCTCAACAGACTGCAAAGGTCTCCAGATCTTGAGAACCCTCAATCCAGCACTCTCGACCAGCTTTATCCACTCAAGTTCTGTTCGCTCCTTGGCAGCCAGGCACGCCATCATGGTGATATCCGACGTCGTCACGCGCGCAAGAGGCTTGGCGGAACTAACTAGACTCTCATGGATTAAAAGCCTAGAGTAGCCTGCTTCCATAGCATCAGCGAGGTGCTTGAGGATCTGGCATGCCTGTTTATCCTCCCAGTCGTGCAGGACATTGTGCATGAAGTATGCACGCGCGCCTTTGACAGGTTGGGGGGTGAAGAAATCATGGGGACAGACAGCAATCGTATCAGGAATGGTTAGTTCTTTGAGGATATCAGGGAGATCTTGAAGGACAAGACTACCCTCGGGAATGTCGGAATGACGAAGATGAAATTTAGTCAGATCGTGGCCTTTGCTACCCCCAACGTCTACCACCAGTGCTCGATCGAACTTAGCGCCAGTAATCAAAGACTCAGTAGGGTATACCTCTGGCCAAGGCGTGAGATTATACTTGGAATGACTCTCCATCGCATCGTTAAACTCTCTTGCAGCAACGGGATCAGCACCAAGAGACTGAAACAGGTTTTCCTGTCTGCCCTTCATGAACTGCCAGTTACAGTCATTGGGGTCCGTCGGGTTCTTATAACCTGTTTTCTTAAGATATGCAGGGAGGGTTTGGAACATGGGGTTGTTGACGAAATTGTATAAACCGCCGTAGACATTGGCCAGGGCTGGATCGGCGGTGAGGGCGTGGACCCAAGGTGTCGGCTTGTAGGTATCCTCTGCAGTCTCGATGACGAGATTCTGGCCTGAGATCTGTCGAATCAAGCGCCCTAAAAACTATCAGCATCCATTTGATAGCAGAGACGGGGCGACTTACGGATAAGAATGGGCTCAGTACTCGTGAGCTCAGCCAGTTCATCACAAGTCCGCTCTCCACCACCAGCGTCAATCCACTTGGTGAAAACGCCAGCGTCAATCAAGGACTTGGCACATGCGGTTGTCGCTGGATTAACCCAGCAGTGCTGCCAGACTGTATCCCATGGTTTTTGAACTCTACTGACAGACAGAGTGAGTGCATCGAGGGCACGAACGCGCTCTGCTTCATTGGCGAATGAACTGGCGTCAAGGCCTTCAAGAGCCTGGATGAGATTGTCTGCTGATGTCATGACGAAGGAGAAATGACGTAGTCGGGCAAGATGGAAGATCGTGCAGCGAACGAGGGAAAGGCGTCGTATGATGGACAGCGACGATTATTGAGAAGGGAAAGATAGCAGGTTATAAGGGGAAGTCGTCCGACTTACCTCAACAGAACGAGTTCATTTCGGCGCCAAACCCGCCAGGCTATGTCTGTACATCAACAGTGACCTGTTCAATCGTGAGTCTAGTCCATAGGAGGGTAGAGCGCCGCGGTACGGCCATGTTTTAAACCCGGTCTAGTTCCGAGGTAGCCGCAGCATCGGCCCCAGTCTCTTTCTATATGCAAGATCAAACTCAATTACATCGATCAAAATATTACCAAGATTTATATATGATGAATTATAGGTTTCTTTAAGAGTTAATGTATTTATAGACTCGACTGTTGGTATGCGCAATGACATTCGCCATAGGTCGAGGTGATCGTGGAGAAAAGCATTGTTTTTAGCGCGAAGGATCCGATCCTTGGCGAATTCTGGCCCCTGCGGGCAAAACTAGGAAATGTCACGCCATGCAGATCGTTCAACGTTGAAAAAGATCCGATCCTACAGGTTTGTCATCAATTGTGACATTACATCCCAGGGACAATGCCGAGATTCCTATATAGCTCCCATGGTCAAAGGCTAATTGCTATATATCAGAGCGCCTATAATATAACAAAAATGGCTCCGCTTTCAGAAAACAGCTACTCGCCCGCAGAAATTACCGCGATTCTTCTGGACTTTTATCTGTTCTTGACAACACTTCACTACGATGCTTAGTACCTCAAACTCCCTCCAGCAGAAGGCTGGCCCGGCATGGAACCCTTGTTAAAAAGCCTTGGGAGCTCAGACATGGTCGGCCAAGTCATGAAGCGCATTCCCTACTTTGACAACAACTGCAAAGCTTTCATCCACTACAAGTCTCGACTGGTAGACTATCCAACCCTGCCTCAGGATTGTTTTGAGCGTGTCATGTGGGGGAGAGTATCGGAGATCAGATGAGATATGTTCAGAGCGACGACAGATTACAATTGACATGCGCGATGTTTTACCACTGGCTACTGGTCGCGAAGCCTGGGGCAAGTATATCTGGTTGAATGTAAGAGATGGGGAAATTACTGTAGAAGAACGCCTGATGCATGACCTCCCGCAAATCGACCTGAAAGTGTTTTTCGATGGGTTAAAGCAAGACTACGTCACTCTGAAGCTCATCCCCTGTCACGGACGGATCACTATCGAAGCCGACAAAATTAAAGAGCGGCCTGGCGGGGAGATCATTACGTAGGAAGAGGTGATTGCACAGGAAGAGGCATGGGGCACAGCTCTGGATATCCAGTATATCAGGCAGCTCTACCAGGGCTTCGGATGGCTTCTTGCCTTTAGGAGAGATGAAGCTTTCGATGCAGTCGACCAGCTGATGGACAAACTTGCAGAACATAGGAACGAATGGGAGCCCACGGAGGAGGATTGGGACGATGACGATCACTGGTGTTGATACGTCTTTGTCGATTGATGTTTCTATAGGTCGATCTAGCGCCTAGCCACCTGTGTACCTTTGTTGGTTATAACTAGCTCTGCATTCGTGATAAATCCATCCATGGCTGAAAGTGATTTTGAACAGCCGGGCATTTTCTTGCAAGTCGAAGTAAAATCATATGGTCGCTACAAGGATGACATCGAATTAAACACGTCTACTAGCAAATTCGATCTGATGCAAGTTATCAGTCCCCATTGGAGAAAACCCGCTGAGCGCACTTGAGTGAAGGCGGCTTCGATCCCCGCGTCTCTCAGTCCGAGGGTTGCGGTTTTTGTTAAGAAATTATTTCAAATCGAGACTTGTTAGTGGACGAGCCGCACATTAGTCTGCAGAAAGGCGTCATGCCTGATCAGGTTCGGGACTTGTCGCTTTAGTTTCCGAAGCCTTTTCTGTGACACCTCATTCTTGATTCGTCTGCGTAACAACTTGCTGTTGAGCAGGGTGCGGGGGACTTTCACCCGATAGTCAGGTATGAATTTATATAAAAGAGCTAAAAAGCACAATGATCCTCTTGTTTCCTTCCTCTCTAGACAATTATAATTAAGCTTCAAGTGTATCCCTCTTGTTATTAATCATGTCTATAAACGGTGCAAAGACCCTTAACCTTAAGGATAACTACGTCCAGATCATTAATGGCAAAAGTGCCCTTATCCCAAAGACCCACCAGGGTATAAACCCGGCTACCCTGGGTACTATTAAGAGGCGACTAAAGGGGAATCGTCTAATAAATTGGGTTATCTAGCTTAAATTTGGACTTGAATTAGTTGGGCTCGGGCCAAGTTGCTAATTAGTTAAAAATAAACCTAACCCTATACTTTATGAACTGTATGGTAATAAAAATATCAAGAATTAGAGGGCAAAAGCAATGGCCAAGAAAGCAAAAAGAGAAAACAGTACCAGTTCTCCCCCGGGAAGGCTCGAACTTCCGATCTCCCGATTGTCTATGAATAACAGTCGGACGCTTTAGCCAACTAAGCCACAGGGGAAATGCTATTATTAGATGTTCAGGTTCGTACAGCGTCCCATAGCCGCTAGCGTGGTCTTGGCTTACCCTAAGCATTATTCACTTCCTCTTTGGGAACCACTAAACAGCCATATGTTTATGCGCAACAGCTCAGGCTTAGCTGTTCATTATTAATACGAGAGATAAGCCGATGGACCCGGGTTCTGTTCTCTTTGCTTATGAGACAAACGAAAACGTTCAGTCGCAACTATATGCTGCCAACTTTGATTTAATTCAACAGATCGTTTCCCTCGAAACGTCAAAAGAACAAAGGTTAACCAAACAAGAAATTCAAGCGTGACATAAGACTTGTGAAAATGAACGAATCTATGTCTCAGTAAATGTTCGACCTGGTTCCTTTCACCCATCTGGTATAAAGTTTTCATTCTACCAACTGTGAATTATCCTTTCCTACATTATCGCATCACATCTCACCAATAACACTCTACACCATCTCAAACCATAGCCTACTCTCGCTATACATACAACTTGCATCACATCCATCACTCAAAATGCCTTCCTCCACTACCTCAGTCTCCGGCTCCGACGCTGCTCGCAGCAGCCCTACACCTTCACTTCAAAGTCAATCATCTCTTGTAGAGTCGCCCTGCAAGTGCGGCTCCAGCAAACCCGACTGCCCCAAGATCGGACTGGAGATACCAGAGGATCAAGATAATGTCTTTTCCGACGCTATCGAATCTGTCTTTGAAGATGAATATCCCTCAATCCAGTTCAAAGCCTTCGTGCACGACAATACCTCAGAAAGCATTATAGTTTCTATAAGGAATCAGACTACTGCAAAGACTTTTACGGCAACTGGGAAGCAGTCAAGCATCCCTTCAGTTTTCTAATTATAATGGCGAATTTGTATAAAAAAGAGCAAGGTGAGAAGGATTGGCCTCTTGAGTGGGAGGACGAGAGTGCTTTGACTTTCTTCCTCGACAAGATTGTTGCAGACTGGATGTGGAATCTTTCAGATGGAGAAGCGGCTAACGTTAGGGGGCTAGCTAAGATCATGGGGAACTTGATCACGGTTAGTACTGATGATAAGGATGCTTTGAGAAGGTATCGGGGTGAAGTGAGTCATTTCCTTGCTGGTCTTCGCCCTGTTACTGACTTCGAGCAGGGAGTCGAGGAAGTGAACAAAGCAGAGGCTTAGGAGCACGCTCTTTCTCACGATTCTGTGTTTGATATGACATGGTAGGTAAGGGAGAATAGGTATGGGGCATGGATCAGGCTAGGACTTTTACTGAAAAGAAGAAGGAGGAATTTTCAGCAATAGATCTATTGAATAACACCCATAAGGAAGGGCTATAGCGTCTAGTTACTTACAGCGCTGGAAGCCCGAATTGATCTTATTGCATGCACTTATAAGAAGCCAGTAGAACATTATTTTGCATTTCATCAGTGTATGCTTGTTTGTAAAACAAAAGAATGAGGTACGTCACAAGAACATGTGTTGTTCTAGGTAACATGTAAATGTTCTAAACCATCTTGCCGCGACCCGGAACCAATAGCCATACATCCAACTCGAGTAATTCAGAAAACTCGTCGCAGACTCAGTTACGTTCACCAGTTCAGCCCAATCAACAACCCAATACAAAGCGGCGCAAAAGACCAATGCTGCCACTCCCCATGTCCAACTACATTCCTCGCGACAAGCCCATCAGTAACGCACATGGCCAGCGCCCCAAGATACCCCAGGCTCATTAGCTTCCTATCCCCAGTGAGGCTGATGTTGAAGAACAAAAAGCTAATGACGAGATTTCGACATCCGTAAATTCGCGTAATTCCACGGACGAGTTTTCGCGCCTCAGGGTCTGTGGGAATTGGGTACTGGAAGGATTGGAGGGTTGCTTCAGGGCGCGTGAGGAGATTGATGCCGAAGAGGGCGGGGATGAGAGACACGACGTGTGTTGCGCGGTTGAGATAGATGAAGGACATGATGAGATGCTTGTTTGATAGAGAGAAGTTGACGATTTTGTGTCGGTTTAATAGAATTCTGGTAGGAGATAAAAATTACTCGAAGGAGAATGGCGGAGATGAGACAGTAACGCCGTTGGCTTTGCGCGTCAGCACTAAATGTCAGCGATCCTATCAGTGGTCTCACGTAAGCAGATCAAGCACTCTGAAGCCTCAGGCTAAAATCTCCTACATCTCATTCTAGTTAATATGAGGGCTATTCAAGTAATTTTAAAGTTATTGTACCGCATTCATGTCAATTAGAACAGAGCCGCTACCGTAAATATTGCAGTTTAGTCCGTGACCAGTGTCGTTTATGTAGCCCCAAACACCTTTACATACCCGTCCTGTGTCAGCGAATTGTGTAAATCACCAATCCACAGCACACTGCTTAACATTTCCCTACATTGTATCCAGCTAATCACACCAAGAACGTCACATGTCTCGCGAATAGCCTGCCGATGCCACGTTCGGCCAAAGTCCTCAAAAATACAGCCCCCAGCAATTAACAGCGCCCAGAGCAAGAAGGTCGAGTGCTCACGACGGCAGGGTACAAACGTCTGAAGTGCCATCTCCAGATTAGTCGACAGGTAGGACATTCTCTTCCCTACCCCGGGAAGACTAAACAGGATGCTCTTGATATACACGAGCATACACAGCCTCAGAAGCTCGCAAGTCGATCGGGCGTTGTAGGAAATATGGAGCAACCTGTTTGGAAGAGTTGTGCTTATGGAGAGGAAGAGTTCTGGTGGAATGGGCGAGCTTTCACTAGATAATCTGCTGTAGTGTTGCAGATCGGCCCATATGGAAAGTAAACGCCTATCTGTTGTAAGGTTTCGAGAGTCCAGGAACGTGGACTCTGGAGCGAGACGGATTGAAGACTTTGGCATAAGTGAATCCCAAGATTGAATATCAGGAAGAAGGCGGGGCTTTCGACCTTCGGCCATTGATAGACAAATCTCTATCCTGTACAGGTCAGCCATATAAATTGGTAATAGAGGAAGCAAGTACCTTTGACACTTCATCTCCGCCAACGCTGCAGTTCCAAAAGGCGATATCCCCCCACGAAGTTCAAAAATGCGACATATCCCATCCATATGTTTCCTCGCAGTTTCAACATCTCCAAAGCTAGACGCCGCCGACGCCAAGTTAACGATAGCTCCCACCGTCGGCATGGCCGTTGCGGTGCTTTTGTCTTGAAGACTCTTTTGTATACAGCGTAGTGTCTCGCCAAGATGATATCTCGTTAGTATACTGAACTCGACTCCTTGGCAGACTTCTTTAAATGCCGATGCTGTGAAGAGGATGGAGTGGAGAGATACTTCTTGCGTGTGCATGTCGCTGAGGCTAAAGATGTGAGACTCTGAGTCATGGGCGACTTTCATGTCTATGGCGTATCGACAGGGTTTTGGCGTTGTGAAAGCTGGGGGAAAGTGCTGGATCAGTTTCCGGTTCGTTGACATAGAATCTGTGAGAATACCTTGATACGTTAACTCTAGCATATACGGTTTTAGCTCGACTTCTGATCGCTGTAACAAAAGCTCTGGTGCTAGCTTTCGTGGGATACTCATTGTTGACAGATTATCCTTGCCAGGTTTCTGGACATTACATGGTTCTGCTATTGAATCGGTACATGGTACTGATATGGAAGATGCACTGCTATCAGTTTCCATAGTATGCACCAGGCTTTTATCGGGATTCATTCGCTCTTGAGCCCGAGCTAGTCTGTCTGCGCGTGTATTCCTTCCACGCATCGCATGGCTGCGGATCTTTCTCATTGTACCCTTGTCGGGCTTACCAGATGACGTGGTAACCACGAAGATGGCCATATTGTATAAAACTGGGTCGTCAAGCGGAATCTCGTCTATGGCAGGCGGTTTTATTGATCACATGCTCTATTTCTGAAGTTATTCGGTCTTGATCCATGTTGAGAGTAAGCACTTCTAGGTATAGAGTTGCCCGGAGTTCTTCCGTACTATTTGCCAAAAAGGGTTTAGAGGATCGTTCTTGATCGTGATTGGGCCTGTTCAGTAGCAAATGCGGCTTAGTCGCCTTTAGCGTCAGACTGGCAGCCAGCAATTCAGTTCAGTCTGTTCCTGACAAGCATTAATAGATCGACTGCCGCGCCAAGACCGTACCTTTTTCCAATACGGGAGTAGACTTTGCTTTCCTGACCTCTTGGTGGCTTCTTCTACATATTAAAGCTAGAAATACGTGTTAATATGGATCTGTAATATGGCGAGGTCTTATATAAATAGGTACAGCATCCTCTGCTGTATCTATGCTTGAGCTTGATTAGCAACTACAATCAGTCCAAGTCGTCCGTCGCTTTCATTCTTCCCATCACTCCCCTGCTTGACTAATATTCCCAACACAATGTTCTGGACCAAAGAACAAGACTTCAACCCAAAAGACATGCCCTCTCTTGAAGGAAAGGTCATTCTCGTCACAGGTGCCACCGCCGGTTTAGGCAAAGAATCCGTCCTCCAATTCGCACACCACAATCCCCAGCGCATTTATCTCTGCGGTCGAAACCTGCAAAAATCACAGCTCGCAGCCCAATATATCAAGCACCATGTCCCATCCGCTTCAATCAGACTCCTCCATCTTGATCTTGGCTCGTTTGCCTCTGTCAAAGAAGCAGCGCGGATCATGCTCTCAGAATGTGAAAGGCTCGACATCTTGATGCTCAACGCAGGCATCATGTTTGTCCCTCTTGGTCGTACTGCAGACGGTTATGAGATCCACTTTGGCACGAATCACATGGGTCATGCGCTCCTCACGAAACTACTTATCCCGTTGCTCAACAAGACAACGCGTATACCCGGTTCAGACGTGAGAGTTGTGTGTCTTGCATCCCATGGACACGTCTATCTGAACAAAGGCGGCATCAACTATGATACCCTCAAGACTGACGGCGAGTCAGTTGGTCTTTATCAGTGCTACTACCAGAGCAAGCTTGCCAACATCCTCTGGGCGCGCCAGCTGGCCAAGAAGTTTCCGCATTTCAAAGTGTCTGCTATCGATCCTGGTCTGGTGAACACGGAGTTGTTAGTGAAGGCAACGGGTATGGTTTGGTACTTGTATGCAGTGGTGAGATGTATGTTGATCACGCCTGTTGCAAAGGGCGTTAGGAATCAGCTTTGGGCGTCGGTTTCAAAGGATGTTGTTAGTGGAGAGTACTATGAGCCGGTTGGGAAGCATGGCCTGGCGACCGAGGAGGGTAGAGATGATAAGTTGGCGGAGAAGCTCTGGGAATGGACTGAGAGTAAGTTGGCCACGGTTCTGTAATAAATATTTTCTATGCGCTGTTTATTCATAGCATTCATTTCTTTACTACATATTTCACAATCTGTAATAAACAATACACAGTCTTATATGCTTGGAGACAAACGTTCCAAGTTTAACTAGTTGTCAATCGCTGTATATCCCTCGAACTTATCATGTCCCTGACAACCTGCCACCCTATGCTCTGATTATGCATTTTATCATACTCCCTCCCCATAAGCATACACCACTTCTTCAAGAACCACGGTGAAGCTTCCCAGCTCTTCATATCCCAGGGTGGATAGGTATCCCTCACACTCTCACCCTTCTCATGCTTCAGTCGCCATATCGTCAAACCTCCTCGCTCGTATATATCTAGCTTAAGTTCCCAGTTGTTAAAGACATGGGGCATTGCTGCTGATAGCATGATTGCTCGCTCGCGGAGAAAGGGAAGAGGGATTAAATCAAGGCTTGTGTGGTGCGGGATGAGGATTTGCGCCATTGTTGGGCGGAGGTGAACGGGGATACTGGTGTTGTTAAACGTCGAGAGGATGTTTGAGCCTGCTTGTATGAGGGTTGCGTGATCAAGGGTAATTGAGAGGTTGGGTTGATAGAATGGTGAGATGTGTTCTACGCCGCAGTTTGCGATGACGGAAGGGTCTAGACCGAGTGAGACTGCATTGGTGAGGCACGATGTGAAGATGGCTGCCGGTGAGAATTGAAGCATGTTCATGTAAAGGTCTGGAAAGTTCGGCTCAAGCTTTTTGACAGAGTTGTTCTGAGATGATGGCGTGCTGACAGAATTGTCGACAGTCTCCAGAAAGTCCTCATCACATAGAGATATCTCCTTCATTGACCTCTGCTGCCCGGAAGAGTCTCTCGGTGAGAGTTCTTCTCGTTTTAGAAGAGGTCTCAGGCGCTGTCCGCAACTAGCTTGCGCTTGAGCCTTCTCTTGCTTCAGTCGTATCCTCTCTTGTTTCTGTCGCTCTCCTGCAAGGTCTTGTTAGTAATTCCCATGGGACAAATGGGGCGTGGCGTACTATATGCTTTTTGCGCCTGGCGATTCTGCTCTCTCCGCGCCGTAGTTAGAACGCGACGCTTCGCTGGTGGAGCGTCATCATCCCTGCTACTCGTCCGCTTTCGAGAGACTGCGTCATCCCTATTGGCCGAACCGTCTTTCACTGTATCGCGCATGGCTTGAAGATGGATTGACTGGACGTGGTTCGGAGTGATTTTCTCATTGGAGCATGTCAGATTCGAAATATTGGTTGTTTGGCGGAAGTGATATCATGCTAAGTCCGAAGTCCGTGGGGGCGAATTGGCTTACGGTTTTTGAGCCAATCAAAAGCTGCTACGCCAGTAAGCGACAGCGGCTTACGGTCTATGGCTCCATCCAGCGAGCGATTGAGGCTAGAGTCAATACAAAGGCAATAATTAATACGGAAGAAGGAAACACAGAAGTCAAAATTAACGCCGCAATGTATAATACTATAAATATGCCAGCAGAATGCGCCCTCATAGCCATCTCCATCACTTCATCATTGACCAACTTAACACCATCTTATTCACCATACACTCTTATCATGTCTACCAAGACCATCGCTGTCGTCGGCGCCACAGGCACCCAAGGAGGCTCAGTCGTGAGAGCATTCATCTCCCTACCCAACTGGCATGTCAAAGCCCTCACCCGCAGCTCAAGCTCAGCTAAAGCCCAGGCTCTGCAAAACCTCGGTGCCGAGGTCGTCGAAGCAGACATGAACGACCCAGAGTCCCTCGTCAAAGCTTTCGATGGCGCTCACGCTATCTTTGTCAACACTGACTTCTGGGCTCCTTACACGACTGCTCTCAGTCAAGGAAAAGACCAAGCTACGGCTCAACAAATCGGTTATGATACCGAGGAGCGACATGTCAAGAACGCTGCTTATGCTGCTTCCAAGACATCTACACTTGAGAAGTACATCTACTCCGCACTTGGCCCTATGAAGGATGTCTCCAAGGGAAAGTACTCGCACTGTCATCATTGGGAGACCAAAGCTGCTGCTGTCAAGTACATTGAGAATGAGACGCCTGAACTGGCTAAGAAGACATCTTATGTATACATGGCTGCCTACGCTACGAACGCTTTCTTGTACCCCAAGAAGGATGCCGAGACTGGCGAGTATATCCTCGCAGTCCCTGCGTCCAAGAATCTCAGACTCCCTGTCATCGATATCGAGGGTTCGGCTGGGTCGTTCGTCCGAGCCCTCGTTGAGGATGAACCCGCTGGAACAAAGCTTCTCGCCTACGACAGCGACTTGAACATCCTTGAGGCTATGGACACCTGGAGCAAAGTCACCGGCCAGAAGGCTGTCTTCCAGTCAATGACCGAGGAGGAGATGCACAAGAAGACTGGTCTGCCTTACGAGGTGCTTGACGGACCAGCCTACCTCGATGAGCATGGATATATGGAGGGTGTCGAAGGGGCTATCACACCAGAGCAGTTGAGCAAACCTGTCAAGACGGATAGTTTCGAGGAATACCTTCGCAAGCAAGACCCAGAGACCTTGCTGTCTTTTGGATACGGACTCCCCGAGCCTCCGGCGGCGAAGTAATTGCGCAGGGAAACGCTGGTGATAAAAATTGTTGGGGGCGAAAATACTGGACTGTGAAGAGGGAAGCATTACGAAGGATTCGATCGTATCACCATAGCATCTTTATCATAGGCTAGAATGCGAGAGCTGAAAAAGTTCCCTTCGATTGACCAATCGAATAAATTACGCCAAGTCCCCCATTGTAACCCCGAAAACAAGCTCCGCCACGCAACGCCACGGAAAACGTCTTCCCGCCAGGCTTCAATAACTGCCGATAACTGAACTTATGCTTGATTTTGTCCTTGAAATCGGCCGACTTGCTATAATCTTGGCGCTGGCCCTGTTGGCCTGTGCAAAAAGGTCCTTGCGGCTTATGCCAAGGCAGAGATCGTGAGTTTTTGCACGCCCAACGTGGTTAGTGGTTTGTTTCCCAGATGAAGGATCTGCGCTGGCGTTTCATCTGCCGATTTTAGAGTGTAATCTTTGGGGTCGGGGGATCGCTGATAGGGCGGTTTGGCGAGAATGGGCTGAGCGTCTATTGCTGTGCCGCGATGCTGAGATTAGGTTATGCGAATATTACGATGGGCTGCTGGGCTCATGATCTAATTTGCCCTGGAACCATCATTTATCATAGGGTGAGGACTTAATTGTTCAAGCAATTCTACTCGACTTGAAGCTCGCTGCGCTGCCTGAGTGCCAAGCAATAAATAAATACTGTCGCCATCATGAGGAGCCCAGGCATCACTGGAGTCATATGCACGGTTCAATGCAATTGATGTCATTGAAACTGAGAGAACAAACAATGGACCCCAATCGAAAATTACCATTCTCTCCTACATTCCCTGTTCCTTTGCGGCGAAGCATCGTGAGCTTCTACTCCACTCCTCGTCTAAATCAGGGTTTAGTACGGCTCCTCCCGCGGCCGCCGGAGAGTCGGAGTAGCTTGTTCCTTGTCCTCCGTACCAAGAATATTATCTAGCCGCTTATCGACACGATCGACTTCGTGCCAAGAGCCTCAGTGTAACAGCAAGTATGCTCGTGCCCATCGTAGGATTCACCAGGTTAATTAATTACTCGTAACAATGGATGAGCGATCCATCCTCAGGTATTCTCCTCATCGTGCCATCACCATGATATAAACCTCGTCTTTGATCTCTAGTAATCACCTTCTTCACTCATCTCCTCGCCACTCTCTCACAATGAAGTCCACTACCGTCATCGTGGCCCTCGCTGCCGTCGTCCACGCCTCACCTCTCACCAAAAGACAGGACAACAAGGTCCCCGATGTCTGGGAGAACAAAGACACCCTCTGCAAAGGCTGGGTCCTCAGCACACCAGAGGAAGCCGACAGGCTCTGGATGGAAACCAAAGCCGGCGATCAACTAGATTTCTTCCTCCGTGAACAATGGGGTATGGTTCTCCGCCATTACGCGATGCAATAACTGACCAAGTAGAACACCAAAACAACTGGCTCATCAACCTCGAGGATCGAGTCTTTGGCGGTACAGATGGAAAGTCTGGCGCCGCGGGATGCAGTGTTCTCGACAACGATTGCAGCCCTATGAACAACATAGAATGCACTGAACAGTATGAGAAATACGGTACCGACGACAGCCTTAGCAAGACCTCGTACTGGATATTCCAGGCTGCTAAGGGCATGCACTCCAAGTTCAAGGCGCTCAAGACCAAGATCACCGAGAAGACCATCATCAGCGGTCTCAGGATCGGTCAGATGGTGACCGACTTCGGCGGCAATGAGGATGACACTGGTGATATGGTCAAGTGGTTGGCTTCCGCCAGCACAATGGGTGCTGCTCTGAGTGGACTCTCTACAAACGTACGTAATCCATCCCCCCCTGCAATTACACGTAGCTAATCTCAGCAGGTTGGGTTCGCTGTCGGCTTTAACATCCTTGGCGGAATCTTCTCCAGCTTTGGAAACCTCAAGCAAGAGGAGATCGACCAAGGTACCATCTCAGCTGGCTTGGCCGATCTGTTCGAGGCAGCTGTTGACCGACTCGACGAGACCATGCGCATCGTCATGGGCGGTGGTACTGAGGACCAGTACAATGCACTCAAGACGCCCAACCCGGATCCTTACAAGAAGCCCGTCGCAAACTTCTTCAACGGCGGTTTCTTCCTTCTCAATGACAATGCCGAAGCTGTGCAGATGGCGCTCAACTCTGTCTACGGCAACATCCAGCCCAAGGTTGCCAACAACGTCATGAAGGCTGCGAAGTTCTACCTCGTTGCTGATAAGCGCCGTACAGGCCGCGAGGACTGCGGTTACGCTACTGGTCGTCAGTGGATGGCTCTGAGAGAGGGTGAAGAGTACTGTTTCTACATCATGCGTCACGATCCTAAGCCTAACCGTGTTGGAGACTGGGCTGAGGTTTCGGGTGAGGTTTATGACAAGATGGCCAGCTATGGTCTTGGGAACAGAGAGGTTTACTACCGCGCTATTCTGGACTGTGCGCTTAATCCCAATGACAATGTTGACTTGGGAAGCTTGGTTGGTGGCAAGATTCCGACTTGTTACTTTGATCTTCCTGCTGTATACATTGATAAGGATCGAGAGGTTGGATGCGGTGATCCTTTCACCACTGTTGAGTGCGATTATATCAGTGCCACCAACATCGAGTAGGGGAGGCGACATTACTGGACAGTTACTATTCATTTTGTATATATTGATCGCTTGTATTCTAAGTCTAAGCATTAACCTCTAATTAAATATCCTATGTCTATAATATACTGCCTTGATCCATGTGAAATGAGATTCTAGAAATAAATGCTGTATCTTAAGATCCCCTCTTAAGTTTTCCTCTTAGGCTCCCGTCTTAAGCCCTCTTAACACCACTTCCCCTCGGCACCCTGAACAACCAGTAGAAGCCTAGAGCGCCAGCACAGTTGACAAAGATGTACACCCAAAGCAATCCAAAGTGCCACCATCGATCGTCATAGTTGATGTTGAACCTATGCAAGAACTCCTCCGTCGTAGCAAGCGAGCAATACTTGCAAACATCAGTGGACGAGCGATCAAGAAGATAGCCACCAGCTGCCTTGATGAAAGGACCCATATAGTCACCACAAGTCATGTTGCCAGGGACAGCCATCTGGAGAACCTCGTTGTCTGCGCACTTGACATTGGAGCCCCAGACACAAGTCGACATGATACCGCCGACGATGTAAGTCGCTGGTGAGACGCGATACATGAAGGTCCAGAACTTGGGGATATCCTTGTATGCGACACCAACACTGTAACAGTCAGCATATGCATGATAGATCCAAGGGAGAGTGACTTACCCGCAGAACGAGATGGAAAGCATCCACAACAAGGATGCGATGACACCAGCTTCTTCAGCAGTAGCGATACAAACGATGGCTGTGTGAGAGAAAGTGCTGGTGAAGAGCATGAACATCCAGAGGTACAAGAAGACAAGAAAGCCTCGGATAGCTTGGTCGTCGGAGGTGGTGTTGCGGACGAAGCCGACGGGGTAGTACCAGGTGAAGTAGATGAGGACAGCCATGAAGGTGTTCCAAGCTGCTTCAACGAGGATGTTGGACAGGATGTATGCTGGGACTTGTAAGAGCGCGCTTTGAAGTGATGAGGAGGATAAGGACTTACTGTTCCAGCGGTAGATCTTGGATGGACGCTCGCGGACTTCATAAAGATCACGCTGGGGTAGAAACATGGGCATGATCTGATCGCTGAGACTCTGGAAGAGAACCATGTACATGAAGATGGCGTAAAGCTGGTTCTGCAAGCCCTGAATGGTATTCTTGGCCTCAAACGTGAATCCGATGTAAAGTGACTGCATCTGTTAGCCAACGCCCTCCTCATACCCAACTCAAACATACCGATAAGACGATCAGTGCGATCTTGGACCAGATATATGTAGGCGACCTCCAGAAATGCTTCCAAGTCCTAATCAACACCTCACGGAACTGCGTCGAGAACGAAGCCACAAACTCCTTATGCTGCGACGCATCACCGTTCTCCAAAGCATTCGCCGCTGCTCCTCGTGTAGCAGGGAGGGAGTTAAGTCGTGAAAGCTCCTTCTTGACTTCTTGGAACTCGGGTGAATCTCTCCAGATCTGGTGCCAGTCGATCTTCTCGGCTTCTTCGTCGTTGGAGGGTTTGATGATCTCGAGCATGTACTCTGCGGGGTTCGCGTCTTGAGGACAAGGGGGTGCGCCGTTGCGTTCGAAGTACTTGAGAAGAGTCTGTGATTGCTCGCCGAGGTCTGTAGATGTTAGTCAAGATCTCAATGAGGTGGTGGGGGAACTTACCGCCAAAGTAAACCGTCTTTCCACCGGGAGCAAGCAACAGAAGACGATCAAATCTCTGGAACAACATCGCAGAAGGCTGATGAATTGTGCACAAGACCGCCTGTCCACTAGCCGTAAGCTTCTCAATAAGATCACAAATCGCCCAACTAGTCTGCGAATCCAGCCCACTAGTCGGTTCATCCAAAAACACCAACAACTGCGGTCTAGCAGCCAACTCAACACCAATCGTTAATCGCTTCCTCTGCTCGACGTTCAAACCCTCACCAGGCGTTCCGATAACAGCATCTGAAAACTCCTGCATGTCCAGCATGTCAATGACGTGCTCTACGTAAGCGAGCTTCTCAGAGCGGGGGATCTCGGCGGATTGGCGGAGGAGGGCGCTGAACTCGAGGGCTTCGCGGACGGTCATTGTTGTGAGGTGGAGATCTTGTTGCTGGACGTAGCCGACGCGGTGTTGGAAGGAGGAGTCGGTTGCGAGGCCGTCGATGTGGGTGTTTCCGGATACGACGCCCATTGTCACGCGGGTTGCGAGGACGTCGAGAAGGGTTGTTTTGCCAGCGCCAGACACGCCCTGGGAGAGTTAGTTGGGCTGTATAGAGATGGTGAGTGAAAGGGGCATACCATCAAAGCTGTTGATTTACCGGGCTTGACCCATCCATCAACGTGATCCAATAATCGACGGTCCTTACCCTTGATCTGGATATCGTAGCAGAGATCTTCCCAGTGAAACACAGAGGCGCCGGCAGTAAGTCCACTAGAAGGGTTGTTGTTGACTTTCTCAGCAACGATAGGTCGATTAGTAGCCTGAGTCTCAACATCGCCGTGATCCTTCTCAAAGTTGGGAGGCATGCGGCCCTTGCGGAAGACGAGAACCTCGCCCTTGTTCCTGGGTGGCTTTGCATGTTCAGCTGCAATGATGTACAAGATGAGGAAACCGAAGAGGAAGCCAAGAAGGATGCCGATGTTGCTATAAAAGGTCAGTATAGGTCATGTAAAGGAGGAGTGTCACGTACCGCCATTTGTTGGAGTTGTAGTAGTCGAAGGACATGTTGATATACCTATCGCCATCGACCATGGACGATCCAGGCTCAGCACCAACAACAGAGCAAATGCGAGAATTGGCGGGAAGGTCGTCGTAGCCCGGGCCCTGGGGAACCATACCCGCACAGGCAAACTTTCGATTATGGAACTCACTCGCCATCAGCGCCTCAAAGGCATAAGCCAAGGGGTTGATGTAGTTCATCCATCTTGACCAACCAAGCATGTAATCCGTCGGCATGGTAAATCCCGTGTAGATCATAAGTCCAAGACTAAGAATCGACACGGGAATCATGGCTTGATGCGTCGTGCGGGTGACGCAGGCGAGGGTGCGGTAGATACACGACATGACGAGCGTGGTGAGGTAGGAGGTGAGACAGAAGAAGAAGAAGTGACCTGCGTCGCGGCGGAGATGGGCCATGAAGTAGATAAGCAAGTTAAAGATGATCATGTTGACGGTCTTGTAGGGGAGATCGATGATGTAACTGGCGATGGCTTGGGCGGATTGATGGTAGAACGCATAGCGGTTATGCTTCTCGACAACAGGGCGTTCAGCATAAACAGTAAGGACCTAAGCTGTTAGTAAATCTCCTTATGATGGAACAGCGGACATACCTCAAGCTGACTCGCAAAAGCATTAAACAACAATGCAAAAAAGATCAATCCACCACGGTAGTAGAAACTCGAACTATCATCCTTCAAGTTAAAAAACATCGTCCCCAAAACAAGCGCCATGATAAGGTTAAATATCAACGATGCGATAGTAAATCCCGGATCAGCCAGCAATCGCCTCCAACCTCTCCAAAGAGTAAGCTTCACCTGCGCAAGGTACGAGATTGTATATGGAGACTTGGATCGCTGGTTCTTGAACTGCTCCGCACGGCGGGAGGATTTATACTCTTCGAGACGCTGCGCGGGTGGGTGATTTGCTTCGTACGCGGCGATTTCTTGCAGGAGGGCTTTGCGTTGGGGGCTGGATTGCCAGCGCTCGGCGAATTCTTGGGGGGTTCGGGGGGCGGAGGATTCGAAGCCTGACCTTACGCGGCGTTCTTGGGGGCTGGTCATTGAGGTGAGGAAGTCGGGCGTCGTTTGGCGATCGGGGCCTGAATTGTCAGCTTGACTTGAGATACAGAGGTTCGTGGAGGACTTACACTCGAAGCCGAGATTCTCAAAATACTGCTTCGCTTCGTTGATGCGGCCAAAGAATATCTGATGACCCTCATACAAGACCGTCACACGATCAAACAACTGCCCTCGTTAGTGTCCATGTCTATGAGCATCATGTCAGAGCACTTACATCGTACGCAGACTGCGGCGCCTGATAAATCGCCACCGCAGCAGCAACACCAACAAGATCAGCCTGCAATCTCAAAGTCTTACAAAAGTTAATCGCGTTCCCACTGTCCAACCCGCGCGTGGTATTATCCCAGCACTGCAGCTTTGCGCCTGTGAGCGCAGCCTCAGCGATACTGACTCGCTTCCTCTCACCGCCGCTTACACCGCGCACAAAGTCACTGCCGACACGAGTATCAACTGTGTGGCTGATGCCGAAGATGGCCATCATGACATCGCGCATCATGGTGTCGGCTTGAGAACGAGTTACCCCGCCGGGGACGTGACGTGGTGAGTGGGCAGACGAGGCGAAGGAGAGGGTCTCGCCGACGGTGAGATGGGCGAGATGGCAGTCGATCTCGGCGTTGTAGAGAACGTCGCCGCGGAATGAGCGGCGAATACTCTTCTCGTCGATACCTGAACTTGTTAGAGTGTCTTTGAGAAGATGGGAACGACATACCTCGGAAGTTCATGTAGGAATCAGGTCCAACTTCGAGACCAGCTGTCTCACCAGCGATAGTCTTCAAAAGCGTCGAACATCCTGAGCCAGGCGGCCCAAGAACAAGTAGCAACTCTCCCTCATCAACAATGCCCTCAAAATTCCTCAAGATATCAACCCGTCTCTTCTTCCCGCCACCAACCAGACCAACAAGATACTTGACAACATCAATAGGATAATCAACAATAGTCTTCTGATGTTCAGCACCAGTGCCCCAGCCGTAAACATTCAAGTTCTTAAACGCAACGCCCAGACTGCGCGGCGGCGCTGCTCCAGCGTCGGACTCGACTAGCCTCACAAAGGCTTTTACCCAAGCTCTTGGATCAAAGGTTGGTGAGTTGGGGTCTAGCATAGTGCCGGGCTGGGGTGAGAAGGCGTGGAGTTCATTGCCGGCTGTTGTTGAGACGCGGGAGAGTTGACGGGCTAAGTTGCTGATGTGCTGGGTGATGTTTTCTTGGGGTTCTTCTGTTGGTGTATCGGCTGTTGAGTCGGAGTGGTGGTCGTCGTGTTTGCTGTGAGAGGACATTGTCCTCGAGAGTCGTGTTGTCATTTTTGATGAAATTGTTCGAGTGAAGATTGACTCAATTGAGGCAAGGAGGTCTATTTAAGCTAAAGTCATAGCATGCGGTTCAGTTATGCTTATGTATGTGCATCAAGCCTTCAGAGCCGCAGATGAATTAGGGCGATTGAATCACATTCGGTCTTTCCAGAACATAACGGACAGACGGAGTCGGGAGAAGATCAAGTCTTTTTACGATTACCCTCTTTCCCCCGGGTCCCCGCGGACAATCACCCCATGCATGAAATGCCGTTTCTATCAAATCGACCCGGCCCGACGGACACGGCGATTGTCATTGGTGAGGAAGTGGATTCGTTACCCACTGTACAAGGAACCCGCGGGTGCCCGAGCAGGAACTGACATCTCGCTTATGAAGAGGAGCCCTGATTCGGAATAGTTTCTCGGAACGCGAGTTTTGCGGTTTTGCGGCTCTGGTGGGGTGAATGCCATGTAATGGATGGCTGAGTCTGACACAATTGGAGTGAATGTGAGTTGTTCCGTTATGGATTCGGTCTTTGAGCTTCATCTTGTCACGAGGGTATGATGCATCACGATGTAACCGGTGTCTTATTCTGTGTCGCTCTCGCTCTCGCTGTCCGCGCTTTACGTGACGCGACAGCGAAGAACGAGTGCGAGTTGAATATGCAGGTTTAATTGAGCCATCGAATTGCTGAATCGTTATGCTTGTTACTTAGTCCCACTTGGTCGAAATGCCAAGCGTCTGGGTTGATAAGATGTAAGCCACGTTGCACATTATTGGGTGAATCTGTTTGGAATGACGGGTCCATCATACGTTATTTCTTAGTCTGACTGTGTGCACAATGCAGAGAATAATCGGGCTAATTATCTGCCATGATCGGAGAGATAGATCTGCCGTCTGTTGAGTCGCGATCGGTCTTAGAGTTTATTGATTGATCAATGCGGGAGACGCGTTACCCTACACATTTCGATGAGATTAATAAATTAAACCCCGGAAAGAAACAGGAATCGGCATGCTGTCAAAATAAATAAAGAATCGAATCAAAAATGTTTCCGTTGTCCTAAAATGAAGCAGAGAAATATTTATATGAAGTAACGCGTTTATGATTATCAGACGGCAAGCTCCCGATTTAACACAAACACGAACCGCACATCCCATTTTAAAAAGTCTAAATAATAAGAGTGAGATTCTAAGACTATAATTACTATCTAAAGAGTAAGAAATAATATAATTTAACCTATGAATACTCTTATTAAAATGCTCAGCCTTTTATAAATAACAAGCTCGTTTATGGACTCTCTCCTAGCCGCCGGAACAAGTATTAGCCGTTGCTGTGAAACTCGTCGCCGGCCACGAGTTTTAGTCTGGGCTCTGTTATGTGGTAAGCCAATAATCCTTGCCTGGCCAATCAGCTTATGACTCTATAGACCGAGGTTAAAACAGCCATTTCATCAGATACAAAGAAAAGTCTATAGCAGGTTATCGAATAGAGCTAATACTTTCTCTTGCTTTCTCTATTTATTATATCATAACTACATCTTGCTGATTCTTACCGAGAAGAAGTTTAATAAAGGGCAAGCTGCAATACTTCGGCCGCGGACATATAATAATCCGCTGAACCACAATCAATCCTACGAGATGTCTACGGTGTCTCTTCATATCCGGGGATGCAACCCTTTTCTTTGACTTTCCAGAACAGCGACATAGAGAGCATCGTGATACAGTAGCAATGCAGCTAATTCTGCAATGTTACGCAGCCACGCTGTCGCATCGCGATACAGCGCATCTTATCGAGATAAGCACAAGATCTCAGATCCACTCTTGTAACCGAGCCGAGGTACGGATAGACCCACTGAATCCCGAGCCATGAGCATCTCCTATTAAAATGCCCAATTCCATTCGACACTCTCCTTCCACCTCTCAAATCTAGCCAGCAAGATGGCCCCAACATTAGCGGAGCAAGTGGCAGTAGACCAAGTCTCCCCCGGAGAATATGTCTCCCGACTCAATCCCATCAGAATGGGCAACGCCATGCCCATAGCCTACGGCGGCTGCACAGCCAGCATCGCTGTCAACGCAGCATGCCACACAGCACCACCCTCAATGTCACTGTACTCTGTCCTCGGGCACTTCCACGGCCCAGCATCAACGGATAAGAAACTGCACTGCAGTGTAACCAACATTCGAGATACGAGATCTTTCGCTACACGAAGGGTTCAGGTTAAGCAACAGCAGCCCAATGGGAAATTCCGTGTCTGTATGGAAGTCCTCGCGGATTTTCATATTATTGAACAGTCGGATTGGGAGTACTCTGAGGCGACGTGCTCAAAGTGGCCGAGGGCGGAAGATTGTCCGAATTTGGAGGAGTTGGTAAAGGGCTTGTTGGAGAAGGGCAGTATCACTGAGAAGCAGGGCAAGGAATTCGCAAAATCCTTCGCAGCGAATGCAGATTTCTTTGAGACGCGCTACTGCACCGCCGGCGTATCCTCCCAGAACCTCTCCGGCGCAGCACGACACACCAAAACAACCCAAGACCACCTTTCCATCACGGAAAAAGTATCCGCCGAGTGGCAGCGCGCCCTCCACGATCTCCCAACACCAACCGCCAACATGAGCGCGCTAGCATTCCTCATGGACGGCGGTCTTTCATTCTTGCCCTTGAGCCATAACCATATGTGGTTTGACGACACTGCTGCTTGTTCAACGCTGGACTTTGCGTTGAGGATTTTTGTGCCGGACGTCAAGATGGGGGAGTGGCATGTTAGAGAGAGGAAGACGAGTAGGGGAGGGGGGAATAGAACATATTCCGAGGGGAAGTTGTGGGATGCGCATGGGAATTTAATCGCGAGTAATACGCAGCAGTCTATTATGAGGTTGAGAGAGGGCGTTGTTGTGCCTAAGCTATAGAGTGTATGACTAGGTAGTGTATAAGAAGATATTAATAGAGTAATGTGTACTTTTTTCTAGAATCCAGTGCTCCCCCCAATCTTGAGTTTCTATTTAATCAGTATCGTCACTCACAAATGGCTGCCGCCAATTAGTTCGTCTCGCAGCTGCGTTACGGATGTCTATCTCACGGTCCCGCGATACCTCCGTCGCGGTCCGCGGCGTCATCCATATCAAACCACCATTCCCCGCGGCATCTGCAGTCATGTTTGCGGTGAATTCAGGAGATAAATAGCCATACAGGTCCAACGGAGCAGAGTTCTCCAACGCAGCGTGATTGCTCATGCGTGCGAATGGAGCTGGTCCGTTTGCTCTTGGGGGATCTCCGGGAGCCATTACGGCTTCTGGGGCACGGGGACCGGTGTCCTCGATCGGAGCAATTTGGTGCTCTCGCGGCTGGGGCCCACTCCAGCATGTTGCTGGGAGACCATCGCATATCTGCCTACCGGGTCTGGGAGGCACACTAGAGGAAGAAATAGAATCCTCAACCGCAGAGGTGTTTGGCACCGCGCTGTTAAGCATACCGTTGGCATCAACACGTGAGCCAGGGTTTGGAACAGTCGGTGTATGATCAAGGCCATTCCACTGATTCGTCGACTCTGAGCCGACCGAGTTGGTAGTTGTTTGCGCCGTAGCAGCATCGGAGGGTTGTGTCGGAACTTCTTCGTTCGTCGGCTCGGTCTTTACTCGTGGCTCTTTCGGTTGTTGCCGCACCGTTGACGGCCTAGCTTCAGTCTCGTCCTCATCGTCGTCGCTATCATCGCCGTCCGAGACATAAATAGCTGTACGCATAGACGCTCCCAACCGTGGCTGATCGGCTCCAGTGTTCTGTTGTTGATCCGAGGCATTGCCTGAAGCTGAGTCAGTAGCTTGTGCATCTATATATGATCAGCCATAACTCATGATCCCTTGCGTCAATGATACGTACCCATTTCGACATCTCCCGACAGATTGCGCTCTCCCATTCTTCGGATAAAGTCATCGACCTTGTCTTTGAAAGGAATCTCTGCATCATGGGGATCGTAATATCGAAACTCATTAACGCCAACCCATCCGACAAGACACTTCCCCGGAACGTCGGCCGCATCGAAATAGAGCACCGGATATTTCCGCTTGTGATAATACCGGCCCCTAGGCTTGTAGTTCTCAGTCCACTCGACACTCTCTGTATCACGATTGTAGTTGTAGCAACTCGGAATATCCCTGTCCCTGTCTAGAATGTCGGAGCAGCTCTTGAGTGTCATTTCCCAACCAAACTTGCGGAAGCTGCCCCACGGCAAGACGAGGATCGCGTAGAATTGCTTCGTCTTTGGCCAGAAGGCGGTATAAATCTCGCCTGGCTTTGGGTCCAGACCAGGGATGACCTGGGTGCTTCTCGTTCGAGGGTGCTCGCGGCTAGAGCTTGTGGACTCGGTGGAAAGAACGCTTGAAGGTCTACCTAGAGCTTCGTACGAAGGCCTTTGCGTAACGTCATTGTTGAGATCTGCCAGCTCCTTGGTGCAGTCTCTCACCCGCGTGCCGAGCATACTAATTGTCTGGTCGTGATTGGGCTGTAAGTGACCATGCGCCCCTGATGTCAAATGCTTTCGAGCACCTTTGACGGGATTAATGGTCCTGAAGTGCAGTTTGCATTTCTTACACTCTAGGATATACCAAGAATCCTTGTGAGAGGTGATCATGTATTTTGTTTCGGCGTTGCCGTCCTGGTACACGTCGGCGAAGTCGATCGATCGGTCGCCGGTAAGTGACTTTGGAGGCTGAGGTATGTTTGGCCGGGACCGCTTGGCTAGGTGGGATATGTTGGCGTGTGGAGGGCTCGCGGGTCTCTTCTGCTGGGCTTGCGATGGCTGTTGAGCCTTTTCTGAAGACTGGCCGGTTGTGCGTGCTTCTTGAACTCTAGAGCTTTCGGCGACTGGAAGGACAGGAGCGGTTTCATTCGTAGCGTTCTGTGGATGTAGTGGTTGCGAGACGGGGCTTGTATTGGTAGTGAAGGACGAGTTAGTCGTCACCTCAGCTGCTGAGCCAGCGATAGTATTCGGCTGGGTAGGGTTATTTAAAGGCCGCTGGCCACGCATTCGCCACGTCTTGTACAACGCTTTACCGAGCTCAGGACCGAATGTGTCGAGGAGCCCAAAAATAAGAGCAACCTGCTGACTCAAGAACAACTGCTGATACTTGCGCTCTTTATCATCCTTGTGTGCTTTATGCTCTGCGACTAGTTCGTTCAGGCGGATTCCGCAGGATACGACATGATCCACCTTAGCTGTGTACGAGGCTGGGTCCTCTGAATGGCCACGCGTCAAGGCGGTCGCTGTATCGAAACGTGCTTGTGCTTCCTTATACTTTTCTTGGAACTCCTCTTCTGGTGACTTCGTCGAATGCGGAAGAGGCGTCCATTGTTGGAGGAGCGCCTGTATGGCAGCGACTCGTGATGAATGGAGGCCTGGGGGGCTCCCAATGGCTGGGCTCGTTGTGGCTTGGTCCGCCATTATAGGGCTAACTAGCTAGCGTGCGTCTAGCAGTATCGATATGTCGCGTGCTATAAGTGAGTTGAAGACAAGCGATACGCCAGGCACCAACGATGTCGCCAGAAACCATTGACGCGAAAAAGACTATCCGACAGACAGACACAGCAGAGAAGAAATAAATGAAGAGTAACAGTGAAAAATAAAGGAGGCCCCTCGCACACTTCTTTGTTTTTTCCTATAATTGACAGCCTTATTCTTTGGACGTCCAATCAAAATATTGTTAGGCCGGGATGTCTGTCGCTGGCCCTACAACCAACAGACCAACTAAGTATCAGCATAACGAGGATCCCTGCAACATCAGCAGGTTTTGTAACGGTGGCTTGCGTGAGAATGGTTTAGACTTGTTGTCTCTTGTCGAAACGGTTGCCTTGTTGTCTATGCTTACCATTGCGGACCGTTAAGCGGTGAGATGAGAAGTGATAGTGTGAGGCTGATTGCATAGGCTATGTATGAGCTATGGTCAACACCACCTAAATAAAAGTCAACCTGATTAAACTTAGCGCTCTCCTCACTGCGACCATGATTATTGCAAGAAAATGAGGCAAATCTATCTGGTTATCGTCAGTTTTCGTAAACCTGATAGCGCTGTTGACATCAAGCTGAGAATGAGAGGATTTTTCATGTTTATACAAACGATAGTACATCCATGTCAGGGCACGGAAAAGGATTGCGCACTATGCAACAAAGTCTCCCGACGTTTATCGTTTGTACACGGGTAAGAGCATAATATGAGGGCAGAACACGGAAAGATCCGGCAAAAACCTGTTTTGTGAGCTGACTTCCGCACATAAATAATAAGTAATTTTATTTGGAGAAGTGGTACGCGGTTCATCACCAAATCTTTGCGCTGTATCAAGAGGAAGACGAGACTCAAAGTAGATGGATATAAGTGGAGGTTTAGAAGCGAATTACCCTGTGAACTTAGTCCTAGTTTTGGTATTCGGTCTACTTCACTCAAAGTTACATTGTTGAAGCTGTTGTGATGTAACAGACCTAGTTATATTCTTCTGCCTGTCTTCTGTTATGCGCACGAGCCATAAGTATAGTCGCTTGAGCTTAAGGCCAGTCTACTGGGCTTATGCGTAAAGAGACTAGCGACGCTACTATTCCGATGAGTGAAGGTATTAAACATCTGTATGCTATTGAAAGGTATATGGTATCATTGCTTGAAGTAGAAATATAAAAAAACAAGATCGTCATGTTCATACGCTTCGCCCATCATCAGACTTGTTCTGATGAGCTAACTCTCTCAGGCTCTCAGAATCTTCTGTCCTTGAGTTCAACACAGTCTTGAGTTTACTTCTCCTCCTTCCACGCTCCTCATCAGCCTCCCAAGCCGGTTCATTTATCCTTGTTCTCGATCCCCAAAGGCCTCTCTCTTCCAGCAACGCTTTGCATGCGGCCCATGACGTAACGGCATAAATAACCGCGTTCCAGAATCCTTGAAGCGGAAGAACCGTCGCGCTCATGAATTGCAAAGGCTTGCTGACTTCCGAAGGGTGAATGTGTGAATACATCCTATTAGCGCTGGACGGAATCCACGTAATTAATATCACCGCAAAAAACAGCATCGCGACTTTTGTATAAGCCCATGCCGCACGGTATACATCGTTGCTAGGGCGCACCGCCGGGCGCTGGACAGGTTGGGGCATGGTGCTGGTTACACGAGCAATCGGTTGAGGTGGCTGGGGCTCAGCATGCTCGCCAATAGCATGGACGGTAACTTGATGGCCCATGTTTTGTAATTGGATCGCGTCGGGTTGAGTCGCTGCTTCGGAGGTGATGGTCACTTCGGTGGTCTTCATGTTGTTGACGGTGCTTTGGTTGACGTATGATAGACCGCCTGAGCCAGAGCCCTGTGCTTTGAGGAGTTGTTGGCGTTTTCGGTAGATGGTGCTGCCGGAGCGGATGTAGATTGCGAGGGTGATGGCGATGATGACCCTGTATTGTCAGTACACTGTAATAAACTGTGAGGTAGAGCAGGCGTAGTTACCAGATTGGCCCGTAGAATGTTGCGATGCGCAGAGTGTCCCATGATGAAGTGATCCAGCACCACTGAACAGCGCTACCATAAACTCTCACGCCATCGCCATTCTTAACGAAGATAAAGATAAATGCTGGCAAGAATGGGATACCATAACAGAGAAGTAAATACGGTAACTCCATCTTCCTCAACCGCTGCGCATCGAAGCGATAGTAGAACGCAAGGTAAACATTAATCGCCATCGCAAGGGTCCATAACGCATCAGCCCCAACAAAACTGCACAAATTAGCCAAGCGTCGTAGCGAAATTGTCTGTGAACGTACGTGTGGAGTAAGAAGGCCTGTGTCTGACATCCAGCCCCATCAGGCGCGTCGATAAACGAATCAGCCATGATGAAGCAAATACTCGCCATGATATTCCCAAACGACGCGTAAAATACAAGTCGATTAATAGGTTTGTGGAAGGCATCGCAGAGACAGAAAGTTGTGATGATGAAGAGACATCCTACCAGCGATAGAACGGAGCATACTTGCTGAATGATGGTGATGAGCTTGACATCGCTGATTGATAGCCCGATCTCCATATTGTCAAGCCTCACCTGCACAACGATTACCAAATGATAAGAAAAGCAAAGAAATCCCTAAAAGGACATTCGCGTTTTGCACCGGGGAATGCAAGCCATTGTCAGGGTTTTAAGTCTGGGAATGTTGACCCCCTTTCATGTGAATTTGCCGAAGGATTGATCTGCAACAGGGGAACCCCATATGTGATCGCCAAGGGGAACCCGGGACGTTGCAAATCATGGACCTAAAGTAGTATAAGGCTTAAATAGTCGCTATTGGTAACGGTTCCAATTGGCGCTTCGTCAAATTTGCTGGTGGGGAGATGGAAGACCGCCGGCAGATGGCTCTTGGTTTTTAAGGCTGTCGTTTGAGGGATCGGCATTGGTGTTTCTGGAAGAAGGAGGTTGAACCAACGCGATGGAGAGTGATATGAAGATCAGAGGGGACGAGCGCCAGGCAGCTGGGAGAGACTCATGAAGCTTGTCCTTATCTGATCAATTAATGCGGCAATCGCAGTGCTTTGATCACAGGCCAGCATCAGCTCAATCAATTCCCTTGCAAGAAGGTCGTCATGGAAATGTTTCATGTCCACCGGTCTATTCAGTCCTGATGCATCATCCATGCTAACACCAATCGGTCGAGGTCGACCATACAAAGCACTTCAGCAACACCTCCCGAAAACTGATGCGAAAAAGAGTCACTTCTCCCCTGTTTATGAGTTGTTTTGACTGACTCGCGCCTGAGACGTGGTTAGCCTGATTTTCGTTTTACCATGCAAGTGCAAAACAAGAGCCTTTCCCCAATTCGGAAGGTCAGCAAGTGATATTCCCGCCATGTACGCAATGCCGATGGACTTAATTATGCAGTTCGCACAGAGTTGTCGGCATTGACTAAGATTGTGTAATTTCCAGCGCTGACATGTCATGGGGAACGGCCGAGGGCGCGGCGAGGATGCTCCGGCGAAGGATTGTTGTAAAGAAGGGTTCTCGCAGGCTTTATTCCAGACGATGGAAATGTAACGATACGTGCTTTTCTGTGGTTTTGTCTTTTTTTATGATGTACTGGTGAGAATGCTTGACGAGTAGGATGAGGTGAGAGCGTGTATCGGGAGAGTTGCCGGAGGAGCAGTGATTAGTTTGCGTGGGGAGTAAGTGAGGCCCCTGTAAGATGCCACTGGGGTCTATGCGCTGTATCGCCTGAGGAGCAGGAGTAAGATGCGGAGAGTCTACACCAGCGCGGCTCAAATGGGACGCGACACTTCGGCATTCAATTATCACAAGCATTTGTCTCGGCAATTGTCAACAGGGCTCAGACAAGGGACTTAGGGATTGGCATGAGGCGTTCATGCTATTGGGCCAGACTACACCAATTAGGAAGGTCATGTCTTCGAAGTCGGCAATCCAGACACTTGAATACATTCTCCTGATTTGGCCTATGAAGCTCAAACCTATGTATCGATCATGGCAGTGTGGCCTTGATGAGCTTGACGAAGATTCTGGCCAGCTGATGCACGGAGCTAGTAACAAGTCGGACACGGCATTGAGTACCATCCAAGAGAAATAAAATGTCCGTGGTTTTGCAAGGATTCAGCCATTTGGGGTTTCTTTTATACAGCTATCTAATGAACTTCTTAGAGTGCTGCTAATTATAATCATGTCTAGCCAAGCCAGTCCTAATCGTTTTCCTCGCTTAGTCATGCACTTTTTTGACTGCTGCCACTTCAGCGCGAGCTGGAAACACTTTCAGTAGCTGCAAGCATGTTATCAATGTCAGCCTCTGATATTTCCCCTGACCAATTTGCAAATCTTCGCAAGCGCTGCGCATGCCTTCAACTAACAAGCACAAAGCCAGATGCCATCTCGCCCAGAAGCCCGTCAGCTGAGGAACAGGGCCAGGAACAAGAAGTTGATCTGGATTGGAACGTGACCCATTTCCTGGCCCACGCCTTTAGTGAAGGTAGAGCCAAATGCGGTTGCTGCGAGTTTCTTCATCGCGTCGTGACCTGGTGGGAGATCCACGATGACTCAGTGAATGAATTCTTAGCGAAAGATGTCCCCGTGTCGCTGCACTATGTGTTTCGCTTTGATGAGACCGATGGGTATGGTTTAAAAGCCCTACGCATCAGAATAAGACCCGGTAAATACCAAGAACCGGCAGACAGACGTGTAATGGCTGACGGGAAACGGGATAGACGGCGAGGAATTCCATCTTGATTGCCCTATCACGGCAGCTACTGATCTCGACATGGGCACACGTCTCTGAGACTTCAACCACCTTTATCTCATATCAATGAAGAGACCTTATCATGGATGAAGTCAAAGCTGGAGTCGTGTGTATTACATGACCATGTAAACCCGGACAAAACCTTCATTCCCGATCGGCTCATTGATGTTAGAGAAAATCGGCTGAGCCTAGTCCTTACCAAGAATTTTCAACCTCGAGACGCCGAAGTCCAGCGATATATTGCCCTTACATACTGTTGGGGCCCAGAGCCTCATGCAAGCAAACAGCGTAAGACAACCACTGTCAATATCTCCCAGCATCGGCAGCAAATCCCAGAGTTCTCCTTGCCACAAGTTATCAAGGACGCCGTGGCTGCAACAAGAGCGTTGTCGATCCCATTCCTTTGGGTAGATGCATTATGCATTCTTCAAGATGACATATCCGATTGGACAAGCAATGTGCCGTGATGGAACGAATCTATGGCAACGCCTACGTGGCAGTGGCAGCTGCATCGTCTCACAACTGCGAGGAAGGATTCATCCAAAGGACAGATAGAATTCTCCTTCCTTTCAGAACCCATTCTGACGACACTCATGTCTTTGGTATATACTCTCCTCTCTACAAAGCCGACGAGAGAGAAGACCTAGTCTTCAGCCCTTGGCTTGAGAGAGGCTGGACGTTCCAGGAGCGCATCGCATCAACTCGCCTGCTCATGTTCTCGAAACGAAACGTGCATTTCAAGTGCAAATCCTTCAGTGAATCAATGGGAAGGGAGAAAAATAAGTATAACACGGATTTCCTCATGCTCAACCGCGTGATAATCGAATCGGGTGGCACGGCAGACATCTATAGAGAATGGGCCGAGACAATATCTCAAGTCAACCCTGGGTACCATCAGTTTACCCGGGAAACAGACTTCCTTCCTTCAATTGCTGGTATCGCAGCGCTTTTCAGTAGCAAGTTGAATGATGACTACGCAGCTGGTCTTTGGAAGAATAGCATGCATCAATCACTCTGCTGGGCTTTATCAATATCAGGAATGCCCAGTTATCAAGACCTGCTGAAGAGCTTGAAAACTCCTTCTCCATACATTGCCCGCTCGTGGAGCTGGGCTAGTCAACGAGAATGGTTCACTTTCGATCTATACCATTCAAATCTTTTAGCTGATTGTCGACCAGAGTTCGATAGCCTAGACACAGCTATCACCTTGCGCGGCGAGTCAGTCTTTGGCGAGGTGAGAGATGGCGCGCTTGATATTACCTCCAAGGTGTACGTTGGATCGCAGCGGATAACATACCACAAAGCCTTTCGACAATTCGATCCTCCGCAAGAAACTGTTAGATTTGACGGGCGATACTTTGCACACATCAAGCCTGATTGCTCTGCTGAAGACATATTCGAGTCACCCGAAACTCGTACACTCGCAGCGCCCATTAGTTTCCTGCTGATAGGGAGTACCATTCGACGCTGTACAGATGCAAATTTCTTTTCATCAACACATTCTGACAACTCTGAGACTCTTGGTGGTGATTCCCATGCAGGCTTTGACTATCAGTCGTCCAGCACCTCATCCCTGAGTGCTGAAAGTGGTGGTGATTTGGAGACGGAGACCAGATTCGAAAGAGCGGCTTATGGCCTGCTGATCCACCCAGCAGAAAATTCGAATGGGTATTATCGAGTGGGAACATTCTTTTCCAAGCCTCATGTAGCTGGGGGCCTGTCATTCTTCGATAATGTCATAGTTAGAACAGTAAGGCTGGTATAAGGGGATCTTACAAGGAGCATATCAAGGGTCTATTCGAGGCTCTTGCATGGCTTGCATGGCTTGCATGGCTCGTGAGGCTGTCTACCTGGGCCCGAAGTATGTTGCGCCCAGCTATTGCATACAACTACTTCTATATTCTAGATCTCTATATGCATACAGCTTTAATGATACTTTTTTTCTTTTTTTTCATGACCCAGGATTAAATACCAGGATTGTAAAGACTTGAGAGCTTTTCTTCTCTGTCATTTGATCTATTTTATTAAGATGCTACATAAAGAAAGCCTTTCAGGTATATCAGTTAATTTGCCTTGCATATGACCTATTCTGTTAATGTCATTGTTCAGCGCGGCCAAATCCCAGCATTATCTTTTATAGTCACAGCAGCCATTATCGGTATCAAGAAGTGTCTTCAGCAAGATGACTCAGTCAGCTATGGGATGCTTAACATTGCTATCCAATAATCTATCATCTAACTAAAAAGGACGAAAATAGCCATCTTTCGCAGAACTTACACCAATCTCTAGCCACAGCTGTACCATCAGTATGGCTACACCAATCTCGAGTCACCGCTGTACCATTAGCAAGGTGAAGCATACATTCATCCACCCCCAACTGACTCCAAGCTCTTAGTTTACGTAGATGAGCCGCTACACTTGGTTCATTCTCGCCAACCGAACGGCTTTCAAGGATCGCCAAGTGCTCCGCGACGTTGACTTGCATGCTACCCGAGACCGTGAAGTTCTCAAGGTCCCATACTGTCTCGCTCCTCCTGTGCATAAACCCGTTGTACTTTTCGTATCTTCCACCCCTCCCTTGTAGAAAGCTCTTCGTGCGCTGTTCATTCGCCCGGTACTTACTCACTGCTGCTTCGTACTCCTCGGGCTGTTCTAGCCTTTGAAGGTGGCGGCTCTGCTGTAGAAATGTATGCACGTTCAGCAGCCGCCGGGCCGTGATGTCGAGGGGTGTTTCGCCTTGCCGGTTTAGAAGATTCCACTCAACGTCTTCATGTTCAAGTTCCTTAAGTGCATCCAGATTACCCGTCTCGACTGCTATATGTACAGCAGCGCCAAACTCCGCATTCATCGCGTTCAGATATTCCGGTTCTGGGTACTTCTCAATGATGGCAGAAACAAGTTGGCGCGGGGCGCGGGGCCTGAACTCTGTTTGAGACTCGTCGAGAATGACAGACATGTGAAGAATAGATAACCCTTCGTTGGCAGTTGATCCTGAAGGTATACATGCACGGAAGAATTCTTCTGCGCTGGGGGGAGTAAGCTCGAGAAGAAAAAGAATTTGATTGTCGAAGTTGCTGTACTTGCGGCTCTTGCGGATGAGACGTGCTAGGAGGGTAGTCTCATCGCCGTCCTCATCTACGCGGCGGCATGACACGTCACATTGCTCGCTTTCGTATAGTTCGCGGGCACGCGCCTCGTACCCACCCATGACGGCCATCTCGAAGGCAGAAATGTCACTGTCATCTGCTTCGATGGGTAAAGGCGTACCTTTGGGCGGCATCAAGCTTGGCTCGCCTGTGCGTTCCATGATGCTGCGCCCACCAGGCCCGGCCCGTATAGTGAACGACATCTTGAAGCCTCCCTGAGAAGCCTTCTGCTGGAGGATATCCTGGCCGGCATCCGGGCCAATGGTTTCTTTGAGTGGCGGATCCCTGATTAAATCAAGCTTGAGTTTTGACCTTGCGTTCGACTCGAGGCGTTCCTTGATATCGTATAAATGGCTGATGAAGTCTGCAATTTTGTGACCTTGAATCGATGCTTGAAGCTCAAAGGCCGAGTCTGAGTCTCGAGTCTCTCTTTCGGCAAGTGGCAGGAGGTACTCAACCGCCGTCAAGTCCTCGACATCAAGGGCAATCTGAAGTGTTCTGATGAGATTCTTCGTAGTGGGCTGAATGTCTAAAGATCGCAGATGATTCAGCACAAACGGTTGGCCGTACAAGGTCGCTGCTGTGAACACGGAATGTTTGACCTGGGTGACGACGTCCCAACTGACTGCGTGGCCTTGGCTTCCACGTTTCAACAGGAAAGTAATAGTCTCCTCGCATCTCTTGATGTGATCCTTCCCATGCATTAATACCCGATCGTACAGGCCCTGGTACCAGTAGTCGACGGCACACCAGAGCGGAGTGACTTTTAGCGAGTGCGTTTCATAACACATCCAATCCCACAACTGTCCGTATTCCTTGTCATCAGGTAACAGGGCGCGAAGGATTTCTGACATGTGTAGTCTTGCGGCAAAATGGACTGGCGAGTATGTCCTCCCACGTTTCTGAGCAGACATAGTTCCTGTGTGCGGTTCATACTTCTCGGCTCCGTTGAATGGATCCGCGCCCAGGGAAACAAGCACAGAAACTGCTGTGAGGCTCGACTGTGCCACCGCAAACAGCAGAGGCGTCGCATCAACAAGGGTGTCTCGCAAATCGAGTTGGCCAAAGGTGCATTGCGCAGGGAGGTTGCATCGGGCTTCTAGATCGACACCTCTGTCTTTGATCTGCCGTGCTAAAGGAAGCATGTCCTCGTCTCCAAAATGGGCCAAGAAATGCATTGGTGTTAGTCCGGAGGCTTCATCCCTTAGCGGCGTATCGTGCTCGATGAGAACCTTGGCAATCCTATAGTCACCCTGTTGACAAGCTTCCATCAGAAGAGAAACACACAGGTCGGCATCCATGAAGCCCGGTAAGTCGAGAATCTTTTGCAAGCTGACATGCCAGCTCTTGCCAACCAAGTATCTGCAGATGAGTGGGAGGCGTCCTCTCAGTTCGTCGCTGTCTTTGAGCTGGTCGCTTTCCGAAAACGCCTGATCTGAAGGCGCAGAGATGTCTGCTTCCTCTTTAATTCGTGCATTCAGCGATGACATCCGATCCCTCATTACTTCAGCGCATCTTTCTGAACTCAATCGCTTTAAAGAACGTCGATCTCCAAGAACAGCCAGATCGTAGAGCCATCCTTCCTCAACCTTTGATTCAATAGGATTCGGCATCCCTACCCAATCCAGTACCTGTCCCAGAATAGCGCGGGCCCCTCCATGTCCAAGCTTGGCGGCAATTACAAGATATTGTCCGGCTTCGCTAAGTGACGGTGCGGAATTGGCAGCGGACCGGTGAATCCCAATGAGCCATGTTGCCATTGCATATGCCGCGAGGGATCGTGAGGTTTCGCAGTATGCGTCTGAGTCAGCGATCTCCCTTATCTGAGCAATTATTGCGGTAGTAACTTGGCCAGGAAGTCGTCTGAGCCTGCTAAAGTATGTATTGATCTAGACGCATAAGCCATGTTAGACCTGGCTAGGGTGCGAAAGCTTGCTGGTACTGCTTACCGAAATCGTCCTTTCTGGCCGAGGAATCAGGGTTACATGCCTCCCGTCCTCCACTCTCCGCTTCGTCTTTTCTGTATATATTTGACACAATTCTGGATAAGGGTGATGGAGTAGTGGTATGGTAGGTTCGGGATCCAGCTCTCGTTGTCTGTCTGTCGCCGCAGTGGACCGGCATATCACGTCCTCAGCTTCACCTAATGGTATACTGTTACCTGGATTGAGTTAGACATCTTTTTTACTGATTTAGAGACAGCGGGGCGCTTACCAGGGCTGAGAGAGACGTCTTCTTCAAGCCTATCCAAAGTCTCAAGGACTCGGACATTGTGTTTAGCGGCAGATGTAATCTCATGGTGGAGCATAGTCCTCAGTAGCTTGATGGGTCGTGCCGCTCCAGCCTGAAGCTCATCTTCGCCGGAGAGCATTAAGTCGAAGAACTCGGAGATGAGACCCGATACTTCGTCCGTGAAAACACGTGCGCCCGACGAGTCATTAGTATCCTTTTGCTTTCTGATAAAGCTTGCGAGAGCACCATCGTCAGTTTTGAGCTTATGCAGTGACTCTTTGCCATCACCTGACTTCTGCGCCTCCTCAAGCACCGTATACATGAAAGGCCCAACTAATAGAAGTGATGCCACAAGCGTCAAAGAATAGATATCAGCTTGACGCAGACCTTGATGGCTGAGGGACTCCAAGACTTTGGGACTTTGCCACAAAGGAGTTCCTGATTCGAGCTTGGTTGGTCCGTGTAGGTTGGAAACAAGAAGGGAGCAGCCAAAATCGGTAAGCTTTGCGCATGGCCTGCCTTGTTCGTCGATGAACACCAGGATATTTTCTGGCTTCAGGTCTGCGTGGATGACGCCGACAGTGTGAAGAGCAAGTAAGCCTTGATAGCAATGGATGGCCAGACGCAGTCTGTCCCTCGCATCGAGCTCCGTCGAACTCTGAAGATACCCCCATAAATCGCCGCCTTGGGCCGTCTCCAGCACAAGAACAGGCATCACAATGCGGTCGCTGTATACACTCCAGCAGATACCAACCATGTCGATGATGTTCTCGTGTTTCCGAAGATGCTCATTCTTGAGGATCGCGATTTCAGTACTGATGGACTCTGATAGGTCCTGGCCGGGATCCGAGTTCCAATCCACCGTCTTTTTCGGGACTCGGAGTACAACGTCATTCAGATATAGCATGGCCAGTCTATGGATAGTGGTCATTTTAAACCTCGAATCAACGTATTTTAGCAGTGTGTTTGGCTGGCTCCGCATGACCTGGAATGAGTTGCTAGGCGCCAGGGGAGGCTCTCTTTCAAAAGCCTTTTCGTCGATGCAGATGTTAACCAGCACTTCTTCTCTCGGGAATGGACATGTGCCTACTGCATCAATGGCGGCAGTGAATAAAGGCAGTAACCCCGGCATGGGCCGCAGTGATTCCTTCGTGTGGTTTGTCATCATGGAACTCAGTGATCGCCAGGGAGCCTTGAATGGCTACTCAAGGTGTTCTTGCTGAGCCAGATAGACAATATATGGCGGGATTCTGAGTAGGCTATCAAGGGTTCTTGCTGACCAGCCTGCTCAAGTGACCTGTTTCTTGGAATGGGACGGCAGTATTTATTCTTCTGAGACTACACCGAATGCAGAGATTGGAGGCGCAGTCTAGACTTTGCATTGTACAGCACGTGCAAAGTTTCAATCCATCACATTCTTGTGAGTCTGTGCCTTGTCAAGATTTGATTCACATTTAGCTAGCATCGCACGCCACAAAGATGAGGGGAAAAGCCTTATTGCAACCACCAAGACGAACTTATTTGGACTAAGGTCTGTGTAGTGATATAAGCCCCCAGCCACTGAGTCCAAGGTGGGCAGGGGCGGCCTTTCAGGGCTCGCTATTCTACTTTAGCGCAAGTATGGGCAACTGTGGCGGTGGCAGAGAGCCGTGAAATAACGGAGGTTCCCGCTAGAAGTTCCGCCATCAAGCGGTAGCACATGATCCAGGCCGTCCAAAACAAACATAAGTAAATGCTAGGTCTGATCAGCGTGAGCATGAAACAAATCCTCGTGATTTAGATTATTCTTATCCCTCCAAAAGTGCACCAAGCCAACGTACCCATTGCATACCAAAAAATGTCTGGCCTCGAGGCTATTGCCATTTTGGGATTTGTCCTGCAGGTCGTTGAGACTACCGTCACGGTCATCGATCTGTGGAAAGCCACAAATGAAGTCGGGCAAGAGGTTATCGTGATAAAAGCCAGACTCGACATGATTCGCGCCCGTCTCAAGACCTGGGCACTCGACTGGGGGCTGAAGGAGGGGAACCACATGAAAAGCCGACGCTTCAGAGAATTCGGATCTCTGGCTCTGAGGTATCTCTTGATAATCCAATATCGACTCACGGCGCTGGATAACTTTGACAAAAAGTATCCCTCACTGTTCCGAAATGATCGCGTCTTAGAGGGTCAGCCTCGCTCAGAAGAACGCGTTCTTCAACTCGCTCTGATCGCTCATGCGGATGGGCCGGATGTCAGAGAACTGGAGCTGCTTCAGCAGGAGGTAGCTTCTATAAACCATGCCAACATCATCCAGCGGGGGAGATGGGCCCGGAAGGAGGGCAAGGGGATGAAGATGACGGACCAAATTGCCGTATTAGTTGGAGAGCTCGAGGATTTCTTTACACCCCCGACGAGCGACCCGAACGGCCCAGTTTTCCTCAATCAAAGGTTGACGTCAGAAGAAATATCCTCTCCATGCCAGCCACAGATTGGAGGTCCTGTAGAGGATAGGGCTTCCAAACTAGTAGAGGGTATCGCTAATTTCAAGGAAGCTGCACAAGAGATGAGAAACCGAAGCGACGCTTTGCACCAACGAGAGTTGCTGCGAAGTCACCGAGGAATCAAGAACGAAAAGAAGCTGGACAACACACCTGAATACTCTACCAAGCGCAGCCTCGCCGATTTCAAGTCTCGCAACATCAACATCACACCTGTGATGATCGAGTGGATATGCGTACCAAGTAGCTTATCTGCGGAAATCAAGGAGGCTTCTCAAAACCAAATACACGACCTCGCTTTGCTACTACATTCGGAAAAGAAGCCCCAAGAGTTCAGGACTCTGGAATGCATAGCAATGGTCGATATGCCCGTGGCAGAAGAAGAGGACGCACAGTACGGTTTGATCTTCAAGCTTGAAGAGGGGCAGCAAGTCTACACTCTCTTGGAGCTGCTGAGCAGGGAAGGTTCTGCGCCCAAGTCTCTCACTGAGCGACTGAAGCTTGTTAAGCTGCTTTCCAAAACGCTGCTGTTTCTTCATCTGGGATCATGGCTGCACAAAGGCATCCGTAGCGATAATGTACTATTTCTTAGTAGCGACATATCTTGTGTTGACCTTGGTGCAGCATACATTGGCGGTTTCGACTACAGTAGGCTGTTCCGGGAGACCAGGTTGACTCAAAACGTTGGAGACAACCGATTTCAGAACGTGTACCGGCATCCAGATCACCAAGGCCATCCAGTGCGTCAGAATGGCGAGGCGGCTGACCGACCGTCTTTCTCCTACAAGGCCGACCTGTACAGTCTTGGTGTCCTGCTCGTGGAGATTGGTCTGTGGTCGCCGATCATCAAGCTTTTAGACGCTCGAGGGAGTCAAGAGGAAGACAGACATGTGCGCGAGGCAATACTTGACATGATTCCTGAGGTTAGGATGAGGATGGGTGACGCTTTCGCTGACGCAGCCTCGGTTTGCCTGAGGAGTGACTTCCATACGGGCGAGGCTGGACAGCCAGAGAGTGTTCAAGAGAGTTTTTATTTATCTGTGGTTAGATTGCTGGAGCGATGCTTTATATAACAAGACTTTTTCAACGTCACCGATACTTAAGCCTACTGTAACAAAACATCGCACTGAGAGCGCTTTAAGGGCCGAAGGTCAGATAGATGGTAACCTCAGCACCAACTCAGCTTGGGGTGGCAGGAGTTCAGCTTTAAAAACGGAAATAGATTTTGGTATGCCTGAGTCTTGTCTCGGAGCTAAGTGGCATCTATGAAGGCTAAGCCAACAAGGGAAATGAGGATAGATACAAGGCGTTTCTGCTATTAAACCAGGTTATATGAATTGGGAAGGTCTGGTATTCTAATCCAGCAGTCTAGAAATTGAAATAATAAAGTTATAATATATAGTATAGACTACCCTATTCTGCTAAAATACTTATTTAAGATTAAAATATATACATTAGAAACTATACTAGAATTATCTTCCTGACCTCTTCGAAGTCCTTTTCATCTAGCCAAGAGTCACTGCACTGCAAAAGTCCATACCGGCGGTATACCCCCTTGCCTTCGTTAGGCACCTCATACACTAATAACCCCGGCACAAGTCCATAAACGTGTTTATCTCGGCCTACAGGCAACCACAATACGTCAACACCCTGTCCCCATTCTCCGCCATGGGAAGGGCTTTGAGGCATGCTCTGCATGACTTGACGATTTGCGTCCAGCAAGTAGCGACATCTGAAGCTCTCTGTATGACCTGAACAATCATTCTTGACATATCCAACATCACTTCTCCCAATGGTAAGTTGGAAAATGGGGGCTCTGATGTATAGCCTTGAGGCGGTGCTTTTTATTACACTCAGAGCCTCGGAATGCGTAGGGAATTGTAGAGGCCGCTCCGGGTGGTCATCTTTGACATACATAGGCGTCTCGTAAATGTCCAGATAAGAAATGGGACAGTCAGATGCCCAGCACCAAGATGGTAGCTGCGCGTCCTTCGGTCTCTTGTATGCTTCACGCCGATTGGAATCATGGTACCATAAAAGACCCTGGGCAAGGCTCGGTCGGAAGATGCCATTGAAGTATTCAGCCCTTAGACGTTGTATCAGTATAGATGCCAGTCCATGGATGGCGTACAGCCGATCCGTTTCGTAAGTCAGTTGCGTTTTTGAGAAAACAGAGATAAGTTGATACCATCCACCGGCAAAAACAAGGTCTTTGTCAGGCCTCGTCATTATTTCTCGTGGTGAGAAGTGTCCACAACCAGCTTGATATGTGTACGGGACTTTGGAGTCTTCGGAGAAGATCGAACTTTGACATTGGAGATAGAGTCCTTGTAGAGTCCAGTGAATTATCCGCTTTGGAAGTGCTGTCTCTTGCAAGCACCATCCGCGTTTGGCTAGCGGCGAGCCATGGATATTTGATACTAGGGAACGGTCGTCCCCATTTGATTTGAATATGGAATATCCTGGCTCATCGTGTCTGGCAATCCTGATGGCAATGTCGTCCATGGGAAATCTTGCAAGCGGGCGTTCAGTCAAAAAGCCTTCTTGGCTATCTTTTGCAACCGACGCAGAGATACAGCACGCAGCATTTGACGGGTAATCCCCCATCCTGGGCGACTCTGAGCGAAAGTCACCAGTTGGTCCCTGAATGATGCATATTGCATCAACCCATAAGTATCGAACCTCCATCATTCTCGTCAGCAAGATGGCGTCTTGGATAGTTTCCGAAAGGTTCGACACAGCAAAGCCACGTAACCGCATCCCGAGATTGGTCTTTGTCATTTTGGACTTTTCGTTTCCATTGCCCCAGCAATAGCTGAGGATGAGGTAGTCCACGTCTCGGAGACTTTTGCAGCTCTTGACCTCGACAAGTTTAACCAAAAGGTCATTTGTCTCACCAACGTCGAGCAGTCGAGTCGGTAGACTTGATGATACGTATTTCGCGCCACAGAATTCGTGGTCTGTATGCTGTTCACGACAGCTTTCCATCCAAGGTTGAATCTGGTACTTGATGAGCTCAGCGAGTTCCTGTTGAATATTTCCCCAACTGAAGGCTGAAACGAGTTCATCTTAGCATAGAATAGTTTCTAGGGCATTTAGCATGAGTACCTTTGATATGGCGCCTCTTTATATTTCTAAGCAACTCTGTCTCGCTGGCCTCAACACGCACACACACAGTTCCTGCACTGGAAAGGAATGTTTCACCGTCATGCACCATCTTCGGTGTTAGACATAAGAGCCCGCGGTTTATGTAAAGCTTTAGTAGAATTGATGCTTCTATCAATCCTTTCGTCAGCGTCTTTAAAACCTCTGTGGTCACTTCACAGTTGTTGACTATGGATAGCCACACAAATCGACAAAATGCACAGCCTTGATCAGCTGACTCTTGGAGAGAGCCGAACTATTCTTGTAATGGTAGCTCCTGAGACAAAGACCAGTCTTCTTGGGTTGATGGCCACGGGAGGGATGTGCAGCCGGGGCAAAGTCGTGGGGAAGCATGTACAACTGCAACGATGTTGGCTTCGTCAGATTCAGCTGGACCAGAATTCGCTACCATTGTAAATCCAGTGAAAGGTAATTGCTAGTGAATGTTTGGTAAAGATAGACAGGTAAACTTTTAGTGTTAGATGAAGGTAAAGACAAAAGCTCGATGACAAGATGTTAAAATTTGAATTACAGTTAAACAATTTTTGATTGGGTTGCTCTAAAGTAGAGTGGAGAGCATTCTTTAATGGCCACTTACCCTATCAATTCTTTAGGATCATCTTTTTGCTTGTTATATGTCGCCTCAGATGAAAAAAAGAAAAAGATTCTTCAATTGGATTGTTTTGTTAAAGTTTTCGATATAATATGATGCTCTTTTTGGTTCGTAAACCGCTATGGCTAGGAAATGTTGCGTCGAAATTTTGTCTTGTTCCTTCTGAACGCAGAGGTCAACCCTGACCCCGCTAACCATCATAAATAGCTAGCACTGACGACGCAGAGGCTTTCGATGACGACTGAGACACTGGAGAAGTTAGAATGCCTCAAGAACTGGGTCAGACATGGTGCGTTGAAGGTAAGGGTAGCAACTGGTGGAGTAGACGAGGTCCACTGGGAAACTGGAGATAGTGGTATGGAGAGCATAGAGGGTAAGATTTGAAGCATTTGAAATGTTTGAACAAATATCTTAAATAAGGAATCCAGTCTTCAGGGATATGAAATATCTCAAATATGACACTGGATTTGATTTGTTTGATTTGAGGGCAGCGCTGGGGTCGATGAATCGAGTATCTGGCTTTCACAAGATGGAGCTTTTGTACATGACATATGGAACGAGAAGTCACCCAAGGGTCGTTTCCTTAGAGTGTTTTACTCTACAGGATCGATCTTCTCCCCGGCCATGACACAAGTGCCACCTGAGCATCAGAGGTTAGCATTTGCGTCTTCGGCCTGATTATTGCCCTCATAGAACAGTCATGCCTGTGGACTAGGGATGGAGTGACGGACTCTAATCACAAACTCATCCCACTGGAATCGCGATCGGTATTAGATCCTGTGCAATTACTGATGATTGTCGAGAATACGTCCTCGACAGGATATTCTGATAAGATTGTACGAGCGTCACTAGAAGGAGTTGAAACTATTAGGTTTGATGAGGTCAACATATCCGACATAATGGTAAGAAAGGCCCGGACGTTTACCTCCTGTTGGGACTTAGCCCATCTCTTACATGAAGTTCCAGATTGCGCGTGTGGAGTCCGAAAGAGGAGGTGGTTTTTATCTCTAAGCAAGTGTGAGCCCAGTATCCCAGTTTGGCCTGAAAAAGCCACATGGAATTACTCGTCGCTCCTTGATTACTCTTTGAATCCTCTCACTTAGACGGTGTGTAATATTTGCGCGCAATTGAATCGTCAGAGTGAATGTTCTGCCGTTCATTTACTGTCGTTAGGGTTAGAGTCCTGGCTGCATCAAACCGGATGTGAAACCAGATATACGACCCCAAGGTAAGAGACACGGTTCGCATCCAGCTGCACGAATCTGCAGAGCATAGTGGAAACTGATGGTGACATATGACTTTTTTATTAAACCTCAATTGTCTTCCCTAACCAACAGCAATACTACAAATCCTAATAAAGGAGCTCTTGCTTCGAACTATTATCTATAATTGTATGCTTAAACTTCTTCGCCGCTCTTTGTTTGGTCCCATGCTCTAAATTATATAATATCCGTCAGAATATGAATAGGTCATCAAGGATGATTGCAGAACACTCGCGAAATACAAACTGAGCTTACCTTAAAGATGAGCCATCCGACAACAGTAAGCGTTAGAACAACTCCGGCGACAAGAATGTACCAGCGCCAGTCGGGATTATTACTTAGAAGATTTACATTCATACCGAAAAGGCTCTGTACGTTCTTTTAGCTCGCTAATAGACACCTCAAACTGGCCTCTAGGCTCTAGGAATAAACTCACTGAAGCAAACATCGCAGGGAGAAAGATGAACTAAGACCATTAGTTATAGCCATTCACTTTGCTAAAGCTTGACTTACCGTTATCCAACTAAGACGTTTCATGCTAGTTGCAACGCTAGTCGATTTGCGGACCTCAGTGATTGATATCCAGGCAAACTCTTATGTCACATCAGCACGGCCCAGCGAAAGCACAAGTTGGTAAACTTATTAATTGGAGTAGGTCCCTGACTGTTTGGTCAAGGTTGTGAATACGCTCGTTCACCCGTTTCTCAATCCGATCGATGGACTCTCGGATCCGCTCGAGCCCCCTTCCGCCATTGTAGCGTTGGCAATATTTTTGAGCGAATGAACGAGCGTCTTGAGCATGTCCCTTCAGGATTTTCCGAAACTCAGCCCACTGTCTTGCATCTACTGCGAGGCAATCAATGAGCGTCAGGTTGCTCCCTTTGTGCTCCAACTGCTCGAGGCGCTGCATGAGTGGTTAATATATCAAAGAACATCAACTAATACTGGACCTAAATGAGCATATCAAATAGGATTTATTCGATTTTCACTCACGCAATTGGAAAGATGTTCCTCTGCCAGGTCACATACTCCCAGCCACCGCCTCTCGAGATCATCCAGGAACTGCGTAAAAAGCTCGGCGCCATCCTCTGGTGTCCCGCTGTTTTGTAGAGTGCTGAAGAAGTCCAGAGGTACCCACACTGGCTCGCTTCTCGCATCCACACCACGCCTGATGGTCCAGGTGATTCTGCACTCTTCTTTGTCGGGTATCAGTAAGCCGCCTAATTTTTGATCAGGATGCCACGGAAATAGCAGGATAGCTGCTGAAAGGACGAAATGTTTCCCGTCACCTGCACATACAGACTCAGAAAGGTGCAACTTGTTGGGTTGCAGGATCTCAATTGAGTCACGGATCAGACCTTTCTGCCATGGCAGAGAGTTTTTGAAAAGACTTTTCAACGCTTAGCGACCGTCCGCCGTATTCCTAGGGCTATTGAGGTAACTTACAAGAAACGCCTTTCCGAGCTCCTGTTCTGAGGTCCCTGTATTGCTTCATTGGAGGACGCGATTTCGTTCACACGCGCAACACTTAGAGTTTTTTCGCCGCCGTTTTCCGTTAGACAGACATAGAAACTCCCGGTCAAATTGTAACCCTCAAACCATTCATACAATTTGATTTCCTTCGTTTCCGCCGAGTGTTTAAGAAGTAATGCGACCAAGTCAACCCGACGTTGCTGAATGGCTGATCGTAGTGGTGTCATCCCTTCATTATCTCCACCATTTATGGCTGTCGTGCGAGAAAGAAGAAACTCGGCTATTTCGTAATTCCCAGACAATATGGCGCTATGCAATGGTGTTTGGTTGAGAAGATTGGTCCTTTTAACGTCGTAACCTGCACCAACGAGTGATTTGACCATTGCGAGGTCTCCGTTTCGGACCGCCGAGCAGAGAGTGACTAGGTCTCTCGATAACAGCATGTCGACGATGAGGTGGTGTTTTTCCTGCACTGCCCAGAACAGCGGTGTCTGGCCTTTCTTGTCTGCCAAATTCACATCAACTCTGTGCTTTGAGGCAAGCAGTCGTTCCACAATTCTCTCCTTTCCCTCCATTGTAGCCCAAGTCAATGGAGTCCAGCCGTCGTCATCTGCCACATTTACGTCGATGTTGTCGTCTGCCAAAAGATAATCAACGGCTTGCTCTTGTGCTGAGCCAGCGGCCCAAGAAAGCAATGTTCGACCCTTGTTATCCCACGAGTGTTTTTCAATGCCTGGGGTTTCTAGAAGATACCGGACTCTAAGGTCACTGAGCGAACCAAATGGTAAACAGTTGCTCAACGCCCAAAACAGGGGTGTGCGACCCGATTTGCATTTCGAATTCAGCTCAATACCCGGTTGATCGAGGAGCCACTTGACTACATACGGGTCTCCCTTCTCTGCGGCCCAAGACAATGGAGTCCGGCCGTCTTTGTCTGGATGATTCAACAAGCTGTTGCTCTTTTGGTACAGGAGCCCCGCGATCCTCCTTTGGGCAGGATCCCTAAAGCCCCCCACGACCTCATGACTGGAGTTGAAACTAACAATCCATGACATGAGGGTTCGTCCGTTGTCATCCGTGAAATCTACATCGATGTTGTCGCGCTTGAGAAGTGTCTCCACGACGTCCAAGGCGCTATCGTGTATGGCGCTATCGTGTATGGCCCAGAAAATCAGTGGGCAGCCATCATGCCTGATGTCCACATTAAGACTCTCCCCCCAGCTGAGCAAATGGCTGATTTGCTCATAATCCTTCTTCCCCAGAGCGACTCTGAGATTCTCGTTATTTTCTTCAGATCTCTCTGCTCCGAGATGTTCTTTCCATCTCTGGATTCCTGTATAGTGTGTTTGTTAGCTAGTTGTGCCCTTCAGAGGTCAGCTGACATCTGCTAGCGAATCTCATAAAAATATCTCTTGTTATACTGCCAGTCGCGGATGTACTGGTACCTTAAGAGACGAAAAGTGCCTGGCGTACCGCTAGGGAATTGTGACCCAGATAACAAATTTCCGTTCATCATTTAGATTGGCCGTGGTGAGAGGTTACCCTTAAACTAATTGGGATCGAGCCGTAGGTTTGTACTGTATAGATGTGTCTCTGAGACCTAAGTATGCGAAACATAGAGGTTGTGAGATCAAGATAAGAGGGTCTTTATGAGAGCCAGCCCCGCCCTACCTCGTGTGCGGTACGAGTTAGGAGGGAATTCTGATACTGACAGGTTAAGCGGCGCAAATGACTCCTTGCAGGTTCGGGCCTGGTTGCAAAGATAGACCAATGGGGACATTTGGACAATGGGGACGACCTGGGTTTTAATAGCGCTGATACATCGTACGAGGTGCCTGGTTCTGTCCTTACGTCAAGCTCACTGCGCCTCCATGTCCAACTGACCTGGCTGGCTCGAGGGGATTGGACGGAGCGTTCGGTTGCTGCTTATGCAAGTAGATATCCAGCATCCCCATGTCGAGCCACGTGTCATATCTAGGACTTCTGACAGAGAAGTTCTGGAGAGGATGCAGGCCTTTTATAAATGAGAAGGACAAGGCGCGTACTAATTATCTTTGATAGGAGGAGGATGCGCGCGGCACTCATAGGTTACGCCATCTCCCCCGGCCAACAAATTGTGATTGGTCAACCATTGGTTGTCCCCTTACAAGCAGTAAATGTCCGGCGCTGAGAACAAATCCATCGGACGGCAATTCGAAACACGAATAGAACGAATTGTTTATCCGACTTGCTCCTCACGCGTTGAGTCTACTATAACTTGAAATTCTTTTTTGTTTTCGATTTTCTTTTATGTCAATGCATCGATTAAGGACTGAGGGGGGCTCTCAGTACATCCTTCAACGGCCTAAGCTCGGTTTTACCTCAAACTGGAAAGAGATTTATCATATCCTGCAGGGCCTATAACGCGTCAAAAACTTTATCATTACAAGGTATTATGATAGGTGATAATAGCTATTTAATCTGCTCGATTGCTAAAATGCTGCGGAGGAGTCGAGCGAGCCTTATTATTCGTACAGCTCTTTCTCTTCATACAGCTCTTTCATATCGGGTTTCGTCATCCTCAGGCATCGGCGTGGCGTCTCCGCCATCTCCAGACATAGTTACGCTGCTGAGTGCGTTGCTGGTCACCCTGGCCCGGCAGGTGGATGAGCTGCGGACGGAACGGCGTACTGCTTGGAAATGTCGATGGCGAGTAGAGCTGGAGCATAATTTGTCGGCAAGGCTCTCGAGGCTTTTCCAGGGCGAAGCAGGCGATTTAAACCTGTCTTTGAGTTATAAAGCAGAATAATGTGCCGCTTTGAAAACAGTAGTAAGTAATTGGGACACAGAGAAGAAGAGGACAAAGAGGTAATTATTCGTAACAGATTAAAAAAGCAACGCCCACAATTTACTGACCTCTTGCTTTCAGCAAACCAATGGGACTCCATGCACCTTTCTTGGCCATTCTACTGTTACATGGCAGGCATCTCAGTCCCGACTCAGCCTCACTATGCGCCAACAACGTGGAGCAGCCCTAGAGCAGGCTCGGTTTATCAGGGCGACAGGTACATTCAGATAACATATGCGGCTTTGGTTAAGTTCTAATTATACTATACTAGGCCAATTAAAAACACCCCAAGTTCTTTGATATATCTTATGCAATTTTTAGAGCAGGCAAAAAGCTAGTCGTGATTGCAGACAGCCCTAGTCTTAATATGCCCTCCTATAAATAAGTATATAACATCCTTGTTTTAATTTGAACACGCTGTCTTGAATTGGATAAATCCTATGCATCTACAAATAACCTTTACCAGTGTCTTTTAATAATTAAAATACTTTGACGCGAAATATAAATATTATACTTAGAATATAGTTATCTTAAGATCTTGTCTCACCTTAATTCTTATCTCTCTTAAGATGCTTTCTCATCTCAAGTTTCTAACATATAACCAGTGGCAAAATACTAGGCCTCCTATGCTTTCCGCTTAAGGCATGTCCCTAAGAGATTCCATTTCCTGATTTGGCGTTCGCGCAGGGACTAACGCCTCTGCCTCTTCTGATCCAGCGGGTGCCTCAGCACTAATATAATGCTTATTTGTCCGTCGCTGGTTTACGTATAAACCGCTCTCTGACAACCACTGTTAGTCTCTGATCTTTCCAACAAACCGCCAAACAGAGCAAGTAAAACTCACTGAAAAGAATGACAATTGCTTCTTCCACAACTGGAACCCAAGTCGCAAGCGCCAGAATCTGTCCAAACCCCCAAGATCCCTCAGATTCCTGCACTCCTCCACCATTCACGCTCGCAATATCCGCCCTCAGTGTGAAAAGACTTCCAAGGGCAGTCCACATAAAGATGAAAAAGAAAACAGAACTCAAAATCCTCCACGGCACACGGAAGAATAGCCAGCCTACCACGGGTACCTTATCCGCTGGCCTCTTGGTGCACTTTCCAACAAGGTACGTCAAACCGGCGAGCATCGCAGTGACCGCCGGAATAAGGTAAAAAGCGAATATTGCACTGCTGGCTTTAAACGATGCCTTTGAGTCCCAGCAATTTGCTTCAAAGGGCATTCTGCCATGTAATCTAGCTGCAGTTTCGGCAGTAGAACTCAAGCCCATCACTACCGTAAAGAGCAACCATACCACAGCACCAAAGAAACTTCCCGAAATAGTTCTCTGCTCAATGTCGAGGTAAATTGGAAGAGTGAGAAAGTAACTAGCTGTCAAAACAGCACAGGCGAGACGTGACATGTTAATGTCGTAGACGCTCTCCTTCCGACCGCAGATGAAGAGAGTAGCGAGGAGGACTGAAGCTGCCAAAAGGCCTAAACCAGTGTGGAACGCACCGAGGCTATTGTAAAACATGCTGTGAGTATTGTCCCAGACACTTTGTTCCTTCGACGGTGTTCGAGTTTTGAAGGTGGTGTAATCGTTCTCGACATACATACTGCTCAAAAATGATGTGACGTAGAGGCTTGCAAGAATAGCACCCATCAAGTAAACAAACATCATCTATCAACATTAGCACCCATCTAAAATCTTAAACGGCAACCCTACCCCGATGCCAACAATATCAGCATTACCATCCCACTCCCAAACCTCACACATTTCACCCTTGCATATACTCATGGGCTTGTAAATCAGCCACTCGTTCATCTCCCTGTTGGCGCACTCCTTTGCGCAGAAGAACCAGTTCATGGCTTTCCACTCGGGAACGTCCGTGCCGCCAAAGGATTGGAGATAGGTCACGAGATCTGTCATGTTGACGGTTTTGTGGTCGATCCAGGGAACGAGGAACGCAGCAGCTGCTTTGCAATTCGTCCAGGGTTGGTAGTTTTTAATACCGATGTTTATGCCTTTGCATGAGAAGGCGCATATGTCAAGAGTGGCCATGGCAACTAGGTAAGCGAGAGGTTTCTAACATGGATGTTGGGGAGGTTGATGATTGGCAGCGGTCTAATTGCCCAAGGCAAGGAGGAGCCTTACTTTGATCCATTGCTACGGGACATGCAGTGGGCTGTCGGGAACTAACTATAAATATAGTCAACTATAAGCCGTTATCTCTCAATATTGTTGATCTCCTTTTTTAAACGGAGCTGATCGCTTTCAAAAGCAAGGTGAAGCGTAGCCTCGTGATAGACAGGGTATAGTTGCAGGAGATGGCTTGGAATTATCGGCGCCACCATGCATGTTCTATCTATTCTGTCCTTGTGACTTGAACAATCCCCTGCACGGCTGAGAACAAAAGCTAGGTAGAAAAGGACGAGTAACGCCCTAGAATATCAGATCACAGCATATCAGTGTCGCAAGCGCAAAAATGCCATTAATGTCGGTAAAAGGAGACAATGAGGCTTTGATGAACGACTTTGCTATGGAGATGCATAAATAGCTGCAGGCGGAATGACGGCCTGGCCAAGATGCGAAAGTCGCCTAAACTAAGAACAGCTTTAACTGTATGAAATAGATACTGTAAATGCCGGAGAAGGCGTCACGAAGTCCAAGGCTTTTAATGATTCAGGGTAGCTTATTCCATCTTAAGATCCGTCCTATCTTAAGATCATGTCTGATCTGGGCCTCTCCTCTCAAGCGCTTATCTTATCGCCTTTATCACAATCTTATCACTTATCTCTCCGCCGAGGATAGTCTTCAGCCGAAGTAACCGACACCACCAAAAGCGGAAAATCGGAACTATTTCCGTTCCGCACCCCGCGTTAGCTCCGGGATTCAGCCCCGCTAAGTCGGCTTGCGGCGGCTCCATCAACAGCTTGTAATACAAAATAAAACTGACGTCGTGCAACTCTCTCACTACACCTCCTCATCTCACTGTATTTTATTGCTCAATTCAAAATGTCGTGGCTATCTATCCCCGCCGAGTCTCACTTCTCCATCGCCAACATCCCCTTTGGCATCATCTCTACTTCGTCAAACGCTACGCCTCGACCTGCTGTTGCTATCGGCGATCATGTTTTAGACCTTGATGCTTTTGCAAAGGGAGATGGGTTCTCGGGTAGTTCTGAGATTCAGAAGCACGCTGATGTGTTTTCTCAACAATCCCTGAATGCTTTTGCTGCTCTCGGTCGTCCATTTCATCGCGCGACGAGGAGTTATCTCCAGGATGTCTTTGCAAAAGATACCAAGAACCCAGTACTGAAGGATAACCAGAAACTTCAAGACGCTGCCCTTCTGAAGCGCTCTGATGTCAAGAATCACCTTCCTTTGACCATTGGAGATTACACCGACTTTTACGCTGGCAAGAATCACGCTTTCAACGTCGGTTGTCTCTTCCGTGGTCCCGACAACGCGCTCCAACCCAACTACACTCATCTCCCCGTCGCTTACCACGGAAGAGCCAGCAGCGTTGTCGTATCAGGCACACCAATCCGACGACCCTGGGGACAAATCCTACGTCCTGGTAACAAGGTTCCTGACCTCGCGCCATGTGAGAGGCTTGACATTGAGCTCGAGATGGGCATGTTTATCTGTCGTGAGAACGAGATGGGAAGTCCTGTTCCTATTGACGAGGCTGATGAGCACATCTTTGGTTATGTTCTCATGAATGACTGGAGCGCACGAGATATCCAGGCTTGGGAATATGTGCCTCTTGGTCCTTTCACGGCTAAGAACTTGGGTACGAGTATTAGTGCCTGGGTCGTGCTGGCTGATGCTCTTGAGGGGGCTAAGGCAGCTGGTATCAAGAATGATAATGAAATCCTGCCTTATCTAAAGGAGAAGAAGGAGAATAATGTCTTGGACATTGACCTCGAGGTCGAAATCATCAGTAAGTTCATCACCCATCTTAAGATACAGCGGCTAACCAAGTGCAGCTGCCGCTGGTAACAAGAACCATCTGAGCAAGACCACCTCGCGTAACCTACTCTGGTCATGGCCTCAGATGATTGCCCATCACACCATCACAGGTTGTAACCTTCGACCTGGTGATCTTCTTGGATCAGGTACTATCTCCGGTACTGAGTCTGGTACCGAGGGTAGTATGTTGGAACAGACCAAAGGCGGCAAGGTTCCCATTCAATTGAAGGACGGTGAGGAGCGCAAGTTCATCCAGAACGGCGATACACTGATCATTCGCGGTGCTTATGGAAGTGGTGATAAGAAGGTTGGTTTTGGCGAGGTTTCGGGGCAAATCCTTGAGCCTCTTCCACTGTTCAAGTGAAGCAAGTCCGGGGAAACGTATAGGTAGTATGAAAAGCTAAATAGACTTTACTTGCATCAATTTGTTTGCCATCTTTGTGTACATTCTACCCATAGCTTAGCATGCCAGATCACGGCAGCGTATAGTTCCTTGTATATCTACTCTTTTGAAGTATCGTGTCCCAAGTACTCGTGTTAGCAGAGTCAAGTTTAACCTTATGGCCAGCAAGTAGTCATGTAGACCTTTCTGAAGAACCCGGAACTTTCGTTTTAACCTGCCGTAGGGCTATCCAGACTTTGCATATCAGTTCTGTATCTATCAAGCCTTGAGATTGTCAGGCGTATCAGGCTGATTCTGCCAATGCGCCTTCACAACAGCAGGATGATCCTTCAACCCCTCCACAATCTTCCCAATCGTCGGAAACAGCGTCAAATCAACCCCAAACCTCTCTGCATTCCACATAGCAGGCATAAGACAAGCGTCCGCCAACGTCAACTCATCACCAACGCTACACTTCCCCGCCGAATCCTTCACGACCTCCTCATAAGCCTTAAGTCCATCACTCATGAGCTGCTTATTCCACTCTTCTGCATTCCCGCCGAGCTCTCTGACACGACGCATGATGCGCAAATTTGTAACGGGCTGGATATCGGCGCAGATGATGTTGACGAGGGTTCGCACTATTGCGCGTGCTTCAGGGTTGGAGGGTAGGAGGGCATGGGAAGGGTGTTTTTCTTCGAGATATTCGAGGGCTGCGACGGATTGGCCGATGCGGAAGGGTTTGTCTTTGGAGGCATTTGAGATGAGAACGGGGACGGATGCTGATGGGTTGAGGGTTTTGTGAGAATCGGAGAGATGCTCGTTCTTTAGAAGATTGACAAATGCTAGTTCGTATGGAATTCCTTTTGCATTGAGAGCGATGCGAATACGCGCTGAGCAGGAGGACCTGAAGTAAGAGTAGAGAGTATACTGAGAGTCAGACATATTGAACAATGAAATTGATCAAGTTACTACTGTAGATGAGAGCAGTTCAATTGAAGAGAAGTAAAGGACCTCCTCGCAACGACCCGACCCCAAGGCCACGCCCTTCTTATGTCACGAGAATGATTGTGCAGGTATGCTGTCATTGTGTAAAGCATTACCCGTCGCTAGCCTGGTAGTGCCGAACTCTGAAGTCTTGGGGGTCGGAAGGATTCCGGTGCAATGCGGGGTGAGTGTGATAATCCGGGGGAGTTCGGGAGAATAACGGCAATGCTGTGATGGAAGGGAGAGTAATTCCGCTCACGGTAGCCGGCTGAGTCAGACTCTGATAATTGAGAGTTAAGTGAGTGCGGATGAGTGTCATTTACAGGGCTTCCTTATCTTTCGCGATCAACTATCGGCTTATATGGAGATGGAACGGATACAGGTCATTAGATGTTAATAATGGCTATCTGTTTCACAATTTTGAGTCTATGATTGAGAGAGAGAAAGAAATCGCGATCTATATTCATCGATCCGGTTCTATACTACATGGACCAGCCATGACTTGTTTCATACCACTTCTGATCCAAATAAGGTATCATGAAGGGCAGAACCCATAAGATCCAACGCTAACAAAAAGGCGATAAAACAACTGCTGAACCAAGAACAAGATCGATGTTGAGGAACATTGAAAGCCGTTGACGAGAAGTCGAAAGCGATGAATGATACAAACTCGCTGATGAAGTGACAGTAATAATTGATTGAAGCCGCTGATAGCAAGTTGACAGTAAATCGACTGCTAGCAATAACCAAAGCCGCTCATGACATTGTAGCCAGGCATATAAGACTGATTCATGCTTCCATACTGTAACAAAGACTGGCCGCGGATCAAACCGTTCAAGCCGACTGTCTGCGGATACATACAACTGGCCATTAGGCTCTGTTGCTGCAATAAACATTGCTGTTGCTGCGCTGCCATGGCAAACGCTTGTTGTGGTGTAATCTCAATCAACCCATTATGAGCTGCTCCGTAAACACCTGGACTAGCAGGCGGAGATAAACAGAGAAGTGAAGATGGCGAGACAGAAGATAAAAGAGGGGAAGATGGAGGTGAAGGTATAGTCGGCATAGCCGTACAACCAGACATCTTTGCTCTGTACCCCCTAGGTCGGTACTTCGCCTGAAAAAAATCTCCCTTCTCGCTTGCTGGGATGATAAATAACGTCATGTCCACCAGGGACAGACGGATTGATAATGACCCTCGCTGGTCCTGGGTCCTTGGAGTGTGAGTATACGCCACTAAGACAAAGAGGATACTCCATCCAGGGCCCGGCTACCTTTAGTGGTAGTGCCTCGCTGTTGCGAAAGGTGTGAGGGTACGTGGCCCAAGGACTGCACTCAGGAACATGCTCGCTTTGCTTTCGCACCTCATGTGCAGGGATCTTCTTGAAAGAGATGTCCTCCACGTCTGACAGAGAGTAGTAGGAGCATGTTGACGAGTTGTCATCCATGTCATCCTCTGATCTGCTCATGTGGTCCATGACTCCTAAGTCGGCAAGGGAAGGCATTGTCCCGGATTGTAAATTGCCAAAGAGGTAAAAAGCCAGGTGGTGAGTGTCCTGACTTGGAGTGTATTTGAAGTAAATGAGATGTGTCGGTAGTGTTGACCAAGTAATGTAATTGTATTTATTCGTTCTGCAGCTCCAGAGCGCATGAACAAGATTATCTGGTAATGTGCCAACCTTGACCAAGGAAAGTATGGCAAGTAGTTCTCCAAAAAAGTTAAGAAAGGACGGTACTGAAATAAATGGCCAGGAGACTCCAGTAAGCAAGTAGGTTCGAAATAAAAGCCAGCTGGGAGAAGGTGTCGAAAGGTAGAAGTAATTGCTGGTAACCAAAGTTGAGAGTCCTGCTGAAGAGAAGATGATAATTGATCAAGAGTAAAATAAGTTGCCGAGAGATTGCAGAGAAGTGCCAGCATGTATGTGAGTCGTAAAAGGAGAAAGAGCTGGTAGAAATTGTCCCAAAGACTGAAGTAAACTGGTGACCAAAGGTAAGACTGTTGCTAGCAAGCTGAAGAGGAGATGAAGAAATGACAACAGTTGAATAAGTAGCCAGGCAACAGTCGACAAGTACCAGTATGGTTGTGACTCCTCGAAGAAAAAGCAGTAGCTGGTAACAGTGTCCGAAAGATTGAAGTAATCAGGTGACCAAAGGCAAGAGTGCTGCAAGTAAACCGGCTCAAGACTGGACGTGCAATGCAGAAGTGATGATGAAAGGATGAAAAAGGAAAATGGAAGCAGAGGGAGGGTAGAGGGCTTTTTATAGACGAAGGATAACAGAGTTTGGTCCTTGAGGGTTATGCTGCCCCGAGTGAAGGGGAATATCATGCTCTCGTTGAGAAAGGGTAAAGGGGAATTGTCCCCTTTGCGATAGGACAGAACTTCAATCGTATGACCGTGAACGTTGTTGAACTTAAAGGCTAAATATTTGAGGCTGGGCCGTACAGTGAGGCTTTTGCCCGGGTTCAAGTCTCTGGGAGTGATACCGTGAGGCGACGCTTGGTTGAGCATATGTGGTACCGGTTCAACCAGTAAGAGGATCAGCCGTTTACCTGCCCGCCACTCGACTCACAATCTACTTTGGCACGACTACTCATCAAAGTTTCATATCGACTTGTCAGTGGCCCGGGAACTAAGCATAATAATTGCAAGGCGATATGGAAACTTGAAGTTGGAATAGGTTTGGACCCTGGCGTGTCTAGAACTTCACGGTTGCAATGGTTATCTATCAGCCAATCATGACTGATATGTCCTCATTGTCTCCTTCTTTAAAACATCACTTCTGAAATACACTTAGCTTCGGAGTGAACCCAGTCACAAATTAAAGGTTAGGTTTGACCTTTCGGAAGATTGTTATTCGTCCTCCCCTTCGTGAGGATGCACATGGCTTGTTCACGGTGGCGAGGACCGTGAACGCGATATCGCAAGACGTCACATTGAGGACTCAGCCTCAGTAGACTTCGCACTTAAACGTCATCCAATGAAGTCCCTCTGAGGTGCTGGAGAGCTAAGTTAGACTTATGTCAAAGGACAAGGCACATAGGTGACGTCGTCCGATCATGGTTGCGGTTGCTACATTGATACTTCTCGAAGTATCAAGAACCCTCTCGGAGAATCGATGCCTGTGTCTTGCACAGAACGCTGAAGTTACTATCAGGTGAGTCATGTTACGTGTAGAGGAACTCACACGACTTATGAAATGAGCGTCAAACGAAGAAGAAGCCAAGACTGAGTGTCGAAGACGCGTGAATCTGTTGCGATATCCTTGGTTTGAGTAAGCCAGGGTATTGGGCGGTCGTGGAGGAGAAGCGTGAAATATGCTAGGCGGTTTTTCTGGGGCAGAGATTTACCTTCTTCCACGGCATTGCTAGCCCTCAGATGCTGGGCTGTGCTGTCAACTGAAAGCCACCGAGCAAGACTTGCATTGCCAGGGCTGGTCCCGTGTTAAAGTCGTTGCTTATTTCGTGGATGTGATGCATGAAGGTTTCTGTACACCTTTGATCATAGGGTCCGTCTCTTGGCTTGTTGCCTCACTAGTATGCAACCGTGAATGTCGCCCACGGTCGATTGGACAGACAGTTCTCAGAGTTTGTAAACAGCATGGGGATGGTCGATGTGCAACCTTAAATAACATATAGTTCAACAGCGATAGATTAAGGTTATCACATATGAGTCAAGCTAACAGACTATACAGGAGGTAAGCTCTAGCCCCTGGGTCTGTTTTAACATTGCAATTAATTGCGTAGGCAGTTGATATGCTGCCTGAAGTTTGTGCTCTATTGAGTTGATGGAACCGACGGCTGATTCCTACATCGGGTACCTCGCCTTGCATGTAAGACAGGGGCATCAAAGTTCAGCGAGTTCACAGATAAACACCTAGGCACGTAAAGCTTTCAGTCACTTGCGCAGTGAATGTCGAGCGCACGAGAGTGGCTTTGAAGGTCTCTTGCATAATCAGCCAAATTCTAACTTCCCAAACATTAAGCTATACTGTGAACAGCAGCTAACTCAAAGATGATAGTCATCCGGTCGCTGCACTCTCTGTCCCCTTCTCTCCCAGACTCCTTCGATGTTCATATCCCTCGACCCACTGCCAACACATCAGTATCGAAAAATGCAAAAGGAAGCAGGAAACTTACTCGTCTCTCCAGATGATGGTAGGTTCAGTCTGACCCTTGCCAGGGTTTCTGAACACAATGTTCTTTTTCTACAGAACTGTTAGCCACGATATTTCTGCATACTTGGGTAGCACGAACCAATCCAAGAGATAGGTGAATGGCGGGAGGATCAACTGTGACTTTCTGCTCGGGCCGTCCACCGTTTACCATAGCAGCGATGTTCTGCGCTACAACTTGCGCTTGTCCAGCTCCCGGTCTGGCGGCTTTGTGAGCACCGCTGTCGGCGATGTCACCGCATGCGTACAGGTTCGTGTACTCGGGGTCAGCGAATTGGAGTGTCGGTGCGACTCTAATGAAGCCGTTGGCGGGGTTGATGATCTCGTATCCAGACGTGGGCTGAAGATCCTTCAGGAACTGGTTGTTTGGTGTTTGGCCTGTTGCTGGAATGACGAGATCTGTTTGTATCTTCCGTCCGTCTTTGAGTTCTAGTTCGAATGTCGATCCGTCTGTTGGGAAGCCCTTTGATGGGATCACAGCTCGCGTGCCGGTTATGACACTGCTCCGTTAGTAATTCTCATCTCATAGCAGAAAAGCTGACTTACTCAACACCAAGCTCTTGTAATCTATCCCTCAGAATAGCATCCATCTTTTCATGATAAAGCTGCATAAGCCTATCCCTCGAATGAATCAACGTCACCTTCTTCTCCGGATAAACCTCTCCCAAATCCGTCGCCATCTGAATCCCAACAGCGCCACCACCAACAATCACAATAGACTTTGCATTCTTGATGCCCTGCTGATACGCCTTGAAGTAATCAACAGAAGGCTTCTTTTCATCATGCTGCATGTTACTAGGCGCTTGGAGTCGTGTTCCCGTCGTGACGACAGCGTACTCAAAGGGGATTTCTGTGGAGCCCTGCCATGGTCGGTCGATAGTGAGCTGGTTCTTTTGAAGAGATACTGCGCGGGCGCGGACTATAGTGTGGTTGGAGGCGTTGGGGAGGGAGGAGAAGAAGCCGGTGTAGGGAATGAAGGCTTTGTGTTCGTGGTCTGGCACTATGGCGAACCGGGGCTGAGGCGGGTTAGTATGAGTGAGCAGGGATTGAGGAGTGACTTACGAAGGCGAAGAGATGGTGGAAATGGCTGTGAGGCTCTATTAACAGGACCTACGATATGTTAGCGATGAATTCTGGAAAAGCGAGGTGGTGCTCATACACGGTGAGTAACTGGTAGCAGCGTAGCCAGTTCTTTCACAGCAGCCTAGACTCTCATGTCAGTTAAACTCATCACCATTCCCAATTAAATATACTTACAAGCCCAACATACGAGCCGCCAATGACAATAACGTTCTTCAGACCAGCAGTCATGTTTATATCTCTATGATTGTTGTTCTAATAAAGGAGAAATCGACCATCGAAAGTGAAAGAGATCTCGGCTCTTTTTATCTACGCCATCTTATCAATCTACGGGGTCCCCGCCTCCGGATGTACGCTTTGCCGGTTATCCGAATTTAATTCCGAAATCGGCTTTTTCATCGGCATTTTAGGGGTTCTTCACCAAAAACGCGAGAGCACGAGTCAGCGCTAAAGAAAAGCTATGTTTTTAGTACGCGGCTTGGAAATACGGCTTTTGGACCTGCATGTGAAAGGTGACGAGTTCCCTAAATTGGATGGGGTTTTCGGGCTTACATCACGGTTCTTGGCAGGGATGGATCTTGGATGTAACCTCGAATATGGGTTCAAGTCATACGGATATATTATTCGGCCGAGTCCAGCTTAGATGATTGAACTCTATCCAGGGAGATCTTCATGTAAAGATCGGTGAGTTGAGGGTTTTGGGGTTGGTGGGATGCCGACGAGACTGACTTGTAACGCGCGGCTCGGCTCGGCTCGGCGCTTAATAATCTTGAGCGGGATGAGATGACGAAGCCGATGACAAGGGAAGCGTGATAACACTCAGGTCTAGGCATTGGATATTCGTACAAGCGTGACATTGAAGCATAAACTATCTTTTCTAGACTTCGGTGACTCACGCACTCTGGTGATCGCTCCCTCTTAGGGATGTGTCGTCACAATTGGTGAGTGAGGGCTCCACTTTCATGCCACCAGATTGGAGGTGTTGAAGTGGGTCCTGTTCTATGAGCAGCTTGAACGACACGCAATGGCTGATGCAGTCGCCAGTCTAATGACTTTCTATTAACGGTTATTCGGCACTATGCTATAACGGATGATATCCTCTCAGAATGAAGCTCCCAATTGTTAAGATATGGCCATTATAGAACTATATATTTGCAAACACTTGACAAGGTTAAAACAACGCAGTCCAAAATCGAGGTCTTTGTCAACTGGTCCCACGATGGCCATGACCATGGTCAGACTTTCCTACTGAAGGTAGTAGGTCTAACCTCTCCAGTTCAAGACTGAATCTCAGCCAAGGCAAGGCTGCTAAAAGTGCTATCACAGTACACAGGATATGCTTCGTCTTTCGGATTCATGTATCCCAACGTCCACTAAACTTACTGAGGGCCGTGGACTGAGCATAAAGTAACAATATAGCTTCAGCCATTAGACAGAAAGTTCTTAGTATGTTGTTCTTGGGGTATAATTTGATCCCATCCTCTCTGAATGAACCCATCCTTCGTTCAGCTCATCCAGAAGCACGCATAAAAACAAAAAACCTCTCATACAGCCACCCATTATCCATTCCCTAAACTAATTTCCCGTAATGGAGCTCATCTTCTTCAGATACTCCCTCCCTCCCTCAACGATTCTTCTATTCAAAACAACAAACTCATCTTTCTCACTCCCCTCAACAGCCAAATGCGTAAAGAACGCACCTAGCTCCTCATTCCGAATAACATAATCATCACCCAGTAGCAACTGAGCCAAATACCCAGGCACTCTCATCCTGTTGGTAATAACACCACCAGGTCTTAACATCCAAGCCTTCCAAACAGCTGCATGCTCCTTCGCAAGCTCTAGCGAGCGAAGCTCATACAAGCCCTGAAACTGTCAGCGGTGGTGAGATAAGATGGGAGGGGGACGTACTTTGAGTTTACGAGGGTAGTCATTAACCCATAACTTCGCATTTTGTTCCTGAACAACCCACTTCCCACTGAGATGAATAAACCGAAATGTTTCTCGCTTAGGTTGTTTCTCGAGAAGAGGCGCGAAGGCAGTTTGGAAAGCGAGGGGGTACTCCATATCAACGTTGACGTTTCCTCTGTACGAGCCCATGGCACTATTATCATCAGCCCCAAATCCTCCTTCACAATAACAAGATCAACTTACCAAATCATAGCAGCGGCGTCGACGTGCGGGAGGAGAATATCTTCAGACCATTTTGAAAAGTCTTTTATCATGACAGTCTGAAGTTTCGCATGATCTGATACTTCAGCGGGGAGGGCGCGGCGCACGAACGCGACTACTGAAGTAATCTTTGGGTGGCAGAGACATTGGCGGAGGGCTTCGCCGCCGATGGAGCCTGATGCGCCGAGGAAGAGGACTTTCATGTTTAATTGCGTCTATTGTGCTGAAGTTTGGTTCGTGAGAGAGTAGTGAGGCTCAAGCGACCCTTATATAAAGGGAGTTCGTAGATGTTTCTGGAGATGCTGGTTGCGGCGGTATGCGGACTTTCAAGGATGACGATCCCAAAGTCCGCTGGTGTCACTCAGCCATCTGTTTTGGCGTATTTATTTAATTACATGCTCAGCTACTAGCGATAAGGAACCTGTTTAGGTTACAAGCGTGCGATTTTAACGTTTGGCTTATGGCCTGGCTTACTTTCTAGATCGATACGCTATACGAAAATGTCGCGGGTTCTCATTAATTCTCCGCAGCAGTGTCGTGGCTCACATCAGCCAGAGGAATCCTTCTGCGGGTCATTCAGTTTGAGAGGCCCTGAAATGACGATATTATTGGATGAACTAACAAATATTCGTGTCTTGTTAAGCACGGAAGTATTGTGTATACTTTACGCATCAGCAGTCGTTGTGTTTTAGGTACTCAATCGCTATGCGCGTCATGATCAACGTCCAGCCAGCCGATTGCCGGGTAGGTAGGGTTGCTCCTCACTGACACTTGACTCACTGAACCGGTCCGGTCCTCAAGGAAGAAGAGCCATTGCCTGACAGTGAATCTCAATTGGATATCATTTTTGCATCATCTTCTCTGTCAATTGAGTTACCTGAATACTCATCCAACGTGAGCGCGACATCATAGCCGAGACAATGCCTGACCCTCCATTCACATCACCAGATGTCACAATCACCCGCGCGCAAGCGAGCGACATACCTTCAATTAAAACCATCGTCAACGGAGCATACGCGAAATATATCCCTCGGATCGGCAAACCGCCAGCCCCAATGACAGCAGACTACGCATCTCTGCTCACAACCCACGACATCTTCATCCTGCGCACCGCTCAATCTCCCGTCGGCGCGCTCATTCTCCAACACGAACCAGGCTCCGACGCCATAAAGATCGAGAACTTGGTAGTTGACCCAAGTGCGCAGGGTCGAGGTTACGGAAAGGTGTTGATGCGCTATGCTGAAGACTTTGCGAGGTCGCGAGGTCGCAATGCGTTGGAGTTGTATACGAATGTCAAGATGTTTGAGAATCTGGGGCTGTACCTTAGGATGGGGTTCGTGGAGACTGGGAGGAGGGAGGAAGACGGGTTTGAACGTGTGTATTTCCGGAAAGAACTGGAATGATATGGGAATAATAACTTTTATCTATTGCGATGCATCAATTGAACGTCATGTACAGGTAGCGACGCGCTGATGAAGCCTGCTCCCATCGCGTGCGCCAATTGATCGCCACACTCCAACGCGACCGTCCCCGTCTTCACAAATGCGCAGACCAGTATATACATATATCGGGTATCTCTATCGCGACAACGACCCCTTCAACCTCTCAAAACTAAAGTTCCATACCTCCGCCCTTCGCGGCCCATCACTCGACTCAACCAGCCCAACATGCTGCAAAACACTCGGATCAAGCGCCCACTTGCTCAGCCCGTTATCCCGCGCGTAATCCTCCATGATCATATCCCCCGGGAACTGATACGGCGGCTCGCGCAGGAAATCCTGCAGGCTCTGTAGATGATGGTTCGGAAATACTAGGCCTTGCGCACAGCAGCCGTAGCGTGGCATTTCGCGCACCGTGGGGGAGCGTGTGAAGAGTCGATGGAGGGTTATTCGGCCGGTTACGAAGGCGAGCGCGAGACAGGCGGGGATCCAGAGACCGAGGAGGAGAGCGACCGTTTGGGCGAAGTCTTTGGTTGCGAAGGAGCCGGTGTGGCGGCGCTGTCTACATCGTAGGGCGAGGAGAAGACAGGCTATTAAAGCTGTGTATCCTAGGATGACGACCTTGAGATAGTCAAAGATCTCTTCGTTATTCCAGCCCATAAAGATCTCGGAGTAAAACAGTCGTAGGTACATCCAATCTTTATGCGCATCGGTCGCCTTCTGTTCAACCTCGATGACACCCTTTTTAAACCGCGTGAACCAATCGGGCGAAGCTATTATATCGTCTTCAATAAGCGCAAAGTACGTCGGATCGCGTCTTCGGCACGCTTCGAAGAGGACCGAGTGGTCAAGCCGTATGTTCTCCACGCGATCGTCGCTGCGTCCCATACCGCGAACATCATGGGGAAGGACCTTGTAATTGAGCTTCGACTCGGTCTTGGAGTCGTTGGAATACACCAAAACATCATCGGCAAGCCCGAACAACCAATCCTTCCCGTAAGCAAAGTGCTTCGTAGGATCTTTATCCGCCAGCAGAACAACAATGTGAATCTGATTCCGCTCATTCGGCGTCAACGTATCAACAAGACTGCCGACGGTATGCGCTAAAAACCCCGACGTCGTGCGATTGATGCTGGGGATGCCGATGCAGAGGAACTCATTGTCGACTTGTACTTCGGTGCGCTGCTTGTGCGCGACGGGGAAGATCTCGCGCTCGAGGTAGGCGTCGACTTGTTTTTCGCGGAGGGCCGAGTAGCGCCGGTTGAAGGCGATGCGGGACTTGTAGAAGAAGGAGGACGGGTCGTCGTAGGAGTTGTGGTAGGACCAGATTAGGGCGGTGAACCACACCAGCCAGAAGCCGATGTTTGCGTGGGAAGGGCGCATGGCGTCATGTCGCGTGCGGTTGAGGAGAGATGTTGGAGAGAGGATGGAGATGGAGGATTTGAATTGAATTGGGTTTGGGGAGGTTTAGGGCGCGGCCGCTGATGTTACAGTGGTTACCCCGCTGTACCGGAATTATGAATGGAGGTGATTGGTCCGTCTGCGGGGCCCCTTTTTGAGAACGCTAAGCCTTACGCTTTGATTGGTGATATCATTACACGTGCTGAATCCTTCGACATGCATCCGAGGCGCAGTTTTGCCAAGAAATTCAGGAACGGACTGAGTTTTGGGAGGAGAGGCTGCGGGCAGACTTGTCTTGTCTCTTAATATCAGTGACGCGTCGTGTTTTGGAGCGTCAATTGGTGGCAGCGGCTCGTAGTATATGGTATCAGTCATGGTCACGCCGAGTCACTGTGAACAACGCCAAGTTGAGAGTGAGCTGGCGACGTGATTACGCGCATCACCACAATAGAGTGATTAGGCATAGATCTGAAGCATCGAGCGCGATGGACGTCAGACTTTGAGCGTGATAAAGGCACTAGAATGACACTGACGGTGCTCAGCCAGGAGAGAACGAATCATGCCGACCCGTTCGCAATGTCGATATAAACTCCCTCCACAGCCAATGCCAGGCTCAAAGTCAGACTCCAGCACACAGAAACAAACACTACAAGACAAGACCAAACACCCTCATCTTCACAATTACTACAACAACCAAGATCATCATGTCTAACCAGGACGTTATGCCCCCTGCTCCTACTGCAAATGAGGATACAGCTCTGAATCCGCTACTCAACGACTCAGTAGGCAAACAAAACGCCAACATCCTATGCCAATGCAAGAGATGCAGTGATCAATGCATAAGAGCTGTTCATAGGGAAAGGGCAATATACTGCAATGTTTGCCTTGAGCTGTGCCATCCTGAGGCTAATTTCTCTTTGGCTGTTGAGAAGTGAAAACGGAGAAAATTGTGACGCAAAGACATGGGGAATACATGGGTTGACGAGGAGTTGGTTGGGGCTATAGAAGCCAATAGAAAGAGAGCAATTAACTGCTTTTCTAATTAATATGATAACTTTTGTTGAATCGAGCCGATGCGAGAGTGATAAAGAGAATGACAACGAGCTCAATTATGACACGTTCGCCGATCCCCAACACCAAACATCTGTGTAACATAGAGTGATTATTCCTTGCTAATACTTTTAAAGGAGCACCCATAGTTTATATCCTACACTGATAGAGGAATTATGTCTTAAATAAGTCACATGTGATCTAGACATATGATCCCATGTAACATACAGTTGTTGTCCCGAAAGGGGACGCTTTAACAATCCTAGACGCGACAGCTCCATTACCCACCTCCCTGTGCTGGCTATCACAATAAGTGATCTAGTACAATGTTCAGACTTCTAGCGGCTGTCAGTGACATTGGGACGTGCCGGTTGACTAGTAGCCGCGATTCATGGTTCACTCCTCTGCCCGTAATGTCAGTGCTGGGACATGTGAACAGTGTTGAATTGACGGAAAACTTGAAGTGAGTGATGTGTATCAATCATGCACTGACAAAGACCTTTCTGCAGGCAGTAGCTGTGCACTTCAAACCCTTTGCACGGTGAAAGAAGTTCAAATTGTCCGTGACAAGACTCAACAGCGGGAGAATGATTCATATGCCAGCAACAACCGAAGCCAACAAACAAGGCGCCATGTCACTCTGCGCCTGCAGTATACAACCGCAATGCACGAACTTTGTCCTAATTAGGGGCTACAGGTGTCATTGGTGTGTTGAGCATTGCCCACCTGAGGAGTCAGAAGCTCCGGTGACAATGGGAGGAAGATCATGAGGAGATGGAAATCGATCACTTATTCACTAAACCTCTGAGCTTGGGTGTCAATGATGATCATTGAGGATGGCCATAAATGACGCTTACGCCAAGTGTACAACTATCACCTCAAAATGCTTCTGAACATGCACATTCTTCCTTCCGAGACTCTTGATATTGGCAGGGCAGATGGCCAAGTCATGCACAGGACCAACCAAACATGCGCGTGCACCATTTGTAACAGCTGCACGAATATCGTCAAGCAGACCAAGAGGAAGCTATGTGTGACACGTCTTGTGGGAACCCATAATGATCAGTAATGGGGCTAGGCCAATGTGGTTACAGGCAACAAAATGTGAAAAGGGTTTCTTCAATTCATATCGTATTAGAGAGAATCATTTTCCATGATCACAAATTCCCAATTCCTTGACTTTTACCCTGAGATATTCAGACCCCTTGTGCAAAGGCCCTGTAGTGATTGCTTCGAATAGTCTTGGTGTTCACAGTGAGGCATGATGGTCAACAACTGGTGAATAGTTGCATGTTGCAAGACCATGAGTAATTTCAACCTGTCGGAGCATCAGTGAGGATACAAAATAAACACGGTCACGGTAAATACTAGATGCCATCACGGCTCTCGCCGGGAGTCAAGAGAGACACCTGACTTCCCCCCTCACAGTCAATCGAGCAACTCGTGGACTCTACAACGGGATATATATGGTTGCTTCACGCGCACTACAAGTCTTCGAAGTCACAAGACACATCCAAATACACAGCTACAGCATCTTACGCGATTCAACTACTCATTACATTCAGATCATCATGTCTCAGAACAGCTCTGCCCCTAGCACGCCTCCTAGCAATGCCACTCCTAGAGAAACAACAACAATAGTTGACCCTTTGAACGATAACAGGGGTCCCAAGCAACATGCCAATAAATCTTGTCGCTGACACTGCGTTTGCGAAGAGGTTTGCCGGTCTGACGATTTCTACTGCGATACATGTCTCGCCGCAAGACACAACTATTTGCCCCCCGGGCTTGATAAGTCAAGCTAGGGGTATGATGCTATAGAATAAGCTATGGACTAGTTATCAAAGAAAAAACCCATTACGATAATCCTGGCTCCTTGTGACATCACCGTTCTGCAAGTTGGCTTATTGGTGACAAGATCTACTTTCGGATACACCATTTCCCTTCCATCCATGGGAATATTTTAATACTTGCCAAGGTGGCCTCGACCCGCAAGGCACCACCAATCCCCTAAAACGTCCAGACCTAGTCCCGTTCCACTGTAGAACGACTGACGTTTCCATCTTAGCGCCACGGTTGGCATGTTGCCAAGAAAGGTAAGACACGAAGAAATGCCAGGGTCAAACTCAAAGACAAGCCATTTTATTGCCGAAGACCCGCTTGGCGCGGTTATAATGCTCTTGTGCCCATTCTTCTTCTTGTAACAGAGGCGAAATGCTGTGGGAGTATCTGGGCCACAGCAAACGCCCGAGGCATGTCGCGATGAAGAATTCAGAGGCAAAGGATATTCTCGTAAGGTCTGTGTCTCTACTTGAGGGACTGGTGCTAATGGCTATAGCTTTCTCAAATACTCGTCGTTATAGCGACAATCCTCGTTATTGCGCGCCTGAACCTTCGTCTTCGAATACAAAAGCGAAAATTACTACTTAGCGACATATTGATGGTAGCAGCGTGGATATCGGGCCTTATTACAGCTGCGTTTTCACCAGTGTTTGCAGTGCTCGATGCATTCGATCCGAGCGTTCATACAACATTGAAGGGATACCATGGAGGTACTGCCAATCTGGTGTTGATATTGAAGGTGAGTAGAGGAATCGGGGTGATAGATGGGAGCTGACGTGGTGTAGTTGCTGTTCGCATCGAGCTTTCCCTTTTATACGACGCTATACTTGTGCAAAGCTGCGTTGCTTGCTGTTTATCTACAGGTCTTTCCGGAGTTCATGGTCAAGAGGCTCAGGTTCCTCTGGGCGACAATTTGGTTCGTGGGGATCAGTTACATCATCACCATCGTGATTTTATTCTGTATTTGTCTCCCCATAAACCGAAGTTGGTAGGTTCATTCAGTATGTTCTTGAGGCACGGCACTAATAAATCTACAGGGATCTCAGGCCTTCGAGGACATGTCCGAAGTGGACTTATGCTGTTACTTTTCATGTTGGCTGGGGACTGTCATTTCTGGGAGATCTGTTAGGTAAGTTGATCTCCATTCTGTTGGGACGATGTCTAATAAAGTGGAGTGTTCATTCTGCCGTGGTTAATTGTACCAGCTCTGCACGTCAGAAGAACCTTGAGACTCGGTATATACTTCACCTTCCTTCTCGGCACCGTCAACATGGCTGTTAGTCTTGTTCGCTTTGTCATGATCTGGAAGGCTGGTGCCGATTCTAGCATCTCATTAAGTACAATAGGTACGACTCACGATTCATTTCGCTACCTACAGATGCTGATCTTTCCTGCAGTATTTTGGAGCGCTCTAGACGTAAACATAGGTCTCGTCGTCGCTTGCCTTCCTTCACTACGCCCATACTTCGGATCGCGAACCAAGTCCCAAGAACCGAGTCGAGAAAGCAACAGCTGGGAGTCCACACGCAAACACTCTGGGTTTGGCAACCGAACGATATGCTTTCACTCCCAGCAGCGTGGTAGCGAGGCGTGGCCATCATCGTCCGACAGTCATGCCAGATACTCGTCAATAGACCAGACAGTCGTTGGGTCCTGGGATGATACAAAAGGATTTACAGATGCGAATGATATAGAGTTGAGGGATCTTCCGGGAGCGAGGACGCGGGATGTAAAATATGGCAAATAGAGGCATGAATAATAGGTATAGAGCATCATGAATAGTTCACTGAGCGTGGAAGTTATTGTAACAGGCTCTTATTTTAGAATTTAGAATTAGATAAGCTTTATATTTGAGTTTTATTAATTCTGTATGTTGAAAGGTACACGGTATGAGTCAAGTTCGGCGGCGGATATTTAAAGCCAGCTGCCCCACCAAATCTTTCTCTCCAACATCATCACCACTCTCATCGCTCATAAGCCTCGAGTCAATCCCCGAATTCTGACAGAGATATCTCAACCGCCAACTACTATCTCAATTTGACGCTTACATATTCGGTTTCGCATTGTGCTTAGCTTTCGAAAGCGGGATATAATCCCTTGCTTCTCTTACCTTTTCTTTTATTTTTCTGTCGCTTCCTCCCACTTCTTTCAGAACTCAAGCTAATCAACTTCCTTCACAGAGCTTTATTCACCATGTCTTCCAACAGTCCTAGTGGCCCGTCCAACCGTGGCCAAAGCCGTCGAGATCCTTACGGATCTATTATCACCCCTGAAACGTCCGATGAGACAGGACGAGATTGAAGACATTCGGATAGCAGAGAACTAAGAGGCGAAAGACATCAATCGGAAGGTCGCAGTGGTTATATCTTGGGAGGTCAAGGTACGCGAGGAACAGGTGTTTATTACACAATGTATAATAGCTCTTGCTCAATGATATTTGCTTCATTTGCAATAGTTGTTTGTAACAGCTTTGCTCGTGAAGAGCTGAAGGGAGCACTATGTACCGAGATGAGATCTTGAGAGGCGCTTCAGCTCAAGCCTTACTTAGTCTGGACATAGATGGAAGAAGATCCACTGCTCTGGTAACCCTCAGTAGCCAGAATCTGATAGTAGTGGTTTCCAAGTCTCATGCCAGCCGAATTCCAAGCATTAAAGATAGTCTGCATGTTGACGGCGCCGCTGGTGCGCTTGTTGCGGCGGATGGCCCAGTACTGGTTGAAGGTCTGGATGCCGTCGATGGAGGGCTGCTGCACGCGGGTGGTTTGGTAGAGATCGTAGGTGTCGCCGTCGTTGTAGACAGTGCCCTTGTGCTGGCCAGCAGAGCCGGGGTTGTAAGTGCCGTAGCTCTCAATGACCTAGATGCTGTTAGTGGAGAGTTGCGGGGTGAGATGGGATACGTACGTAGTACTCAACGAGAGGGCTGCGAGTCCAGCCGTAAACGCAAAGGTAGCCGTTACCCTGAGGGCTGAAAGAACCGCCATAGTTGATGGTTCTAGTCCATCATCAGCAAACTATCTCAACTCTTAAAAGCATCTTCAACTTACCGGCCAGTACCAGGGTTCCAACCCTTTCCACCAACAAAGTTACCTGTGTTGCGCCAATCAACCTGGTAGTGACTACCCTCACCCATGCGGTAGTTGGCATAACCACCGCCATCAGACCACCAAGAGTAGAAGTATCCGTTGTGGTAACCCTCGGAGTTGCCGGTGACTTGACGGGCCTCGAGGACGGAGGTGGAGTTGCCATCGTCTTGCTCGTCGAGGAAGTCAAAGGGGCGAGCGAGAGCTCCAGTGAGTGCCGAAGCGGCGAGGAGGAGAGACTTGAAGGAGACCATGATGTCTTTTTTGAGATTGGCTGGATAGTTGGAATGTAAATCGAAGAACCCTGATGAGCTGTAAAATCAATTTAGTTGGTGAGCGGGATGTTCTCTATATATACTCGTATACGGCTTCGTATGGCCTGTCATAAGTCGACTGCCAAGTATCTTAGTCCTTAATACCAATATCATCAGGCTCTTCCAACCCTCTAGCTTGGTGCCCTACCTCGGAACCTGGCTCTCCGTTACTAGCAAAAGCAACTCTTTGCATTCATCTTGGAAATCTCAGCCTCTTCTTCCCCACTCGCATGAAGGCCAAGACGGTAAACACTGGAGCCAAGACGGTGAGAACTCTCCTGGCCAATGATAGGTGAACAACCCCTTATCCCCAAGAGTCAGTCTGACTTCCGGCTAAAGTGGCATTCCCCAATTCCTCTGGTCTGTGGCTTGAGATCGTGACTCGGGATGCCAGCGACTTTATGCGGGGAGGCGGGGATCATGGGGAAGGAGGAGTGCACGTGGCAGACATATCATATTAGGCTGCTATGCCGAAGGATAAACATGCGTGCCAAGCTTCCTTCGACGAACGAGTAAGAAAAGCAGAATGACTTGGTGTTGCAATGGGACCACTTCTAGTATCATACTGTTCTTGATGTGTGTCCAGGATGTCAGTAATGAGAGCCGAATCTATTGCCGGAGTGCCCAGAACATGGTTTTAATGGAGTGATTGTGCTTGGCATGGTGTGCTTCTACCTTGACGGGTAAAAGCTTTGAGGCCATTTATAATCCTCGACATTCTGGCAATTGAACTTGAAATACTGATACATAGTACGTAGGATCACTCACTCATTCCTATTGTTTCTTTCGAGCAGTACTCCAATATTGTCCATGAATTATAGCTCGCTAATCAAGCTGATCTTCAGATCGAAGTAGTATTAGATAATGAAACACGGCGTCGACGAACGTCAACAAAGGTTAAATTTTAAACTCGCGACGCTTCATCCCGTCCGGTCAATCCGGCTCGATATACTTATCCCGATGTAAGATGGCTTTTCGGATCATATGCACGATCCATGTATGCCGCATTCTGGCTAAAGTCCACGATGCATGAGATTCCTTTTTAACCTCGGGTCGTCTCCGTGCTTGGTAAAAGATCGGCTTCGATATTATTCCCTGGGGAATTTATTCCCTAATAAGGTTCTTCATCTTCCTGTTTAGCTGTTTAGGCTAATGGCCGGTTAAGTTGGTGGGAGGATATACGTGCCGTAGTATAGGGATAACGTGTTTCATATGTGAGTGCTTAGATTAGCGAGGGCGATACTCCACTTTCTGTAAGGTGGTCTATGGTGAGGGTGAATGGACAAAGTTCTTGATGTCATGCGTTCAAATAGAATTGTGTTGCTGATGAATCAATGCGCGAAGACGGATAAGGTTGAATAGACGATGGACTTTAAGTGACAAGACTACAATTTCAAAGAAGGAGATTTGATACTTGAGATTGTAGGAATACTGTGTATCTTAGACTCCATTGCTTTGAATGTAAGTCAGCGGTTGTTAGTGTCATGCTATCGTATACATATTTACAGCATCCCATTCTTTACTGGAGAGTTTGACAAGCTCAATTTTCAACTTCCTGGTTCCAAATGTAGTTGCGATACAAGGATCAGATGTCTAATTATGGCTGGTTTATCTGGCTGTCAGGGCCGGATAAATGTGGATAAGGTCGAAAAACCATGTACTACACGAAGACGTCAGCTATCATATCACTTTGCTGGCAAAGGTACATACCTCTTTGGGCGGCTAAACGTGTTACGATGCAATCTGAGTTTAGGTAATATAGAGTAATAGCGAGTGATATTCTTCGTCGATCCTACTATGTCTGTATTCGCGAAGTGTTGTATTGCCCCCAGTGCTATTATTGAGGCATCACGACTATGGCGAGCTGACCCCATTCCGTCGTGCCATAAATGCATTTGTCAGTTACCCTTCGAGAATGATCGGGTATGTAAAGGTGATTGATGTGAGGGTACCTTCCTCATCCATGTTATTAGCTTTACGCCCGTTCCTCGATAGGTTGCGGACGGTCCAGGCAGATCCCAGACCGTAGCAACATGAGAACCAAGAAAGGATAGCCTACGCTGACCCTATAGATTTCGGAGGGGCCATGCATCTTTTCGCATGCCATGCTGCAACATTGGAGGTATGCAAGGATCTCAGCTCGGGGTATGTAGCATATATTTCCAAGCGTATCGGGCCACGGTATGCACTAGTTAATGTCTGAGACTTGTTACTTGCAACCCTGAGGACATGGTAACAGTGTGAGCTTCCAACTCCTGTGAATGAAGGCAGTTGTCCTTACGCCAGGTTTCTCCAATTTATGATGTTCCTTCCCTGGAAGATTGTTGAAGAAAATCTTTTGCTAGTTCATCCTCCTGTTTGAAGTATGCATTGGTATCTCGGCTTGGCTTGAACACCTCAGACCGGATAATCTTGTTCACATTTTAGTTAAAGTTAGGTCTGACTGACAGGTGTCTTACTTTTCCAGATGGGTATTCATGGATGTCGAGCCTGATTACTAGATTCTCCGGGTAAAGGTTAAGAATCTGATTGCCGACAATAGTCTTCATGGTTTCATCATAACGTACAATGTCATCAGCCTGAATCGCGTCTCGAGCAACAAGCAGGGCCATTGGCGCAAAAGAGAGGATGGCATTACTGACGATAATGGAATAAAGCAGCATATGGCTTAAGGTGAAACTTCGATCCTACAGAAGGGATGCCGAAACAATGAGGCCATTATCTTCCATTTTCACTTGTCCGTGGGTATCACAATCCTGATGCTCAGTGTTTGGAAATAAATAACAACTTCGACAAGTAATAGGATATAGTTAGAAAAGAGGAGAAAATGTATATTTATATATTATATAAAGATAAGAAGCTTTTAGTAAATTAGACTTATAGTCTTCTATTACTGACGAAACGGTGATTTTATTGCGAGATGTACAGGGTATGTAGTGAGATAAGATAAGATAAGACCCATGACGTCGTTGTGCGGATAACACGGCATACCATGAACTCAACCTTCCCTGCTCAATCAGAAAGACGCGCCTCCCCAATTCCCTCCTCTAAAAGCACTGCTTCCATCAGTAGCGAAATGTCGTCAACAAGTATCGAACGTGTGGGCAGCTCGCTGGAAGAACAGCCACTTCTGCGACCCGGGAAGAGAAGACTTCCGTCCTTGAACATCCAACATTGGCATTCTCATCCCTTCAGAGGTGATCCATGGAGCGTGAGAAATACGAAACAGAAGACTGCGCAATTTCTTTCGTCAAAATTTGGGCATTACTCTGTTCTTACGCTGGTGTCCCTTGATGTTCTTAGCATGATTGCTGGTGAGTTAGGGGGTAGATTGATTGAGCAATAAACTGACAGCGGCAGACTTCATTCTCAATCTGTTCAAGTGTGAACAAGGTAGAAAGGGCTCTGACTGGGACTTGGCTCTGGAGATACTTGGCTCTGTCAGTCTGGTGTTCTCATGCCTCTTCGTCGTTGAACTTATTGCCTCTGTCTGGGCATTTGGCTGGAAGTCAGTCCTGGTCCCATCTCATTCATATCGCATAGACTGACATTCTTAGATACTTTAACTCTTGGTTCCATTGTTTCGACGCTTTCATTGTCATCGCTGGCTTCATAACTGACGTCGCGCTCCGTGGTATCATCGAGGAGGTCGCTTCTCTAATTGTCGTCATGCGGCTTTGGCGAGTCGTCAAAATTATTGAAGAACTCGGCGTTGGAGCTCAGGAGCGGACTGAAGAATTGAACGCAAAGCTGGAGAAGTTTGAGAGTGAGAATGAAGAACTGAGAAACGAGATCTCACGGCTGAAGGGAGCGATGAGGAAGGCGGGCTTGGACCAGCAGAACATTGGAGGCATTGCGGGCTAAAGACTGAGGCCTTTGAGTGTAAGACAGGATGCGGCCTTGGCAGTCTATCAGAAATGTGAAGGGGTTGTGCTACAGACGCTGCGACTCTGCTGTTGAGATGCTGTTCGAGTGACCAAGCAGGGTTATCAGGTATGGCTGCATTCCGAAATTGTCTGGGAAAATGAGACAATGAGAGATTCGCTACAGTGTCCGGAACTATTTCCCTCTTTTCTCCGATCCGGAAACAATACATCGTGAAGGGTGGAGCTCCCCCGCCGAAGTGATCAGCATGCCCATTTCAGGCAATTTTCCCCGCCTGGGTGAAGATACTCTTTTGGGAACCTTCGACTTGACGGACAGAAGACCGATTTAAAGACAGACCTGAACCGACGCAATTGTAACAAGTTTCTTTCTTTATTCTCTCACTCGTATTTGGTATATACTTGTCGGAAGAGAAGAGATTAGAATGGTTGTCATCAAGCGATTCCGAACAGTCTGGGGTGTCGAGTCTGGGAAAGACTTTGAGAACTGGATCCCATGGTTTCCTGATCTTAAGAAACAAGGTTTCGGTAAGCTTCCCTAACAGAAGCGGTTGAATAATAATATTAACGTGGTGCAGCTGGTGTCGAAGTAGATATCACAGATCGCGATGTCGACAACCTTCAGCAATTGCGAAAGATCTTGGATGATGTTGGCCTGGAAGCCACTGTGCTGTAAGCTATTCATCACAGGTCTGCGACGATGGCTTACCTTCGGAAGATTACATACAGCATGGGCGGGCTACGTTGGCGGTCGGCCCAGAGATCTCACGCCAGATGTCCACCTCGATATTTACTGCCAGAACCTCGAGCGCGCAAAGATCTTGAAGCCTGTTAAGATCAACGCCCAATCCGGAGGGTGAGTCTCATGGGATTTCACAGTATTTCAGCAGTTGATCATCATAGCGACTACTGGAGTCTTGACGAATCAGTTTACTTTTATCAGAAGACCCTTGGTATCGATAAGGAGCTGGGTCTCACGGGCCTCGTCAGCCACGAAACGCATCGCAACAGGTCTTTGTTCACGCCGTATGCAGCCAAGTATATCCTGCCAAAGGTTCCAGAGTAAGTTCATACTATAATGGCCTTCGCGGATGTAGGCTGACCAGGTGCAAGGCTTCGAGTGACGGCAGATATCTCTCACTGGGTTGTCGTGTGCGAAAGACTCCTGGATCTCGGTGAAGAAGACAGAGAGATACTAGATCTGTTGATCCCAAGAGTAAGAACTTACCTCATCAATCGTCTTGTATAGTTACTCACATATACCTAGGTAACTCATATCCATGCCCGCATAGGAACGACTCAGTCGTCACAGTGCGCTGAGCCTGAAGATCCCGTGTTCAAAGAGGAACGAGAGTTTTTTGAGAGGCTTTGGCTACGCATTGTCAAGGCGCGAAGCAAGGATAGTGATCTTATTACTTTTGTACCGGAATATGGGTAGGCGACTTCCATGCATTGAGGTCCGGTTTACGCATTGCTGACATTTATAGTCCATATCCTTATCATCCGTATGGAAGTGTCAGGACGCATGGGCAGGTTGCTGATAGTGAAGGAGCGAGATTGCAGAAGCTCTTTGAAGATAGCCTGAAGGAGTAAGAAACTTCACGATGAAGTCTATGAAGAGAAACTTTCTTGACTTGGAGCCCATGTATTTAGGCTGTATTGATATCTATTCGTCTCTACCACCCACTAGCTCTAATCCATACGTCAACAATCTTAGTCGCATCTCCTTCCGAAGAGTCAACCACAAGATACCATCCATATAATGCCCCCGCAACGCAAGCATGGTTCGGGAATATGACAACATCCTGTCCAACCTCCAACGGAACCAGCGATAGAGTAGAAGCATCCTCGCCCTCAGCATGTTCCCAGGCCGCAATCGAATGTTCCTGGCTGATTCTATCAATGATCAACCGCCTTCCCCTGTAGGATTCTGCCTTGTAAGACGATTGGCTTATGACACCCCAGCCTGGATAAGCAGCACAAGGCTCCCGGCCAAGCCCAAGACAGCCAACAGCAACCAATGCTTCAGGCTGCGATCTCTCTTTGTCATTATAGACACTGCAAACTTCGGCTATGATTGAAATAGCAATCTCATCCTCGAAGGATCCCAACTCTCGCCTCGAGTTAGTTGAGACTTGTTGCATATCCAGAATCGAGTATACGCCAGCGTGAAGCTCAAGCTTGGTTTGGAGTCCGCCTGGTTTGCCTGTTGTGACAGCTTGGATGGACTTGCGTAGAGACTCGGCTGCTGGCGACAGATCGCCTTGTGCTGTTACTAAATTCTCGACTGCTGTGACCTGGGGAGAAGCTCCAACACTGATGACTAGCTCTTTGTCCTTCGCAAAGAGATGGGCGTGGGCGTTGACTGCATCAAGACAGCCCCGAATCTCTCCCTCGAGATTCGCCATAGCTTGCTCTGGCGTGCTGTCTTTGTAACTAAGACTACTATGAGAGTACAATCCGAGCAACTCCGCCTCTCCGTGGGCTTCAAGCTCTGCGAGTGCCTCTATCAGGCCGTTCTTGTTCATCGCAGTTGGCGGCAGTCCTGCACGATGATATCCCGTGTCGACCTTCAAAAACACCCTGGCGGGGAACTTGGAATGCTGGGAGAACGCCTTCACAGAGCCAAGCTGCGTCGGGTGATCTATGAGGACAGAGATACTTCCTTGTCCTAACTCCGAGCCAAGTGATGCCAACCTTGAGATCTGCGAGCGGGGTAGAGGAAGACCGTACAGGATATCAAGGCGACGACCTGCATCTTTGTACTCCTTCAAGAGAGGTAGGAGATGTTCAATCTCAGCTAGAGTCGATACAATAAGCTTTACGTCACCGCTTCCCTGACCGACCTGTAGACGTGTTGCTTCTATCGTCTGAACGTCGTCAGCGTAAGCGTTTCATATGAACATGATGTAACTGACCTTATGAGTCTTGACATGCACTCGGAAACCAAGACCAAGAGTATCAACAGCCTTAAGCATGGACTGACAATGACGAGTCACCCTAGCCTTGTCTAAAATGACAGCGGGCTTCGGAACATCGTGTATGCTTTTGCCGACGTAGAATTGGCGCAACTCTTCGATTGGAGGGGTCTGTCGTTGAGGGATAGCCATCATGGTTGATTAGACCGAATTATAAACATAATACAAACTAAATAGTTATCTAGACGAGAGAAAGACGTAAGTACAGACTAGAATGAAGCTCACGGAGTTGTTTTATGTCAGCAAAGTTGTCAGAGGGCGCGGCGGACTTAGAAATATCCGTTGGTGGAGACATGCCGCTATTCCCAGAATGTTAGGTAGCTTCCAGCTTGAGCCAATCAACGATAATAGACTTTGGAAGGATTCAATGTGAGTCATTCAGTTAAGAGGTCTCTTTGTGTAAGAGAAATATCAATTTTGCGGTTTTGAACTCGTGAAAGAAAGTACTCATTCCCAGTATCTCGCCTAACAAGATCTCAAGTGTGAGTAGCTGACTCCAGAGACAACTTGTATGCGATTATATACCTCTTTAGACAAACAGACAATCTTTTCTAGGGATAATATATACAATCCTTTATGAAAGTGTTAATATTTTAATGTTTAGCCTTATAGCTACCAGCCACATATAGCTTTATTAACCGAGTCAGTTATATAATATTGTAGGTTTCAGTTTAGATAGCAAGTGAAAGATCGCTGGAGTCCGATGGTTCAGAATCAGGATTGGCGTGGCCAGCCAAGCAAGTTCAGATGATGAATATTGACCTCGTTTGGAATTTAATAAATGCAGAGTGGTGGTTCTTTCTCGCAATGGCCGCAGTCACATTCAGGCAGCTGCCGCACAACTCGGCCGAAATGAGCAGTTGGTGTTAGGTCGGTCCCAGGTAATGTATAGTTTGAGAATCTAGAGTCCCTAGATAACGGCCTGAGAAAGGCATAATCTTGTGCCATTTGTTATCGCTCCATAGCATGCAGGCAATGTTGGGGCGGTAGCCAGTCAGCCGTTCATTTTGCCTGCTTCACCTACGCGCCACACTAGGCATCCTGTCCAATCTGGGTAGTTCTAGTGGCTGACCTAGTCTATCTCCGCCTTTAAAGCCTTTTGTTTACTCGTTGAACCATGCCCGAAGGCAAATATGTGTCATTGAACCTAAAGTCTCGAAGCAAGCTTTAAGGGCCATTCTGTCTCTACTTAGGGTAGTTCTTAAGCTACAGTCTTAAATATGATGGCTAATACTTGATGTCTGGTCAGTCTTCTCTTGCCATGGTGTGACTGCAGAATGAATGAGAAATCAGCTGCAATGCGACGCGGCACTCCATGATTGGTTGGCTTGCAGGCTGCCAGGCTCTCACTTAGCTGGGAATGACATTGCTAAGATTTCCGATGCTAAAGCTCTGGAAAACCTACTATCTATACTTGCAAATTAGGATATTGTGTAGAACATGCCATGTTGGGTTTGATATTGCCTCTTCGCAGCCGTCCTTCGACTCTTGCATGTTGCATTGCCGTGTCATTAAGTCAACGTAAGCTAAGAGCCATGCAGGAAGCGCCATTTTTGGAAAATCCAATCCGCCTTGTATGATACAGCCGAATCCCTTGGCACTATATCCCCGCGTTTCCCAAAACTCCAAATTTCGCAACCTGACCCAAACAACACCGCTCATGCTAAGTTTGTTGCAATGGACCAGCAAGAACAGAGTTGCAGAAAGCATGATTTCTTCGTGCAATCGGCCAACGAATTGTTCCTGAGGACGTGTCTGTCCTGCGGATTTGTTGAAGAGTTCCAGCTATCACAAACAAAGCAAAGGGTCGATCCGTGGCAAGGCTGGCTCTCAGCTAAGATTCGGCGGCTCTCATGGCCCCCTGGCGTTAACTACTCTGAAACTGACCCACAAACCTTGACATATGTCTATAGCTACCGCCCAAACATGCAGACGTCACTTGAGAATCATTCTCAAATAGATGTAGGATTATGTTTGGTCTCATGGATGAACATCATGCTAAGCACTATGGATAGAGAAACCCTTATGTCTACTGTGACCTACCCAAAACCTCCTGTATTCGGCTACTGGAGCTAGTGCAGAGCTACAGACTCGATACTCTCAGTGGGCGTCTATTCGAGGTCCATTTGGAGCAAGAGATCTGTCCTTCGTATTCTGCCCTGTCCTATACTTGGGCAGATGACAAGGGCGATACGTCACTTTCACGTCTCATATTCCTGGATCAAAAGCAGAAGGTTCTGCATATTACGCGCAACTGCGATCGAGCTTTACGAAGCCTACGTCAGAGGCATAAGTCAATCTTACTATGGGTCGATTCCATCTGCATCAACCAGTCATCCCCCTCAGAGAGGTCTCATTAGGTTGGTTTGATGAAAACCATTTACTCTAAAGCAACTACTGTTCACGCTTATGTGGGAGAAAGAGAATGTGGAGGAGACCTTACAGGATCCGAAGCCATGACCTTATTGGAGGATATTCAAGGCAATGGAGTCTTTGGCAAGCTGAGCTCTGACGAGACCAGCAACATCGCCATTCTTAACAACTTCTTCTCAAGATCATACTTTGCTCGGTTGTGGATTGTCCAAGAGCTTCTTCTGGCTCAATCTATTACATTTCACTGTGGGGAAACTTCACTCACAGTCAACAACCAATCCATTTCTCTATTATACGAGAAAGGTGTCAAGATTCCTTCATGGGTTCGATATGCTGGAAAGATGCAGTCAAACACAGAGCGAAGCCCTATGGACTTAAGAGATCTTCTTATTGCTACCAGTGTCTGCCAAGTCACAGATCTACGTGACAAGGTATTTGGGTTGCTAGGTCTTGTCAGCGCTGTCGAGGCTTCAGATTTAAGTCCTGATTACGAGTTGATGGTACGCGAGGTTTACATCGGCGTCGCGGCATACCTGATGGATAATTATCAATGCTGCAATCTCATTCAGTATATAAACAACCATGTCCTGGACCAAAAAGGCTCTTATGGCATCCCGTCTTGGGTCCCTATGTGGGATAGATACACGCCGCCGCAGGGCTTTGAGGATATCTTCAGACATATTCAGCAGATTGAGCTGGATTGTAAACAACTTCCTACGGACCGATGGCTAGCCAATTGTTTTACGATACGTACTATTGGTGGCTGGCCTCATGATGAGAACTCGGAGTGCAACAGAAGAGGTAAACGGTGTAAAACAGTGCGTTCTGGGTCAGGCTCTCTTGCAGCCAGAATCGAGACAGTGTTTCATATTCCGTCAGTTTCCTCCTCTGTCACAATCGAGTCGGGGCCATCCAGTGCGCTGGCAGATCAAAACTATGTTACAGTCTTCTGTCATCTGAAAGGCAATATTAAAATTGCAATTCGGAGTTTCGCATGGGCGCTTGGGCGTCTCCTGCGCCCTATGGATCTAATACGAGTCGAGGGGTGTGGTTCGTTATTTTTGGCATACCAAAGTACTGGTAGCTTGGAATACCGCCTGATCAGTCCATGTTTTGCGGCTATAGTTTGCCAAACAAAGGAGTCTAGCCCTGTTGAGGCTCTCAAGTTCAATGACCTGCAGCATTTCTCACAGTTCACACCTCTTACACTGAACATGGTTCAATTCATAGCTAAGTGGAGAAACAAGGTATTCACGATGGCAAGATCAGACCTAGAAGATAGGGAACATGCTCTGTCGATCGAGGCCCAAAGCTGCCATTGTTCGTCTCTGGACGAGCCCGAGATATACCACCCAACTTGGAGAGGCTGGGAGCCTTTTCTGGCATCGGAAACTTGGCATGAGTCCGAATATGATGCAAAGCTGCGGAGACAACTGCCAAGCCTGGCTGAGTTCTGGGACAAAGCCCATGTTCTGCACACTCGCGTCCGAGACTGGACGATTAGTGCCTTGAAGGTGGTCAGATATCGCTTCACTGTCCTGCTAAACAGCCGTCTCGATGACGTAAAAGGGGCACTGAGCGGCTGTCTTGCAAAGTCAAAGGAATTGACACAAACTTTGGAGAGGACTATTGGGAGCAGCTTCATGATTGGAAGCTTTGGCCTGCTCGAGCAGCTAGATGATGCTCTGACAAACATTGGTGCCAGATCGGTAGACAGCAACATCTTGGGCTACCGAAGAACCATAGAAGGCATCGCTGAGGACATAGGCACTCTTAGTATGTCTCTGCATAAAGATCAGTTGTTTTTAGAGAAGGCTTTCCCACCAGAGCTAAAGGATATACACCCGGAGTATAGTAGTATAAAGCAAACCATGGAATGGAAGAAGGTATTAACAGGGCTGGTAAGGACAGACTCAGAAGCAAAGCATGTAAGTTTTGTTTAGATATTTTATTCAAGTACTATTATCCTATTTTAATACATGAATCATTTAATGATCTTGTATTTAAAGCTTATTCATAACATAGCACTAGGTTGAAGCGAAAGCTAACTACATATAATAAAGCGGCCGTATATTAGTCGTAAACAAGAATGTTGCATACCATAACTGCTGTTTTCAAGCTGAATGTATCCTAGAATAGGCAGCGGATAATAAAGACACTGTTCATTTTACTTCACATTCAGCTTAAGCCTATCGGTTTAATCTACCTAGCTAGGTGAAAGCTTACAGGATGCCTACTGGTATCTATCCTCACGGGCGCAGGATTAGATCGCAGCGTTGATTCTAGTGGCTTTTCAGTACTGGTATCTAGTGGAAAAGTAAGATGACATGGCCAGTTTGATCTATTCCTGGTTTTGTGTTTCGCTGACATAATCTCGGTCCGTCGGCTTCGTAGTATCATATTCGTTCTAAGATAATAGAGTAGCTTTTTCTCCCACCTGAGAGGTTGTAAGATATGGATAGAGGAGTTTCAGCAAAGGATGACACGGCTATAGTAATAATGGAAATACATTAACCAGCTTTTGAATGCCGGCTATCGGTGATACTCCTCTTTCAGCCTTACCCGCCGGATCTCAGCAGGCCCGTATGTAAGATCAGCACTAGCTCCTCCGAGCGGGGAGTAATTCTCGCAACTTCGGATAGCATCTGTTCATGAATTACCTATACGAGGTCCAAGGCAAGTTGCTAATGCCTGCGACTACTTGCTGTCAAACTGATAGCTCCCTCCTCGAGTGAAACGAATGTATTTCGGCGATTCAAACTCATCGGACAGTAGACATCATATCAAACCAAGTCAAGCTGTGGATCTGAATCTGAGAACAGTGCATCAGGGTTCTGGGGGCTAGTGAGCACTAGCTCTTAGTAATATCACTGGCGTCTGAGCCCCAGCGAACAGTCTTACCTGGGTCCACCTCACGATGCTGACCGTCGTAGCAAAAGGCTGAAAGGTCTGAAGAGCGGTGACTCGAGCGGCACATCCGCACGGGCCAACGTAATCGGAACCGGCAAGGTAGCTTATCCTCCATTACAATTCTCACGGCCCCCAATCGTAAGCCTTTCCCAGCCCCGTACTACGACCTAGCACTTGTAAATGGTTGGATATGTTCAAGTAGAATATTAACCGGTGAACCATCATGCACGAAAAGAAAGTCTTATGCGAAGAAAAGCCATGCTACAGATATTTCAAGCCCAGTGCGGCAACCATTGAAGCCCTCACTAAACACAATTGGCCAATTTATAGCTAGCCTTCAACATTTGGGGTCTGTTCTCGCACCACGCTTCTCAAGCGACGTCATAAACGGGCTAATACGTTCTCCGCAGCACTTAAGTAGTTATCGACAGCGCTGCAACGACCCTTTTCTCTACATTAGCTTGACATCAATACCATCCCATGTGACGAAGCTTACGACGATCTTTACCCTTTTGAGCCGTGGTTCGGGCTGTCGGTTGATGATTGTCAGCGAGTTCCGGTGTAAATGGAGTTCTTGGGTGAGACTTTGGTCCCGAGAACCGGGGAACAGGGTTGAAGATCCTTTGGTCTTACGTGCATACGACGAGGATACGAGAACGTGGAATGGGTCGAGGTGATGGATATAAATGAGGTTGGGTTCCGCCATGTGAAAGAGGGACTCTTTGATGTTTGCTCGAGCAGTTTCATCTTCTGTGCTAGGACAGTGACCGCTATGGCTACAACAAACGGAACCAACGGCAACATGCCGCAGAAGACCCGTGAGGAGAGTAACCATCACATGGAGTCGTCTATCTGGAACGACGTCAAGTTCAGACCTGATGATATCATCATCACTACTTACGCCAAGTCGGGCACAACTGTAAGCTGTCGCTCTATTGCTCCGAGCCAGTATCTAATTATCGCGATAGTGGGTTCAGCAAATCGTCTCTCAGCTCCTCCACCAAGGCGATCCAACCGTTCCAGCAGGCGCTCTCTCACCATGGGTCGACCTTCGCATCGTCCCCAAGGAGGCCATGCTAGGACTAATCGAATCACAAACTCACCGTCGCTTCCTCAAGACACATCTCCCTCTTGACGCTCTTGTCTGGAACCCCCAAGTCAAGTATATCTTCATCGCACGCGACGGTCGTGATATGGTTTGGAGTATCCACAATCATATGTATCGCGCTACAGATACCTTCTACAGCTTTTTCGAGAACACAGGTTATGAGGGCCAACCCCCTAAACGACCAAGTGAGAATCCCAAAGACATTTTCGATCAGCTTGTGAAGGACGACATGCCAAGTTCCCTTGGTTGGCCTTTCTGGAGTCATATTCGTGGATGGTGGGAGCATCGTGACCAGCCTAACTTGCTTCTTGTCCACTTCAATGATCTCAAAGCTGATCTTGAAGGAGGAATCAAGAGAATTGCCAAGTTTCTTGAGATTCCGGACATGCCGGAGGATAAGTTCAAAGATGTCGTTGAGCATTCTACATTTGATTGGATGAAGGAGCATGCGGAATTGGCGGCGCCGCCTCAGGCCGAGGTTGCTTGGGAGAACGGTGCGAAGGACTTTGTGTACAAGGGAACGAACTCGAGATGGAAGGATGTGCTTTCTGAGGAGGACTGTAAGGCGTACGAAGAGAGGGCGAAGAAGGAGCTCGGAGAGGAGTGTGCGAACTGGCTGCAGCACGGAGGTTGGCTGAAGTGAGCCATAGTTGCAGAGAGTCATGATACGGGGAGGTTTCCAATTCGTTATGTGTTATTTAAGATATGCGAGCCTACGTTTCACGGGCTTAATATGTAAACATATGGATATTCATCTTTTGTATTCTTTTCAGCGGAGCATAGCACCTTCATCATCGGCTATTTATGCCCTATTTGCGGATGAGCTTTGGTCCAAGGTAGTAGTGTTTCAGAGGGCAAACGAAGCCATTCTAATCAAGAAATTCTTATGTAATGTTCTGTTTACTCAAAGCATTGGTTCGTATACAGATCTAGTAAATATCTGTACTGTTATAAATAGAACAGTTCCATTGGACTAAGGAGACCAGGCTACATACATGTATATTGGCGAGAAGTTGTGGATAAGCTAACCCGCTAAAGCGCGGACAGATTGTAGCTCAGACACTACGGCAATGAGTTAATAGTTGCTATAGTCATTTTGTAGGACGGCTCAAGAGCTCTACTAGTGACATGCGTCTTACTCTTTCTAAATTTAGCTTCTGTTTGCAAGTTTAGTAGCAAAGCCTGAAGAACAGCCCTTTGTTTTGAAGCGGCTAGCCTCTTTTAACGTTGGATATGAGGTATGTTGTCTATTAGTTTTAACCTTTACAAATGCACCTATTCACGATGGAAAATTGGATGACGAATAATCCCACGATTTAATTGACGCTCTCTGTCACATCAAAGAAGCTCAGTTTGGGTTCTTGCACGATATTGGCTCGGTGATTCTATGTAAAATCTTCTGATGTACATCTTCTTTAAAGCATCAAAAAGGACTGACCAGTCACAAGGGTACGAGATACAAGGATCGGCTCCATGTTCAATTAGATATCGATTCCTCGCAATAGGGCGACGGCGACGTGAGGCAAAATCAGCCTGGGATTCCTACTGGTGCCTAAAATATTAGTGTTAGCGAGGTGGTCGAATGGAAGTTGAGCCAATTTGATGAAGCGCTTTTCTTGCGCAATCGCATGATGTGGCGCCTTTCTAGCGGCGCTTGAAGTATGGGGATTGTAACGCCCGTGAAAGATGAGCTCCAATCTTCGATAGCAATAAGGCTGATCATGGAGGTGAAAGTCTGACATATCGACGCACCTAAGGTTGGCTTTGTGATTTTGAAGGAATTCGAGTACAGCGTCTTGTTTATTGTAAATGGCAGCTTGAAATGCGTTTTCATAGCCCCACCCTGGAGCGTTCACATCAGCACCTTCATGCACGAGATGTGTAACGATATTCAAATGGCCGGAGACGGAGGCAGCGCAAAGGGCAATACCATAGACTCCTCCTTGGGCATTAGCATCAACACCTTGTTCTATCAGATATAGAACAATATCCAAATGGCCAGAGCAAGAGGCAAGGTAAAGAGCAGTACAAAACTCTCCTTCTTGGGCGTTGACATCCGCACCTTTGTTCAATAGATACTTAACAATACCCAAGTGGCCATACTCTGAAGCACACTGAAGAGCGTTATTGGATCTTCTTGTTCGGGCGTCAATATCAGCACCTTTTCCAACTAAGAATACAACAATATCCAGATGGCCAGAGCACGAGGCAGAAAAAAGGGCAGTGGCATCACTTGAATGAGCGTTGACATCAGCACCTTCTCGAACTAAATGCGCAACGGTTTCCAAATGGCCAAACTTGGAGGCACGATGGAGGGCAGGATCAAGCCTCCCTTCTCTAGTATCCGCCTTGGCGCTTGCGTCTATAAGCTGCTTGACGGAGCTTTGGTCCCCAGACCAGCTTGCATAAAACACTTGATCATGCTTTGGTAAACGACGCCTAAGCCATTCGTGCTTATCATTCATCCTTGTTTCAATGACCTTCCTCCATCGTTTGAAGAGTACGTGGTTCGAAAAGAGCTCCATTGACAAATGTGTGAAGGTACTGAGCCTTGACCCGCGGCAGGAGGTATCACGCAACCAACTGTCTACAGCAAATGGCAATAGACGATGTGTCCTCATCAGCTCTTTGTCGGTCAAGGAACAATCCATTTCCAGGAAGTAGACAAGGCATATTTCTGTAATGGTCAACTTTGCGTTAGACTCGATCAATAACCCGTCGAACTCGGTCCTGGGGCAGGATAATATAAACTCCTTCACAGACGAATGGGCTAATTGCAGTACTAATGTCGCATCATGTGATCTACTGCGCTTGCGGAGCGGACGGGTAGAAACTGCGACAAATAATGTAGAGCAAAGTGACGATATCTCAGCTGGTAATGGCATACGTTCTTTCATAATGAATCGTGAACCGGGCTGTGCTGTAAGATTTATCGCGAGAGCATCGACAGCAGCTTCGAGCTCCATTGGGATGTCCGAGTACGCTAGAAACTGAAGAATGCGAATGACATACTTCCTTCTAGTATTTGTAAGCTCGTTTAATACTCGGTAATATGTCTCTTGAAGCGTCTCTGGAAGAGTCTCAAGGGTTGTATTGACTTCTTCTTTGTTGATGCAGTCTTTCAAGCGCTCCAGTTGTAAAGCGACCCAACGAAACCTTTAAAATCAATGATTAGCTTTTATTATTAGAAGTCAGGATCTTCGGGGGCTTTACACTCCATCTGCCTTCGCAGTCAATGTGTTCACGATGTCATCCTGGGTTGACTTTTGCCTGTGCCAACGACGAAAGCTTGTGGACTTGGTCACAACATCATGGACATAATCAGAAATATCTCTGCCCACGTTATCTGTTATAAGTGAGATGATACGGTCAGAATCAGCCCATGTTCCGATAGAGGTCTTGATGTCATGTTCCGGACGGCTTGTCACGAGGAGATGGGTGTTGACTGGCCCGTTCCGAAAGCTTTTTATCCAGGTCAATGGCTCATCTCGCCGGGTGCTCCGGTTCTGATATTCATCTAGCGCATCAATAACAATGAACACCTCTCCCCCAACCGACAGCATTTCGCGAAAGGTGAATTTCAGCTGTTCTACCGTTGCTTGACTACTCCCGCCACCACATTTCGAATGAAGTGAGGTGATTGGATGCCGAGATTCTGGCCGGCTGCGGTAAAGCTGACTGATTAGAGATCGAATAATAGCGTGGAGAGACTGTCTCTTGCTGTCGGTGAATGTTATATAGAAGTACAGTATTGCGCAGTTGCGGAGTTGGGGGAAAGGGCTGTTTCGTATATCTTCAATAACAGTCGAGCTTAGAATAGTCTTCCCTCGACCGGAATTCCCATTCAGCCAGAGAAAAGAACTCATCTGGAACTTCCATTTGAGATACCGAGGGCTATTTAACAACCACTGCCCGGTACCTGAGTGGCAAGCTTCGCGAGCCTTGTTGTGATCGACAGATGGATCAGCTGGATTGAGCCATCTCGATATAGCATCATCGTGAACGCTGGACGAAAGAGATTTTATGTCACGACTGCTTTCCGTGGTCATCTGGTGAATATCATCAACCTTTTCATTCACTATTTATTGCTATTAGCTTCCAGTAATCATATAGTAGCTATTGTATCGCATGCTTAATCACTCACCGTGTCCCAAAAGAGTTTCAATTCGTTCCTCCTTCTGCACGCTGCTCGGAGCTACTTGAAGAAGTAGGTCCTTGGTGTAGGCCGCGGCGGCCATAGCCGCATACCCTTGCCACTCATCGGACTTATGTGAATCAGAATAGTCACAGATCCCCCTAATGACCACGCACTGGAAGTGATTCATTAGCCCTGCAGCTTCCATCTCAAAGCACAAGATACCATGCTTCGCTGCGAGCTTATCGCGTAAAAGTGCATCCTTCATCAATTGGTTGCCTGATGCTATCAAGCCGCAATGGATGGCAGGATTGTTTTCGTTCTCGTCTCGTTCGTCTCTGTGTATCAGCTTGTCATCGCCGCAAGAATTGCTACAGACTACGCCCTCGCCTCACTTATGAACGAAGTCTGCTTTGTATAATCTGTCGGTGGAAGCCTCTGGCCTCTTGTATCCCATGCCTAGTCGCTTGTATTTTAGGAGTGCTTTATCGATGTTGCTGTCAATGCTGTGACCTTCCATCTCATACCTAGCGTGCAGAGCACTCATAGCTGTTAGGAACGTCATAGGTGGCTGGTTCAAATGACCAGTAACAGTGAATTCCTCGCCTTGGATCGCTTTTCCGTAGTCGTACTGAGTGACGCCGCCACTGTTTCGACCTACAGATCCAACAACAATATCACCCAGGCGGATATCTTTAGTGCATGGGACGCCACCACCAATTCCGACCATGAGCACAGCTGGCAGATTAGAAAACGTCCGAGTCATGTCTTTCAAGGCAGCTGCGGCATTGACCAGACCGTATTGGCCGTACGGCAAGACTGCAATGACAACATTGTGCTTTCCAATGCTGCCGAGGGTGTAGTTGTTGGCGTCATTAATCTCTGCGTTGTCAATGGGGTCGCGGAGAGCGTCGAGAAACGCTGTAGCTGCGATGAGCTCTTTGGTCAAAGCACAGATCCAGCCAATTGTATATTCCTCAGCTTTGGGCATGATATACTGCTTTACTGCCACGTAGAGTTAGCTAGGTATATGCTGCCGAATGGACGTGCTCAAAATTCTCTCCGAAAACAACATGCAATGTAGGAGGACCTAAGTATTATGCGAACGAAGAATGACGGAATGAAAGTGAAAGTTCCATGGTATCTTTGAGCCTCATGAACCAGACCACTATGCATCACAGCCTGCCTCTTGATTGCCGCCGGCGCGTAAGCACAGCCCTGAATTTTGCTCGAGCCTGCATATTATGGCTTGACCGAGCGCTAAATTCCGCAGCGTCTTGCATAATACGACCATTCAGCCCAACTTGGCACCCGCATCAAATTTATAGAACAGCCTATCACACTTACCCACATGTCCCGGTGGCTGGTAACCACTCCAGCTGAAATTCTGACCGCATTATTGCACACATTTGTGATACTGCCTCTTGACCAACCACTTTGGGCGGTCGTGCTACGAATTACATTACCTTGGGGAGGCAGGAAAACTTAGGACCTTTATCCTGAGCGACGAAAAGACTTAGGTAAGTTTAGTGTATTTTATTAGTAGGCCTTTAGACCAGTTCATTATGACACTCTGCTTTGACGTCAGAAGTTTCATTACCCCCGAGGGATTACCTGCTGCAGCCACTGTAGCAACTCTTTCTCATTCGGGAAAACTAGTGAATGCGGCAACGCCGCAAGCAATTTGCATCTGTGCCTATGGTCATAACCTGAGCCTTAAAGGTTTCAGTGGTATAGATTAGGTTGGAGAACATCTATATCTATTATCCTTAAATTCCTCTTAACCAGACAACAGTCCGGACAAAGCCCCAAGCGACTAGCCCTGCTGCCAAAGCACAGTCTTATCTCCAATAATGCTAACCTTATCAATCTCAACCATCTCACTGTCCGTAAGTCTCCATCCAAGCGCCTCAATAGCACACTTCGCCTGCTCAACGTTCCTGATTCCAACAACGGGCAGGACCCCTTTGCTGATATTATAGTTCAACGCAACAGCAGCAATACTCTTGCGCCGCCTCTCAGCAACTCTCTGCAAAGTCTCAAGTACAGGCTCGAGGTCTTCCATCTTATAGCTGCTGAAACGGTGTGACTTGGGCGGCGGGTTATCCTTGGTGTACTTGCCAGTCAATCGACCCTGGGCTAGGGATGAATATGACTGGAATATCATGCCGCTAGCTTTGCACTTCTCGATGTTGCCGGTGAGTTCGGGGTAGCGACGTAGGATGTTATACTCGCATTGATTGGTCGCGAGAGGAATGTTGAACTTTGCAAGCTCGTCGTTGATCTTCTGAACGTCTTCAACATCATAGTTGGCTACGCCAATTGAATGGGCGAGGCCTTGTTCAACGCATTGAGCCATACCTTCAGCAATAGTGGCGATGCTTTGCGGATGAATTGGGCCATGGACTAGGTAAATGTCGACGTAATTGAGGTTCATGCGCTGAAGACTGGCCTTGAGACTCTTAATGGGCGCGTCGACGGGATGCATAAAGTTGGAAGCCTTCAGAGGAGTGCTGAAGTACTTCGTCTGGATAACAATGCTTTCACGAGGAATGTTCTTGACCAGTTCTCCGATTATCCTCTCACTCTCTCCGTCACCGTATGCCTCAGCTGTGTCTATAAAATTGATACCAGCTTCATATAGCGTCTTCCAAGCCAAGATGACATCAGGAAGCTGTTTCTCATCCCACTGCCATGTAGACTTGTCGCCCCACGACCAAGCGCCAACACAGATATGCGAAGCGTTCACGGGCTTTTGAGGACTCGGAAACTCAACACGAGAACTGGGTTCTGGGCAGTATGATGTAGGAAGAACGTTGGCACCGGCAGTTTCTGGGTCTGCCCAGTTAGGTTTCTCCGAATGAAAGCCCGATACAGCGGACGTGCCTGCTGAAAGGCCAGCTTGTAGTGCTTTGTCCATATCGAAAGAGTTCGGAAATACTTGGCGTATGTGGAAAATAAAGCTTTGAGGAACTTGGCGAAAAATGCCACGAAAGAGATCAAGCTACTTTTTAATCATTCCTGCTATTATAGACCATTATACCTACTGAGTTGCTATTGATGATTTTATGATGACAGTGCCAATGCTTCATAAAGTTATGTCGGGTTGTTTACGTTTGGGCAGGGATTTTTGGAGTCATGATGACGCTACTCCAACTCTGCTATTGACTTTTCATAAACTGAAACATGGCGTGACAAACGAGGATGCGGCAATTATTAATACCGTGATAAGACAATCTCTACCTACGGTTCAATGACGTTATTGTTCGCGCATATGTTGCCCCGTATCAACAACTACGCATACCAGAAAGTTGCGTGGTTCTTATGACTTAGCTTGAATCAATGACGTCACATGTTTACATCCTCGTCTTCACATGCCAAAAGACGCTGCAAATAAACTTCCATTCTAGCAGCAGCATGAAATATAAACCAGCTTCATACACCTTCCTTTGCAGCCTATCCAACGAACTTTGACATACTGCTATTTCTGCATCGCCAAGATGGACTTCAACGATCCCAAAAACACAAAGTCTTATTCCGATGCGCTAAAAGTCGATCCTAATTCTATTATTACGACTTCAATTGATACAGCTCCCGTGACTGTTGAGCGAAAGCCATATCAGCCCGGGGTTGACAAACCTAGGCTGGCCCATGCAGGTAAGCATGATCGAGCTGGATTTGGAGATGTTGGGTAACCAATAGTGTCCAGGTGTTGCGAGAGTCAATCTTGCTGCAACCCACGAACGACCTGAAGGAACGACTGATGATGATTGGGCTGATCGACATCGTGATCAAACGGTAAGCTTTGTAAATACTCGGCAGATCGAAGTGCTGATGTCTCTCAGGTTCTGCAGCAGCATTGCGACTTCTTTGATAAGGTCCTTCTCTCTTCCATGATCGTTTGGATGTGAGACTAACGATTTCAAGGACCACGATGGCGTGATCTGGCCAGTCGACACTTTCACAGGTTTCTACCAACTAGGCTACGGAATCATTCTATCTATAATCTCCGTCCTCGTCATCCACGTGAACTTCTCATATCCCACGCAGTCCTCGCTCCTCCCCGACCCTTTCTTCCGAATTCACATCGACAACATTCATAAGGACAAGCATGGCAGCGACACGGGAACTTATGATACTGAAGGACGCTTCATTCCACAGAAGTTCGAGGACATTTTCTCCAAGTATGCGGAAGGCCGTGATTACTTGACCATATGGGACGTGAGTAATTTGATGAAGGGGCAGAGGTTGATCGCTGATCCAATTGGATGGGGTGGTGCTTTCTTTGAGTGTAAGAAAACCCATTGGCGTCTTTTGTGTTATTATTGCAAGACTAACTTGTTTTACAGGGCTGGCCACTTACATATTGCTTTGGCCGGATGATGGGCGTATGATGAAGGAGGATATCAGAGGGATCTACGATGGGAGCCTTTTTTATAAGGTCGCTGCTCGACAAGCCTCGAAGTAATGGCCTCCACTATCATACGAGTACTAAGCTGTCCTAAGGACGTGTAGCTATGTCTAATGCAATGTGGAGTCATTTGTGTTGGGTGCTGCCATATCTTAGAATGAACAGCCAAGAGGCTTGGTGTTAAAACCAATTTGAGTATTTATTCACGAACTGATCAGAGTCTCTTTATTTACATTTTCAACCTACTCAAAAGCATAAATTACTAATAATAGCTTTTACCTGCAAAGGCTGCATACAAGGCTGACACGCAGGCGCACAGTGAGGCCGAGCAACTGCAGCCAACGTAACGACAGTCTGTTGGTCATGCAGCTGAATTTCCCCAACTGCTTACATGTTTCAGAGGTGAAGCCTAACTTCAGTATTGTTTTGCTATATGCACGATTGTTCTGCTGTACTATCAACACTTGTCATGGTCTATATATTCTGCATCTAATGAGTTTATTATGAGCATTCATCATGCCTTTGGGCGAAAGCTCGTGAGAATCTTCCAGCGGATGTGCGAGACTGGTTAGCCTCCCTTGAACAAGGCATACAGCTCAACGCGACAGGGACCGAACAGATCGATGCACTCATCAAACAGACACCATAAAGCCAGCAAGAGCTTGGAAGGAACAGTCACAGGTTCAAGAAGTACTTTGACAACATAATCCGTTGGTTGGATAAGTTCAAAGGGATTGGCGATGTCGTCTCTTCTTTTGACCCTGTGCATGCGGCCCTTCCATGGGCAGCCTTTCGATTCATATTGCAGGTATTATATGCCCCGATTCCGATGGCCTGATTGGCAATCTAACTTCTTGTAAGCTATATTGGCCGAACGAGAGCAAGCAGATACCGTCCTTGAACTTCTTGCCTCGACCCCGCACTTCGTCTTCTCTGGTCGCGTTCTAGAGATGGTCTACACACAAGAGTCCATGCATATCGGAGAGACCCAGGATGATATCAAACTTAGTCAACAAGGCCTCGACAACTTGCGCGAGGAACTCATCAAGCTTTACTCGGCGCTGCTCAGTGCTCTCAATTATTCCTACTTGATTTCGAGCCAGTATAAGGTCAAACGCAAAGCCACGGCAATATTTAATTCATCCGAACTGGTGAGCATCCATCAGGACCTGGAAGCACAACACAAAAAGGTCATAGATCGCGGAGAGGACTGTCGAAAAATCCTGAGTCATACCTTATCCCGCAAATCTCTCGACTTGCTCAGAAGCATCCAGCCATCTCTTACTGAAATAGGGGATCGAGTCCGAGAATTACTGGTACGAATCGACGAATCCGAACGACGCGAAACTCTTAAAAGTATTTCTGCCATTTTATATCGGGCTCATCACGAGGAAGTCAGTGGCAAACGAACGGCCGGCACCTGTGAGTGGATACTGAAAAAGGAGAAGTTCATTCGATGGGAGGAAAGTGATTCATCAGTAACCATTCTGTATGGAAATCGTAAGTTCGCCAACTCTCCAATTCATTCTTATTTGGGGCTCAGAAGTTATAGCTGGGGCTGGCAAGACGTTTCTCATCTCAAGAGTAGTCGACTATTGCACTGAGAAGGCTGAAGCGAGTGAGGCATTGGCTTTTTTCTATTGTAAGAGAGACGAAGAGAACCGGCGGAGTCCTCAGGATATCCTCCGCAGCATCCTTCCTCAGCTATCTAATCCAGTCAAGGACGTTGAAAGTGGAACGATTCACGTCGCTCTTAAAGATCTGCCAAACAGACTTGCACTCAATGGTACAACCTTTGATGTACCAACCTGCGAAAATCTGATTGGAAAGCTTATCGAAAGTTATTCCAAAACTACGATTATTCTTGATGCCCTTGATGAGTGCGATAGAAACACTCGAGAGGAGCTTATGAGAGTCCTGAGCAACCTCGCAAATGGCAGCTCAAAATTCCGCGTCTTTATCTCCAGCAGACATGATGAGGACATTCTACGACATTTCAAGGGTACACCTGTCATGGAGATGGAGGTAACAGACAATGAAGAAGACATCTCCTGTTATGTGGACGATAGGCTGTTTCGAGATTCTCGCTGGGCCCATCTAAGTCCCGAGCTTCAGGAGGAGGTCAAAGCAGTGTTTCACGAAAAAAGTCTAGGCATGTTTCAATGGGCAGCACTGTAGGTAGACCAGATCCATCGGCTCAGAATATGGAACGAAAAGAATATTAGGGAACAAATCAAGATCTTACCTACCGGACTCAAAGGTGCTTACGATGTTGTCTGGAATCAGATGCAAGAGATGTCCTCGTACGAACAACAGCTAGCTAGGCGAGCCTTGCAATGGGTTCTGTGTGCATTCAGACCATTAATGACTTCCGAATTGTCGCTCGTGATGCAGATCGACCCCAACTCCGTTTCGACAGAAGCGAATACACTTTTCACCCCGGAGACTATCCAGAGCATCTGCGGAAACTTGCTTGTCTACGATCGGAAGTCGAATGTTTGGCGATTCTCACACTTGTCGGCACGAGAATACATCGAGAAGCATCATTACAGCATACTTGAATCACATCACCATGTTGCTATTTCTTCTATTAAGTTCCTTGAAAGAGATTTGGTCTGGGTGCCACCAAGTCCGAAGTTCCGCATTAAACACTTTCTCTGGGTCTCTGCACCAAGTCGATCTGATCCAGGTGGTCCTTATGTTGAATTTACAGTTATCTGTCCCTATATAGTTAAGCATGTACTTTGGCATGCCCATGAATTGGATTCGCCTAAGTTCAGACACTCTGAACTCTCGAATCTTTTACGGAACTTCTTCGAACCGATTTCACAAGGTAGCTCGTCTTTCCAGACTTGGAGGCGCCTCTCAGTAAAAATGGAGAGCCAGAGATCTCGCCTCGCGAGGAAAGGCCTAGGGTACTCATCTCTGCAAATATCATCGACACCTCTCCAGGTTATGTCCATTCACGGACTATTTCACATCCTGAGAGACTTGTGGGAGAGAGCGGGGGACGAACTCAACGTATTCCATATGTTGTCACCATCTCCCCTTACCCTAGCCATTAAGTACCGGCATGAACCCATCTGGAAGTTCATATTGCTCGCAAAAGCAAAAGTTAACAACGGCGGCCCGGGACCCCTGACATCAGCAATAGAATACGACGACATGGAAGCTTTCGAAGCACTGCTTGAAGCTAAGGCAGACGTGAACCATGTTTATCCCCTTCCTATTCAAATGGCTCGATCTTTTGGTAGCCGGCCTGATCTAACAAGGCCAGAAACACCTCTGGAAGCTGCGTTGTGGCATTCAAGAAAGCAAAGTCGAAGATACTTTATACAGAGACTGCTTGATGGAGGTGCAGACGTGAATCTTAAGACACGAACTGGAACTACTTTGGAGCTCGCTGTCCAGTACGCCGATGAGGAAGCCGTTAGAATTCTTCTCGACGCAAATACAGAAGTGTACAGTCCAGATCACCTCCTAAGCCTGGCGGCTAGGAACCGGAATTTCAACCTCGTTCCATTATTCCTGAAGCTTGGCGCCAATATCGAAGAGCCGTTTAAAGGAGTCTTACCATTAGTGTGGGCGTTGAGGGAGGGAAATCTACCGAGTGTTCGATCCTTGTTGGAGATGTCAGGCACATATATTGACCTGTCTTATCGAGATCATAGGGAGGCAATTCTCTCAGCCCTATCGACTCGCGATAGACCGAATATTTTCCCCGCTCTTCTCTTTGAATCTAACCCTCTTATCAATTGGAGGGACTGTGAGACCGATACCCTAAGCAGGGCCGTAAGCTCATATCCCAAATATGAGTATGAAATCCGTGGTCTCGGCTTCGATGGGTCTAATTTCGCGCTTCAGTGTAACGAAGGAACAGCACACCGTCAGCTAAGCTTGTTCGATACTTTATTCAACGCTGGAGCAGACCCATATGTCAGCGTTAATTTCGACTCTGGAAGTACGTTGACTGCAGCTGCTTTTCATGGTAGATTGCATCACTTCCGTGCTCTTCTTGATCAGGAGAATTTTCACGTTAAACAAGAACAGAGAACTCTGTTTCGGACTGCTTTGTTCGTTTTGATGAGCGGACACCTAGGTATCGTATCTTGGAAATCTCCTGATAACCGGCGGAAGCCCTTCGGTGGCGAATACCTTTGTCCAAAACATCTAGAGGTCCTGCAACTCCTGTTTGATGGAGATTTGAACGTTTACATTCCAATCTATGACTTCTTAGATCCGTTGATTCCACTCATTTATATCAATGGGGAAGGCTATGAAATCAACAATCCATGTCACTTGTACCGAAAAGGTTACTATGGATGTTTTTCTCGACTTTGGTTCTCTATCATGTGGAATCTACAAAATGGCACATTTCTACAGCTTCCTCTGCGTTCGCAACTTCTACGATGGCAGTTTCCGGGAACATTGCCTCACCAATTGACTATTGTCACAAAGTTGACGGCATTTTCTAGAGCTCGGCCAACCTACTTCATCAAGCTTTCCATGCACCGCAATCGCTCTCAGTTCATTATTGTTCCGGTACAGCAGGAGGTTCGCAAGTTACTGAGCCAGAAATCGGGCGATAGGGGATGGAAAAGGTACAAGCCTGAAAGCTTTGGTTCCACGGGATTCACTCAGGTACCAGACAAAGGGGTTGGAACTGGATTATCAAACACTGAAGTTGATGTTGCATCTGGCAAGGTTGAAGCATATTGCGATTCTCACTATAGTAGGAATATTGGTTGGGCTCTCATTGCGTCTTTGGTCGGATTGTTTTCTTTTTTCATTGCCCTCTTGCTGTCAACTAGAGACTATAGTTAGTATTTCAAGCCTTTTGAACAACACATGAATGCATAAATCTGGAAGGCTGTTTCTGTTTCTTGAATGGTCTAAACAGTTGCTGTCGGTATCGGTCGTGGTGTTTGCTTGAGATGAGTCTTAAAGATGAAGATGTCGTAACGCATAACCTTTTCTATCAACCGCTACGAACTCTGCACCCAGACTGTCCGGCACATAAGTTTTGGAGCTATTATAATAAAGCATTTGTTCATCCCTCTTGCATCGTATAGAAGTGCATAGATTATTAGAGAGTTCTCTGAGCTTTCCTTGGGGGATTAACGCATCGAGGACGGTTCTATATCAGCATTTCTAACTCGAGCAGTGTAAAACTTGACTAACCTACACTCCAACTTGCCATCAGAGGAGTTACATGAAGTACAGAGATGTGTGGTAATAATCACAGTATCTATGGATGTAATTATGAAGAATTAAAAGCTCGTCATACAGATCCAATTCGCGAAAAGCACCGCATAGTTGAGTAACTGAACAGCTCCAGACAGTGAAGGACCAACCCCTGCAATCCCGAGTTGTCGCTCCACGGCCGTTCGTAAGATCAAGTCATCCTGCCCCCGATAGCCGATTAGTCAAACAGATGAAATTGCCGGTCTGTTTCCGACTTCTGATCATGTGCAGGGCTGTGCAGTGCGGTTTGTGGAACGATTGTTGTGATTCCTCTCGGTGTTTTGATCTCGGCTTATTCGAAGTCATGAATAAGCAATATTATTCCCGCGCTAGATCCGATAGACCGGGCAAATGTGGATCCAGTCACAGAAATATCCCGAGAATACGACGGACAGTAAGATTCAGTTTATAAGCCATGGTATACGAAAATACCGAGATGTCATACGATTGAACATGTTGGTTGTACCAACGAAGTAAGACGAAATGTTATAAAAGATAGCCAGGGTCTCCAACAATGAACCTCATCAAGCACAACTATCATCCACTACACCTGCATTCACAACAACTCTTCACACTTGTCATAATTTCTCATCTGACAACAACCAAAATGGTCAAATACGCTAAAGACCAGCCAGCGGGCTTCACAAACTCCGTTGATAGAGTCGCAATCGTCGGCGTAAGAACACTCAGCCTTTGTTCCACCGAACGCCACTAACAAACAGGTCAGGCCGGCGGTACGATCGGCTCTCACATCGCCAATGCCCTTCTGCGAAACGACAAGCATGAACTCACCGCACTGACCCGCAAAGGAAGTACCAACGATCTCCCCGACGGGATTCGCATCGCCTCCATCGATTACAACGATGAATCAACCCTTGTTGCCGCTCTCCAGAGCCAGCAATTCCTTATCATAACTATGGCTCCCAACGCTCCGAAGGATACGCACAGCAAACTCGTCCAAGCAGCCGCTAAAGCTGGAGTACCTTACATCATGCCAAATGGCTACGCCGGCGATATCGACCAGGTTACACTCGGCGAGGACACTCTGCTTGGACCGATCGCGAAAGCGAACAGAGATGAGATTGAAAGGCTGGGTATGAATTGGATTACTGTTTGTTGCGGGTTTTGGTTCGACTACAGTCTTGCCGGCGGCGAGAACCGTTTTGGGTTTGATTTTGACAAGAAGTCGCTTACGCTTTATGACGATGGCAATGTGAAGAACTCGACTTCTACACTTGCGCAGGTTGGAAGAGCTGTTGCCAGAGTTCTGAGTTTAAAGGAACTCCCTGATGATGAGAACGACGAGAGTCTCACGATATTGAGCTTCTTGGACAAGGCGGTTTACTTGAACAGCTTCGTCGTTAGCCAGCAAGACCTTTTTGAGAGCGTCAAGCGTGTCACTGGTACTTCTGACTCCGACTGGACTGTTACTCATGAGTCAAGCAAGAATAGGTACGAGGAGGGTATGGCGCAGGTTAAGCACGGAGACATGTCTGGATTCAGCAAGTTGCTCTACTCGAGAGCTTTCTTCCCAGAGGATCCGAGTAATCTATCTGCTAAGGCTCAGAACGAGTTACTTGGTTTGCCGGAGGAGGACCTGGACGAGGCGACGAAAGATGGAATTGCCTTGGTCGAGGCATTGAAGGGTCGTGGTGAGCGTATGAATCATTAGATGAAGGCGAAGGTCATTAACATGCACGCTTCGTTGTATCTAGTCACTCTACTCAACATTGTAGTCATGCCTCGTGTTTGAGATCTAGATCTTTCCATTGTGACGGAGGGTGAAAGTTAAATACAAATAAACGCCGAGTCCGTTCGACGGTGCTTCGGAGTTTCTCAAATCCCGCTTACTTGTGCTCTGTCGAGTATCTATTCTCTCGAAATGGCTTAGGTTAGATACCTTCTAGCCTTGACAACCCCGGTCGAGATTATCTTAATCAAGCCGTCGGACTTGTTCAAATACTCCGAAATGCCCTTTACTGCATGTAGTCCAAACCTTACAATACCGGATATGCCGCATTACATAGAACCTCCCCAGAAATTAAGAGGGTAAGTTTCTGAGCCCTGTGACACTTTTCCTGAATAAATCTCAACGCAAGAATCACTATGTCCTCCAATATCAAATCGAATGGTGTCGCCATCATTGGTGCCGGATTGGGCGTAAGTCTAGACCTGCCGTGATTGATGCTCGTTTGAGATTGACCAATGTTACAGGGTACCGCTCTCGCCCTAGCTTTGCATCGCCAATCGATTCCATGTCGTATCTTCGAGACCAGGAGCGCAAATTCGGCCATCCTTTCAAGTGGCGTAACGCTCACACCTAACGGGTGCCGAGTCCTTGATGAGCTAGGGATCTTGAGTCGCTTGCAAGAGAAGAGCTATATCTTCGAACATACCGTCACTAAAGACGCAGGTGACAAGACCGTGAGGAAGACGAGGATCGCTTCGGATGGCCCGGGTGCTTACCCTTGCTACCGTTTGTATCGGCTCACCCTCCTCCAAGAAGTGAAGATGGCCCTGGCTGAGAGGAACATACCGATCTTTTATGATATGAAGTTCGAGAAGATAATCAGCGATACGCGTGAGGGGGTTGTCTTCCAGGTTGGAGACAGGACAGAACGCGCCGCAATGGTGATCGGATCTGACGGTATCCATTCAACTTTGAGACGACACATCACGGATCTTACTCCAGTTTATACTAATCTGTTATGTTTATATGGGCATATTCCAACGAAGTCAGTGGAATGGCCCGATCAGGACTTTGCCGCTGGTTGTACAATCCTAGGGAAGCCTGGTAGTCTTTTCATGGTTCCTGAAGTGGAAGATGGATCAGATCTCATGATCGGAACGCAATTTGCGTATCCAGAAGCTGATCGAAAAGGCTGGGAGGCTCTCGCCTCCGACCCAGCATCTCTGTCCGCTTTATTGCGGAAGGATTATGACCAATGGCATGATACAGCGAGACATGCTATTGATGAATTATGCAAACGCCCGGAGAGCATACAATGCTGGCCATTCTACGCCATGCCTAAGCTACACAGCTGGTCGTCATCTTCTGGAAATGTTATCATGATAGGCGACGCTGCTCACGCCATGCCGGCCTCGTCGGGCCAGGGAGTGAACCAGGCCTTGGAAGATGCTTTCTCACTGGCCAAGGTCTTATCTTACGAATGGAATGAAGAGGTTTGGCCTTCGGTGCTGAGTACTTGGCAGTCGTGGCGGCAGGATAAGATCGACAGGATACATGAGATGATGCGGGCGATTAATATGATGAGGTCGTCCGAGCTGGAAAGATCGAAATTGCTGGGCACGGAGAGCAAGGAAAAGTCTACGAAGGATAATATGCAGTGGCTATTTGATTTGGATCTTGACACGCTAGAAGCCAAGCTAGCTGACCATAGTAAGCTGTAGTGCTTGTATACGCTGGGGGAGCCATCGCCGATATCGATCTTCTGCAGCGGCTCGATTTCTTCTTTAGTATTTGCTTTTCAATCTATAGTAAATCCCAGTTGTTTCTTCCAGTCAACCCCGCATGCCTTCCTAAGAAAAAGACTTGTTATCCTGTGATATTGTTACTGCAGCAAGTAATGCAATATTTATTTTCCTAAGATCCGTTATCCCATAAGGTCTTGGTTCCTGGACTATAAATCTCTAGAAAAAAGCCAGTTTTCCTATACCCGACCTGGTCAGGTAATTGAGGGACTGTAAGCCTTGAGGATATACTTTAGGCAGCTAGCGCAGGCAATTGGAACACGGCATATCTTTTCCACGACTCAAGGTTCTACTCAAAAACGTTCCACGAAAACCAGCAGTGTCTACAGGTGGCTAAGGTGAAGACTTTATTTATTGAACCATGCAGGTGTACCTGATTCGCCTCTGGCAGCCTTACCCCGCACCAAGAACTGGTCGGCCTCCCACAGCTATTTCGCGCTTTTGGTTATATGGCCGACCTCGAATTATCTTTTTTCTCTTCCTTATCTTTATTTTGAGTTACTTTCCCTCAACAAAAAGCATTCCTTCTATTGCGAAGCCGGATATTGAAGGATAACAAGTTCTAGTCGACTTAGCTTGCCTTGACCTTGATGCACATAGAAATACTGCCCAGCAGCTGCCTTCCTCACCATTTCCCTCTGACACTTCCAACACAACACCATCGCTCTTGTGTCCTCGACTCCTCCATTATGGAAGACACCACCAGGCCCTTGAGCACACTGATGTTGGATCAACCATCTTATCTAGACTCCCTTTCCGAACTGGTTCATTCAACTGAATGCTTATCATCAAAGGGCTATGTTACAACTCGCCTGTCAGATACCGACCTCGAGAAAAAGAGACGCTGTGCGAGGTGCAGCGTGTGTAAGATTCCTTCTCTTTTATCCCTGGAACTGAGATCTAAGCCAGCTAGTGCTTGCCAAGGAAGAAAAAAGAAGGCAACAAAGATTACTTCGTCAACAAGATCCCGCGCGTGCGAATACCCCAGCTCCCTTACAGAGTAATGCTCCAGACGAGATCGATTCACTCAGGATGGATCAACTGCAGTTAGAGGAAACACGCGCACCGGTACCGCGATGTAAGTTCCACGACGGAAAAACAGTCAACAAGGTTATACCTCTGCACTTTCCAAGCGAATCAGGGTTCGCTGATAATTATGACAGAGATGGACCTGCTGTGGCGAGCATGTGATGGGACCTCCTTGTAAGCAAGAAGAGGATCACCAGCCTGAACAACGTACTCTCAAAGATATATCCAATCGCTGGCAGTACACTGCAACGCCATCGTCAACGACAAAGGATACACGCAAAGCTGTCGTGATCGACTGTGAAATGGGAACAGCAGCATCCGGAGATTGCGAGCTGATACGGCTGACTCTTATCGACTATTTTTCCAGCCATGTTGTGATTGACAAGCTCGTCTGGCCTGATGTTCCAATGAGCCACTTGAACACCAAGTGGTCAGGCGTAACATGGAAGATGATGTATGAAGCACGGAACAAAGGGAAGGGCGTGTTTGGCTGGAGAAACGCACGTTCTTTGATTTGGAAGTTCGTGAGTCCAGAAACAATTGTCATTGGGCATGGTGTGAAATCAGATCTCACTTCATTGCGATGGATTCATCCTCGAGTTATCGACACGCTTATTGTCGAGGGAGATAATCATGGCGCAACGACTGGGCTTTCGTTGAAGAAGTTGGCTGAGGAGCGGTTGGGCAGAGTCATACAGAAAGGGAGAGGCCACGATAGCCTTGAGGATGCGACTGCTACACGAGACTTGCTTCACTGGAATATTGTGAGAATGGTTAAGGGTACAGAGGCTTGAGTGATAGAGCCATCGTTTTGATGTGGAGGCTAAAGATTATAAAGATTGTATCTGATTATGATTAGTTGCGGCAGCTCTAAGGTTCTTTGAGAAATATTGTTTTGGTTGTGGACTTGGATGGATAGAATCAGATAGGTTACAGCCTTAAATTCCATGCAACAAAGGCGTGTCGTGTATCCTTCGCCGGCCTTACTGGACTTACAATAGCCATCGGAGTCATGTTCTTTGCTAATGAGAACATTAAACGGCTAGAGATCTCTAAAAGCCAATGATAGTTTCCTTGTGCTTGTGCACAAGGTCGGTAAAATTCAGTATATCCTGTAACCGCTCTCGAGTAATGTAGCGATCGAAGTAACCGTGGCGATGTCCTTAAATGAATCCTAGATGCGCTGGCCTGGCTTCCGTTGTTGTGACAGCTACAATGATAGGTATAAAGTGTCCATATAAGCCATCACTGTGCCTCGTTATACGACTTTACTGCACTTTAAAAGTTAATTAAGGCGATCTGGAAATGTGATTTGGACCAAGACAGAGCTGCCTAACCTAGACCATTTCTTCTATCACAAATGATCCATGTTGCCAAAAGTTCAATATTTCTTAATTATTTACTTGTCTCGTCTTCGCACTCGCAGTAATGTTCCAGAAAATACCAGTGGCTAGTCGATCACCTGTCTGGTTGAGCTAGATATTCAGAGTTACGCCCCTGTCAAACCTATCTACCGCATAAGAGAGGTTAGTATAATCAAATCCTATCAGATTAATAAGTACATCTACGAATATTCTACGGGAGGAGTAATTTATGGCTTTATTTCGCATCTTGTTCTGTCCCCCGCATCTGAGATTTCGGACTAAAAAATCACCACATAGCAGGTCTCGGTCACGTCAGCGCGACTGGCGAATCATCAAGCTACCCCAGCGTTGCAATCGCGGATACATGACTCCTACTATTGGGCTTATCAGCGCTGATCTGAGTAATTTCGGAAATACTTTCGTGAAACACAAGCTGACGCAATTCGTGTGCAGAATGAGCAGTAGGTTATTCACTCTTTCATTGGATGGGCTATAGCATATTGTTCATGCATTCCCTTCGCCACGGAGGACGCTACATCGGTTAAAACGCGACGAGATTACTCGAAGCAGTAAAAATTGATAGTGCGAGGGAAATAAGACCCCGGGGAATGATGCTGCAGCTTCAAGGGTGAAAATAAGCTTAAAAGAAAGTTTTCTCCCCGATCAGCCACAATCTTCAACCTCACCTTATTCTCAATTAGAATCACAATGGCAGAGAAAAGTAGAGTGGTTTCATCCGAGAAGGTCCAAGGCGCACAAGACCTGACCCCGGGCTCAGACTCGGACGCTCCTGTTGTCGCTGTTCTACAAGAAACACCCAAGAGGAGCTGGAAGTCGTACATATGGGATACCTTCGACAAATCACCGGAGGAGCGCAAGTTCTTGTTCAAGCTTGACGCTGCTCTTATGACATTGGCGTCGTTGGGATACTTTATCAAATACTTGGATCAGGTAAGATCACTCTATTGCTAGGTGAGACAATGGCTGACCAGTGACGGGACAGGTGAACATCAACAATGCGTTTGTTTCTGGGATGAAAGAAGACATGAATCTGTTCGGCAACGAGCTGAACTATATGCAAACCTGCTGGACAGTCGGATATGTCATCGGAGAAATCCCAAGGTAACTCACCCTCATGTCAATGATGAACAGAATACTAACAGCTTAGTAACATGCTATTGACGCGCATCCGACCAAGTATCTGGATCCCCGCCTGCGAAGTAACTTGGTCCGTCCTCACAATCCTTCTCACGAAATGCACAAACGCCACCCAACTCTACGTCCTCCGCTTCTTCATCGGTCTGGCAGAGAGTACCTTTTACCCTGGAATGCAATACATCGTTGGATCGTGGTATCGCAAAGACGAACTTGCCAAACGATCATGTCTCTTCCACGCCATGGGAAACGTTGGGTCTATGGTATCAGGTTATCTGATGGCTGGCTCGCATAACCTCGATGGCGTACATGGCTATCACGGTTGGCAATGGTTATTCATCACTAACACAGTCGTGTCTTTACCCATCGCTATCGCAGGATTCTTCTTTCTACCGGATTTGCCTGAGATTACTAGAGCTTGGTACTTCACACCAGAGGACATTGCCCTAGCAAAGAAACGTATGGAACTTGAGGGCAGAGCTCAAAGATCGCCTTACACGAAAGCCAAGTTTAAAAAGATCTTCACCAGCTGGCATATCTACACCTTGGTTCTTCTCTACATTCTCTTCAACAACGGCAACGGCGGAAACTCCCAACCCGCATTCCCTCTCTGGCTCAAATCAGAAGGCTACTCCATCCGCGACGTAAACCTCTACCCCACCATCGTCGAAGTAATCAGCGTCATAACAACCCTCATCTACGCCTGGACATCAGACAGTCTCTTCCGCGGCGCCCGCTGGCCCGCCATCGTATTCTCCGGCCTCGTCAAGATCATAGCCTACGTCGGACTCACAGTCTGGAAAGTTCCTACGCCGTTTACGTGGGTATGTTTCATGCTCTGTGGCTTTGGCGGCGGTATAAGCGGACTTACGTTTGCGTGGGCGCATGAGATTTGCAGTGATGATAATGAGGAACGGGCGTTGGTTACGGGGGCGATGAATCAGATGGCATATGTTTTTCAGGCGTGGTTGCCGTTGATTATTTGGCAGCAGGTTGAGGCGCCGAGTTATCCGAGGGGATATCCTACTATGGTTGGGATGGCGGTGGGGTTGATTGGGATTGCGTTTACGATTAGGGCTTTGCATAAGAGGCAGATTAGAGGGCATAGACATGCGTTGGTGGGTGAGGCGTGACATGGCAAAGGAGGATGTATGTAAAAGTTGAGTATAGTATGTAGTGAAAGCCTCTATATCTATCGCAGTCCGTACAATCTGATCAGCCCACCGTTGTCCATGGTATCATACCTCAAGCCCAATCCCCAACTCCATCTTCATGTAGATGAATATCCTCCATCAACAAAGATAGTCTGCCCCGTCACAGCAGCACTAGCATCACTCGCCAACCAAACCGCAACACCCGCAAAGTCCTTCGGCAGCCCATTCCGTCCAATCATCGTCCTCGCAGCATGAGCGTCAGCCTTGCCCGGATCATTAAACGTAACACGCGCCAAAGGCGTGTCGACAAGACCTGGCGCGATAGCGTTGCACAAAACGCCATGCTTCGACCATGCTTCAGCTTGTGAACGTGTCAGGCCCAAAAGACCTGCTTTGGAAGCTCCGTATGCACCGCTGTTTCCGAATGCTCGGAAGGATTGCTGGCTGATGATGTTGATGATTCGTCCCCAACCGTTCTCAGCCATCTTGGGTCCAAATGCTTGACCGAGTGTGAAAGGTGCAGTGAGATTCACAGCGATAGTCTCATCCCAAGCTCCCTGCGAGAGGTCGTTCATATGAGGTCTATAATTAACCCCCGCCGCATTGACAAGAATATCAGGTGTTCCAGCATTCGTTTTTATCGCATGAATCGCATCGCGAACAGAAGCTTGGTCTGAGAGATCAGCGACGATTGCCTCAGCTGTGACATGAAGATCCGCAAGATGATCGATAGTATCTTGAAGGGGTTTCGGTCGGCGCGCGACAAGAACGATTCGACAGCCTGCGCGACCGAGAGCAATTGCCATTTCGCGGCCTATGCCTGATGAACCTCCGGTTACAACGGCGACTTTGCCGGCGAGGCTGAAGAGACTGGATAGGTAGCCTGAGATGGCCTGGGGGCTTGGAGCCATGGCGGTGAGAGGACGCTAAATCTGGTGAAGATTGGTGTAGTGGAAGAGCAAAAGTTTGTAAAGACAGTGGTTATATGGGCTGTAGAGATAGTCGCGTGGCTGTTTGGCTGGGTTATGAGTCTTGTGAGCGAAATCGGCTGACGGGAATTGGTGCACGAGGTGTACTGATAATTGCATGTATGCGGGGTAGATGAATCGTGACTCAACGTTATTGACTAAAGCGGCATTTCACGATCAAACATCATGATTACAACAAAAACATGAAATGCCTCTATAATAATCGCAAAATTATCAGCAAAAAAGAAAATTATCATCGGCGCCAATTGAGAATCGTTAAGCAGTAGCTTCTATCCTCACCAAAACTAACCACCAAGTCTCAGCCCCAATATCGACAACCCCAGGCCCATTAACTTCCAGATGCGCAATATGATCACTCAGCGCACTCAGAGGTCCCAACGGTCCAGCGCTCTTGTCGCCTTCTGCTGAAGCTTCCAATAGCGCCTTCACGGAAACACCAACGACCTCTGATAATTGTTCTGTGTTGACCAAGCTCGCGTGTAGTCCTCGCTTGTTCAGCCAATCGTGATTCGCAACAACGACATATGCGACCGCGCGTTCAGCGGGTGTTTTCGGTTTTCGTGTGGCTGCTGCGATTGTTCGACCCGGAAGACTAACGACTGTTCCTACAGCACCGAAGACAGCGCCTAGGGGAATTGATATAGCGCCTCCGACGACACCAGCCGCGGCGCCAAGGATGTTTCCGCGCTTAGTGTTGGCGGCGATGTTCTTGCCAACGCTCTTAGCATGGTTCTGAACATTTTTTACGTAGTTGACAGGTTGTTGGCCAACGCTCTTGGCGACATCTCCAGCGTGATTAATAGCGCGCTCTCCGACTTTGGCTGTCATGAAGGCGGAGATGGTATCGAGGAACGAACCCCATGCTTCTTTTGTAATGCCATGACAAAGAAGAGCGGGTGCGTAAGCTTTTAGGAAGGGAGATGTTTGGGTGGGGTTCTCTTGGGGGATGGCGATGGGGGGTTCTTGGGCGGATGAAGCTTCGGAGTAGCTTGGGAGAGGAGACTCGGATGGGAAGTTGAAGGGGTTTTCGGCCGTGGGGATCTTATCGGATGATGGTTCGTTCGCAGATGAGGGGCCTGCTTCGGCTTGGTAAGCTGGTGAAGGATCTGAGGGCTGAGTTTGGTTGGCGAGATGCTCTGCTTCTTTGGAGGAAGACATGATGAGAGAGTTCAACGATATGAGAGGAAGATTGACGAATGAGACGAGAGTGAGATGAGAGGAATTGAATACGATAAATGAATCAGCGACCGTAAGATCTTAAATAGCTGGTAAACACGGCTTAAATGCCACTTCGTCATCGGTTATAACGGCATCGTGCTCAGCCCTAAGATCTCAATTAAACCAGATACTGAACCAATAGGAGACTCCGATAATCGCGCGGCTGAATTATCTCGAATCAGTTGACGGAATGAGACTAGTGCGTCAGCCTCTGGATCTAAGCGAGAGCGAGGGGATCCATTTGCGAAGCTACGTAATGAGGCTGTGCTGACATCGAATGGCTTGCTGTGTTTTGAAGATGAACAGTCGGGAAGAATTTGGAGGAGACGACGCATAGCTCTTATGTTTCGGGGTATCAATACGGTCTGGATAAGTTCCTGAGTTAAGTGCCTGTTTAGGATAACGGTGCCGCCCGCGTAACATGTCTTCCTTCACGAAATGGCCAACACTACTCACTCATCTGCCAAATTCTCCTGCTCCAGCTGCCGAAAATTCGCCCTATCATAATAAAACCCTCCTTGCTGGATAAACATGCAATGATTAATCTCTCTTCCGCCAGAGTTACTCACCCGCCAGAGTTTCTGCGATTCCAGGCATTGCGAAAAATGCAAAGCAGCTTCGTCTTCAGAGTATGATCGATCGCGAGCTCGAAAATGCAGATTGAACATGACGTTTTGGCTCGTTGCGGGAACAAGCGAAGGGGGGCTTAGCTTCCAGAGATTTAGGTGGCAGCATTTGCAACTTACTCCCGTCTGGAGTTTTCCCGTGCGAGGATTGAGGGAGGGGAAGATGATGCTTGCTGCGAGGCGGTAGTGAAGCCAGCCAGGCTTTAGAAGCGATTGCACAGGTTCTTTCAGGCCTTTGTCGACTTTGATATATGCCGCTAGTAAATCCTTTGCTAGAACGCCACGAGTCTTTGACATTTTCTGATCATCCCATTTATGAGTCTTGAAAGACGCACATCCATTGACTTCAAGGCTTCGGCAAGATCCTCAGTGTGTTCGGTGTATAAATCCTTCCATTGTTCCCTCCTGCTGATGCATGCTTGGTTGACGAGAGCTGTCTCCGGTGATGCACGAAGCCACTCGAAACAGCATCGCTTAGCAGTCGAAAGGAACATGAATTCGCCGAACTGTCCGCAGAAAGTACACTTTGACGTCGTGAGTGCAGTGTAGACATCTGAATACGAGACATAGCCGCTAAGATCTGTTCTTCTCAAAGCGTTGGGCGCATCTGGGGCGTAGCGCAGAACACGCTGGTAGATGGTGATAGCAGTTGAGAGGTACCGCGCCCGGCGACTGACTTGTCTAAACCGGCGAAAAGAGTCAATGTCCAGATGCAATACGATTTCTTCGAGGAGATCTTGAGGCAGGCGGGCCAGAACACCAAGGTTTGGAGTTTGAGTTTTATAGCAGCGGGAGAAGAACCTGCGGACTTCCTGGGAGAATTCATGGGCTTTGGGATCGAGCGTCGGAAAGTAGTATTTGGTTCTGTTGTAGAAGCAGGTATGAAGAAGCTCGCTCCTGCTGACTTTTATGTTTTGTGTGATGCTAGAGGGACCTGTCACCGAGTTAGTGTTGGGTACAGAGATGGGAGCCATTTTGTTGATGAGGTGAGATGGGATGGAAGGAAATGGGAGGAAGAATCAAGAAAGCTGTGGAGACTTTGTTTATATGCTGTCAACACTGATGAATTAAAATCTTGATTCTGTGATTCATGGTCTTTGGTAGAGTTAGAAAAGGAAACCTTGGCAGTGGACATGGAGCATGATAAGAGGTACATTGTCTTACCACTGTCAGTGAAGAAAATTTTGTATAATGTGTATCACAAGGTAAGCTTCATTAAACTGCATTATACCTCGTAAATGTGATACTTCTTGATCTACCATACGGTTGATGACAAGGTTAAGGAAGAAGTCTGTTTTACTTTCAGCCATTCACCAGTGACAACGTTGAGATACTGAACCTACGCCGAACTAACTTTTCATAAAATTCGTGGCGGTCTGCCTTAGGCTTTTATATCTAATCTAGCTGTAGCAATAGTCTCATCGAATGCTTAGGGATCAAACTCCCTCTTGCTAGGATCAGGTCCACCTGCCACCCAGAACAGCAAGTCTGGCCGCTTCATACCTTCGCCGACCCAGTAGCTATCACCGATTCAGGACCCAGCAAGGGACACGACATGACTCTAACATTTCTGCTCTCTGACAGTTTGCTATTCTTCAGTCTTTCTCTCCTCGTAGTCCAGTCCCCCGTTCGTCCCAATACATCCAAACTCAGCCAGATCTCAAAATAACAATCCTAAGCTCAACAAGGCCCTGCCAAGTCTCCTTCATTATATCAACACCTCTGTGATCAGACTCCATTAAGATTAGTCTGTCGACGACGGTACAAAGCATAGCCAAGTAGGATGAAGATGTAGAATGCGATTTGTACAACGACACCGACCAATACCTAAAAGGCCTCGTTGTTTACAACCGGCATCTGGTCTACAAACCGCCGGCAATACTCCGCTCGCTCACTAATACCCCAATGCATACCCCCATTCGCGGCAAACCAGGACTCTCGACCAGGCGGTACGCGGTTCATCCAGATTCGCTGTGCATGCACGCAAGTCTCGAAGTGCTTCTCGAAGTCTTTGTGTGAGTAGCATCGGTCGCGGTCTTCGGCATCAGGGTTGATTCTCATGTCGCCTAGGGGGCCGTTTGCTCGGATGAGTCGCTTTTCGAATGCTTCGTGGCAGCCTTTGCAACTACGTCCTTCTTCTATTTCACCCGTGGACGTGTTTAGATAGGGGAAATGGATGCTAGCGGCTGTCCGGTATTGCAGCCATTCATCGTAAAAAAGGTCCTTGACTGGATCAGACGTGTCTATTCCCAGTTCGGAGGAGCTGAAGACGTCGTCCACCAAGACACCTCGGATGCCCTTCAACATTCGTCCGGGCCGTGAATGGTTGCGGACTTTGATAGACCGCATGGATGATTTAGCAAGTGTTTCGAGGAGACGCGGACGATTGTCATGAGTTCCGTACATGGTGAATCGTGGATAGTAGGTGAGCATTTCCTCTGATCCAATAACCGCCATGCGGGGCGATGTTTGAAGGCACTTGTGGCAGGTTCGAGTGCAGGTCGGGAGGAAGAGGATTGATCCATAGTCGCCACAGAACTCGCACTTGGGGGAGGTGAGCGCCTTGTGGATCTCGCCGATGGTAATATGGGGACTCAAGCCGGTACGGATAAGGTTGATGACAGCCGTGCTACCATGGACCATGACCTCTTTGCAGTCTAAAACTGTCTCTGTGATTCTGTGCGCCTTCGCGTTTATGTTTCTGAACCGGCGGAAGGACTTGACATCGAGATGACGAAGGATGCTGTTCATACTGTCGCTGGGAAGCTTCTCGAAGAGAGCGAGATCAGCAGTAGGTGTGCCGAGAGGGTTGGTCAAGGCTTGAGGGATAGGACCGAGGTTCTGCAACATGGGAAAATACTATTTCGTCCTAGTGTATGAGCACTTACGGCGGATCTTGTCCCAGTCTTCTGTTGTGTTGGCCCAGTCGCTGGCAACAGCCTTGGGACCATATCTATTGGCGAGATAGATATCTAGATCGGACATTCCATAAGGAGCCGAGTCAGAAGACATCTTGTGAGATCAGCTGAGCTGCTGATTGCGTTTGTTGGAGTGAATTGGGGCCAGTAGATATCTAAGGCAGTAGAGATGACTTGTCAGATTGTTTGCAGAGTTCGTATGTTGGGTCAGGATAGAAAGGTTCTCTGATGGTCTGAATGTATGGCAAGATGCGTGATAGTTTCGAAGGCTATTCGCTCTAAATGCAGAAGGGTCAAAGATGAAGAGTCGTGAAGAGTCGATGTCGTTACTATGCTGGCAGGTTGGTCAAAGGATCGAAGGTGAGATAATGAAGAAGATGAATGTCAACCTTGTTGCGGATGACTGGGAATCGTGAGTCAAGAAAGTGGAAGGCTGTCGTGACGGCCAGCGACGAGAAGATGATTGTTTAGCGATCGTTTAAAGGCAGTGTGTCGTAAGTCAGAGGAGAGATGGGAAAGGAAGAGGTTGTTTTGGGGGGGAGTTGATGAAGCAGGAGTATGACAAGAGGAGAGCAGTCACTTAGGATGGTTGATTGACATTGCGAGAACAAAAACTCTAGGCAATGACAGATAACCGTGGCACACGTTGCTCCGTGGCACTGGCACAGGTTGGCAGCTGGCACTACGCTTATCATAGCTCGGCGCGTTTGTACATGACAGACGTCTTAGCACAGGATGGGTGAACAGCTTGAGCCGTTCGAGCTGAGGCTGACCAACATTGAAGCATACGCGTGCGCTCGGTTTCCATTGCGACATATCTAACAAGGAGCTTACGCTTCTCGTGTTGCCTCGCCAGTGTTGCTGCTACGTCGCTCTCCGGATGAGCTTGCATCAAGAAGGGCCGAATATATTGTACAAAGGAAACAGGAAGTCAATTTGAAGACAAAACAAGGCTACCGTACTGTATTCAGCGAACGATGGAACGTCTCCTGCGAGTATCCCCAATAAGTGCCTGCGCAAACTCCAATAAACAGATGAACGCGTACTCCGAACACTACGCCAAATGAGACAAACTAACTCCAAGTCGCCAAGATCCATCCTTCTGCCTGGCTGGCTCCCCTCAAACAGACTTCTGCGTAACCCCCGACCCTTTTACTTGCGGCACAAGAACTGTGCCATTGCGATACTCATATTCAAATTCCGTCCTCGAGCCACGATTCTCCTGAAACGACACTTGGATAATCCGCATGATAACCTTAAGAAGGTCTGAATATTCTGGATACTCCTGCTTGACGTCGAGCTTCACAAGCTTGAGACTTTCGTTGTCCTTTCGAGCGCCGCGAGCGAAACGACTGATGATGTTTATATCACGTTGCGTTGGAAGCCCAGCTTCCATATTGATCCAAAGAATGTTGTTCGCTTCGGACAGACTCTCATAATCGCTCAGAGACTCGGAATCGTCATCTAGGACGACGTAAACGAATCGCGACGAGATATCTTCCAGACGTGTTGGTGTTATAGTTGATGCGGTACCATTCTCTGCCAGTACTGAAGCCAGCTGGTCCGCAAAGCTGAACAGATTGCCCTGTGATCCTGGTAGAATATTAACCATTAACTGCTGAGTTGATTCAACGGCTGTTGAGACGACGCAGTAGCAGGATTGGCCGATGTAATCGAATGTTTTGGTTGCCGGTTCGAGGCCGCTGAACTGGTTACCCTGTAGCAACTTGTTCCAGTCGTCGTTGGACGGGTATGGCAATTGTTCAAAACGTTCATCTAGACTATTTGTCAGTAAAGGCCTAGAGTTACTGTGAGTAGAAGAACACGTACCTGACCACATATTTTCATTCATACCTAACATGAGGCTGTAAGCCGGTGATATGTCTGAAAGTCCGACGAGAGCGAGGGCACCGCCGGGGACGAGAAGTTGGCGCAAGTTGGCCAGTGTTTCTGAAAGAGAGTTGGCTGTTTGAAGGATGTTGTTGGCGATAATAACGTCGTAGGTATTGGAACTGAAGCCTTGCTCAATAGAATCGCGGTTAATGTCGAGGCTCTTGAACTTGAGGAAGTCCTTGGTGACGCCCGACTTCGTTTGCTCCAGCACTGAAAGCGACGAGTCCGTAAGTGTATACGAGACACTCTTCTGTTCCCGAAGCGCTTCAAAGATCGTCTGCGTGGTGTTGCTCGTACTGGCGCTGACTTCGAGGACGTTCAGAACAGGCTTCTTTGTCGCATATGATGAGAGATATTGTCGGAAATGCGCTCTCATCTTCTGCATCAATTCCATCCCATCTTGCATCCGATTGAACCTATCGCCTTCCAACAGGAGCGGCATCGGATCAATAGTCCCTTGCAGAATGGCTCCCAAGTTCGGTCCGATCTTTGCCAAAAGCTCACCTTCAACGCCCATACGCATGAGCGACGAGAGTATCTCAATCGTAACAGTCATCGTCACGTCGCCCAGCACGAGCTTACTCGCCTGAGACGAGTTGTAAGCTTGCATCCATTGATACAATTGTTTTCGGAAGCCGGTAAGTTTGGAGGGATCAAAGTCCGGGATATCCAGAGGGATGTTGTTGAGAGATGAGCGAATAATCAGCGCTGCGGCGCGAGCTAGTGTGATTTGGTGATCGGCTGTTGCTTTGCATAATGGTGTTCTTGGACGAAGTTCAGAACCGGTGAAGAAGTTGGCGTCGGGTTCCCATTCAACGTGGTACACCGAGTCCCAGTCGTCATCATTGTGGATGACGAGTTGGTCTCGGATGATGGGCTGTACTATAGACATGACTGGAATGTGACTATAGTGATAAGATAAGGATGAGCGTAGAAGTTTGGTGAAGTTCACTCTGCATAGAGCTATGGAAGTAAGAGATGAAAAGTGTTGGCGCCAAGCAAGTCCTTATATCCCTCCAAAACCCCAAAATCTCACCACTTTCGGAATGGAGGGGGGGCGATGACATTCGTATCTCCGGGGGATACCCCAATATTTCTCGGAGCCGCAAAGCATGTGAGACCCTTAACCCCACGGGGAAATAAACGGCCGAGCTTCCGATACGTGCCCGCGTTTGGGGTAGTGGTGCCATGACATGTTACTGTGACATTTTATCTCCTGATTAACATGGACCGATGAGATGAATTGGGAAGTTGGGGAAAGCCCCGCGTTTGAGGATTGATGATGGTTTGGGGGCTGATTGACGAGGCTTGGGTGCAACGGATGAGGCGCTTTGAGGAGGAGAGGCTGCCGTTGATCCCGTCGCAGCAGACAGCCATTCAATGTTTCTTTCAACCAATACTGTTTATTGTTTTTGTCAGATAAACTCCACTGTTCCCGTTGAGGTTACGTTGAGGCTCTGTAAAGGAGCAGATGATCAATGGACTAATGCATGTGATTGCGGGAAACTCCACAAATCGCATCCGCTATACCACGCAAGATCGGAGCCGTCGGTTTCGTCTTCTGACCAGTAGAATAACCTGTTCTGACGTCAAGGAGGGATTTCACAAGCTCAGGGAGATATCTCGGGCCGCCGGCGTTGATTCCGGATGTTCCGGATTCGATCGGGAATGATATAGCGGTTGAGGGTTTAAAGGCCCGCATCACGGCATTATATTCAGTGTTATCGTGATGTCTCGCCACAAGTCGTTCAGCCTATGAAGTGTCTCAGAGTCCAGTCGGGCAATAGGGCCATTTCCTTCTGTGCCGCAAGCATGAGTGAGGCGGCTGCACGTTGGGGGAGCAGATGCGGCATTAAGTTTCCAATTGCAACAGCTCAATTCGAGCCGCGCAATTTGGCTTTCTGGGGTTTACTTCTGTCAAGATTACAAACATTGGGGAGATTCGCCAAGTCTTCTTCAGCAAACACGTATGTATAGTTCCTGGTAACGGAGCCGCATTGGCGCAACGAATCTCCCAACCTTGTGAGTAGGTACGGCAATCCCTGAGAGTCGCCTCCATCTTCCAGCACTGGCCCTACGTGAATGGGGGTAAATGGGATGAACTCATGATTCACCTCCCAGCTCGCAGAGGAGAACTGGAGGAACCTGGGCTATAAGTCCTGCAATGACAAACTCGAATATGCATTACATCCATATCAACTGAAGAGGAACAGCCTTGCTATGGGTAACAGATACAGTATCGGCCTTGAAGTTACTGGTATAGCTCTCGGCTATTGAGGGCGAAGCCTAGACATCAGTTACGTCAACTCTACTGCAAGTATCGTGAAAGTTACTGGAAGACTGCTTATGCCCCCTCCGGTTTCTCCATGTGAGGATGCACATCAACAAGTCAGCTAAAGCATGTCATCGGCTGTCCCACGATGATGTAGGAATCCTTCTTAGCTTAACCTCAGTCCTTTCTAGCGTCCTAGAGACCTTTGATGCATTGCTACACGGGAGCCCTTTCATGTACAAAGCATCTGATATACTTTTCCAAAGCGTTGGCCAACAATGCGAGCCGGTGTGCTATCAACTACATGAACATTGGCTATCTTCGTGAACTTGATCGCTGGTTGCCATGTTCTGCGAAAGCATCTTCAGTGGCTCTCCTAACATTGGCTATAGTTCTTGAGATCCCGAAGGTTGATAACGCCATTGCTTCTGGTGCGGTTTACTTATTGATCTCGATGATATTCTCAGTGGTCGACTTATCTCAAAGCCTTCGACAGTAGTCTCAGACTACCTCACGTTTAGACTCTCTTCGCTTTTCGATCTAGAAATTATCGACGCCGTTGGGGCAATGACGGCACTCATGGCACTTGTGGTTTCGCGGGCGTGGGCAATACCGCTTTCGACGTCGATCGAGAACTGGCACCGTAGCCTGAAGTCAGTTGAGCTTCATAGACTGGCAACATACTCGCGAATTGCTTGAGCGTTCGGTGCCCAATATTATGCAGCAGCTATTTATCGAGAAACAAATGCCGATGGCAATACAAAACGAGGGCAGAACCCGATTGGAAGTTGTTCACTAACTAGATGCTTGACTGGGGCCAGGAGGACCAACAATTCTGAAAGCAGAACACCATGGCTGGCAAGATTATTTTAGTTACAAATGAACTCAAGCCGTGAGTCAACGTAGCGATCAAGCTCCCATATGGTTGCGTAAGTTCATAAGCTTATATCGTGAAGAGAATATCCTGTTCCCATCACCGGAGTTCGTTGCCTTATAACCAAGGTATAAGTTCATAGTTGGGAAGTTCCACTCTACGGCAGGACGACAGACATAGCATAGTTCTTCTTTGCATGCCTGTCAATCCGGTTAAACCTCACTGTTATAGATCTCCAAGTGTGGAAATTCGCTTGAAAACACCATCTTCCTTTCACAGCGAGTGAAGTTCATCAACGGCGTCCAGTATACCTGCTCGTCGGTGTTCCAAAGCCGCAACTTGCCGTCTTTGCAGAATTCTAGGCGCCGAGGGATCTGACCTTCAGGTACTTCCTCGCTGGACCAGAAGGCCTCATCTTGCTTGTCAAGCACTTCAAATCTACCATTGTTCCTGAGGGCAAACTTGACACCATTCTTAAACTGCATAAAGGGCGTCTCAGAGGGACTGACTTTGAGAGTGCCGCTCTGGAAAGTGCAAGAGTAGCCTTCTGGACGGGTTATTAATTGTACAAGGTCAGGACCACCACATGACTTACCTGGTGCCTCGATGCCTTTGCCCAGAGTGATCTGGTGGGTTTTGACTTCCTTGCTGTCCTTCTTCAACAAGTTATCATTAGCCCCGTTGACTGTCTCCTTGGTGACGGTCGTAAGTTGTCGTTGATCCACCAACATACACCCAGCGGTACCCATGGAAACAGCACTCTGAACTCCATTGAGTATCGAGTATGTATATAAGACAACACCCGTCATGCCATCTTTGCCCAAATGCTCATCCTTGATAGTCTCGCGGTTAAAGTGGATGTAAAGCCAGTCACGTGGGGTGCCATGATCGGCATTGTCCACAAACCGTAGGAGATCCTCAGAGGAGCTATAGATCTTGCCGCCATATGTTACACCCAGTATAAAACAGGTACTTCGCGAAGGGTGAACAAATTTGGCATTCTGTGATTCAGACTCATGGGTAATCTCCAGTGTTTCAATTGACTGCTCGTCATGGTCAAATGAACAAATACGTATGGGCCTATCGGTAAAATTTTAGATGAACGAGAGGTTGGCCGTTGCCCTTGGGCCCCACGGTATTCGCGGTTTTCAAGCATGCTGATGTCTTTGATAGGGATGACCAGCCGATCTCCAGTTTGGCCGACACTGACCCATTCCCGGAGCTTTACTGCCACGTCATGTGTCCCAAATACAGCAGCAAGAATGTGGAGCCTTTTATATTTGACGGTGAATGCTGGAACGGTCTGAGTCTTCTGGTTGATGAGACTGGTCAGATGATCAATCTTCACAGGTAACAAGTCCGCCCAAACTTCAGGTTGGACCAGCACGCGCATTGCCAGATCAGTGGAGGGCTCCGTTTTACCTCGAAATACAGGGGATCTCCCACTGAGACTTGCAGAGTCTAGATCAAAAGTCCAAGGTGTATGAAGCTCCTCAACGCCGCTACTCGTCTCACTCGGCGAGTAACCTGGAACAGAAGGCAGGAAGAAATTGTGTTGTACTTGGGAATCTTCAAGTGAACCAGGTTGGGGCGACTCCAAAAGGGCTTCGTTGATAATACCGTACACGAGCTCGTCCTTGGGATTGTTAGCTTCTGGGTGCCGTGTCAAAGTGTTCACCTTGTTCGTAAAGAGTTAGACGATACATGAGAAACAACAAGCTGAACTTACAACTACAACGATCTTGTTTATATCTTTATCAATCGCGCTGCGAGCAGCCAGGAGAGTATTCAGTTCAAGTGAAATAGCCCTAGGTTTGTCAACCTGAGCTGCGAGGCTATGTGTTAGTCCACTTGGATATCTTACCAGAATAGCTCGAGACATACTATACTAATCTAGGTGAGAAATAATATCCTGAACCTTTCTGGACAAGTGTTTGTACTGCATATAGTTGTCGAAGAGCTTGGAGGTGTATGAAGCAACACTGTCGTAATCAAGCGGCTTCAGGACCTGATACGTCGACCATTCGTTGAAGCTACGATTTTCCTTGTACTTGGTACGTATGGCTCTATGCTTTATTAGTCTTGATTCAGTGCCATAATATCCAACATTATCAAGTTCTCTGAGGATTCTGGACAACACGAGTAGGGAATTTGTCGGGTATGTTCAGAATAGATGTAATATCAGTAGCGCACGTTACATCTTCGACTTTTACACCCTGGATGACGGATGTGATCGTAGCTACTTTGCAAATATTGCCCAAGTCCATGGTAGAGTCGGTTGAAGCCTTCTTGACACTATCGAAGTTAGATTGGTGATTTGGCTCATGACTCGTACTGATACCATCAGACTGATATGGGCATCGTCGATCTTGGCGTCATTGAGTACGTTGATGTGTCCTTGGACTTCCATCCTGCCGGTCTTGAGGTGGCAGCGCGCGAAATATCCATCGTATCAACGACCTCGGACACCCATTCGAAGAGCTTAGACGAGTACGTAATCTTTGGCGGTAGAGTCTGCGACGTGATCATGTTCTCATCCGTAGCTTCGACGGCGCTGTAGCTGTAGATGCACATGGTCTGGGTGTACGAGTTGAACCCCATGCCCTAGAGATAGATGTCAACGATTGATCTCAAACAGGGTTACACATGTCAAATGCTTGACCAGTCCTCATGGCGAATTCCACGGGCGGTCAAATTTTGCAAGCGCTGAGAGGACGTACCAGACGCATGGCATCATCGTATGGTGCGAGTAAGAGCGGCATTGCGACTTCAGGTCGTATGGCCCACGGTGAAGATCTAGTAAGGACTAGGAATGCTGGAAGATTTATGAACGGACCCAGAGCCTTTTTATGGAGTCAAGGCAGGGCTTACGCACGATTTGCCCTACTGAAACTCAACATCGCATACTTCGCCTTGGGCGCCAATGGATACTTCCTGCTGGTTAGTCCTCAGTGGAGTCAAACAAGATTTGAAGGCATTACTATTCACTGGCAAATAAGCAGGGCTGGGTATTCATGCAGGAAAGCTTGGTCTTCCTTGACTGGTTATTCTGTATGTAAGGTTAAGAGTTAAAAGAAACTTCAAGCCCCAGCACACAAGCTGTAGAATAAACTAAAGTTTATTAGGAGCCGCAGAGTTTCCAAAAAGGTTCAAATAAAGAAAGTGAGCAACAGCGCCACTCACCAGCACCATAAACGTACCCTGATGACAGTTGTCAATTACAGATTGTTGTATATCCCAAGAATGACTCTGCATAATATGCTTAGACACCAGGAAAAAAGTATATCAATCAGAGCCTGCAAGTTGAAGAGAAAATCTCTGAACGCGCACAAAGCTGGCAATAGATGTACTAAGTTAATGGCGAATAGAAATGAAAGTCTGTCTAGTTAAGTGAGTAAATGGTTGTGACTTGCTACTTGCAAATTAATATTCCTATCCTACTTTCCTATCCTCCTATTCTATTTTTCACCTTTCCTCTCAAGTCACGTGACAGTTCATTTTTCATTATGCAGCAATGGTGGGATGGTGTTTAATAGATAGAAAAAACAATCCATTAAAAGGAAAACAAAGTTACACTTGTCCTTGCTGGCAGCGAAGCTGGGAAATATTGAGGTTGAGGTCAATTACCATAGTCACATGACACGGGTGGATCAGGTTTGTTGTGATCCTTGCTCAGATCTCTGGACGTCCAAGCGCTTTGCTCCACAACCTTAAATCGACCTCATTGCTGACTCAGCCTGACTACCCTATACCGAACACCCCAGAGGATGGCATTGGCACCGTTTGATGTTTCGAGAATTATCATAGTGATAGTCTCGGAATGGTATTTGAAGTATCCAGAGGTATTGCAGTAGACTGGTCTCACAATCAGCAATGCTCAGACCCACTAAACAAGGTAGTGGTGGCAGAAGTCGATGTGGCAGTTTCGCGGACATACAACGATGGCGTTATCGTCATCCGTTGAGGATTAACACCGCAGATTTATCTATTAAGCTTGGCATTTGCTCCGTTAAGACAACGTGTTTGAAGTCTAGTGCTTTGTGTCGCAGAGCCATTCGAAAATATTTATTTATACATAGGCCCAAATATTCCTAACTATTATTTACTACCGGCTAAAGCTTTCCTTAGGCTATGAACATTTCATCCAAGTGAGACAGTTTCCGTGTATAAATTAAACCTTGCATGCTTTCCAGTGTGACTTCCTTACCCTGTAGCATGAACGCTCTGACAAGATTGGAAATCTAAGACATCTGAAACCCTGCAACTTGAACGCCGACTACGAGATCTGTTCATTCTCCTGTTGTAATTGTGCGTAAAGTTCTGTAATAATATACGCGAGCCTTGCTATACACTAGCTTTGGATTCTTCCAAGTCTAATCTGCATACCCTATAGGCGCGACGATTTTCCATCACCAACAGCATCAGATGTCTAAAACAGACAAAACCTTTTGCCGAACTACCACTCAGTATAGGGCTTGACCTCTTCACTACATCCTGGTTCGAATTGCCTTTCTATACACTTTCAAAGGGATTTGGGGTCGGTGGGCACCAGATCACCACTTCTGCAAACGCGGCTAGGCGTCCATATGTATAAAAATCATCAAAGTACACCAGGACATAGGCCACTTGAGCAGCATTTTGTCGCTTGCCAATGTCCTCTTGCAAATCAGATGCAAGCTTCTCATGCTATAATCCTAAAGGACCTCACGAGTTACACGTGATGCCTCAATGAATCGCCTATGCTTGCCAGTTTAGGCAACGATGATACAGCCATTCAGCCTCATGACTTCATACCGTTTGAGTTCGACGTCAATGATCGGGTAATTGATCTTATGGATCCGCCCTATAGATCTGACCTGCATTGGTGATATCATGGCTCGAAATGACATCATAGATCTATAACGGCTGACACGACAAGTATAAAGTACCGACACCGAGTATTCACTGATCAGTCTCGTCATTATCGCAAACATCAATCACTCATCATTGTCAATACTTATCCAATTATCGCAGCTCTCGCCAATCAACTTTTATCGTCAACATGTCCGACAAGCCCACCACCAACCTCACCGACACCGTGCCCAAGGCCATGGATGAGCAAGGCAGCATTGGCAAGCAATTCACAGGTACTTTCCCTTTCAGTCACAGTGAATCTTGATTTTAATCTAAGTACAGAGAATGGAGCTATCGGAGGAACCGCTCAAAAGATTGGTGGTCCCTTTGACAAGGAGGGCATGATTGGGAAGCAATTCACTACAGAGGGAAGCATTGGAGGAACGGTTCAGAACAACATGGGAGGAGAGAAGAAGGCTTGAATAGTAAATTAGCATATAAACATTTTTTCCCCAAAAAGCGCTGCGACCCGTTGTTCCAATCTTAAGTTGGCATTATAAAGTATCGCCACGACCGCGACTATAAGAATGTGACGTCCCGCTAGTTATTCTTTTTTTCTAAATACAAAGATTTCGTCTTCTCTACGGTGCATGTAGTATCCAAAAAAGCGATCGATATTTTGCTGGCTTCCAGCATGCCTGTCCTGTCGTAGTCATCATTCTGACGTTGACATGACCGCCAAGACATGTCAACGTCACAGTGTTCCCATTTCAGCTTCAATGATGCGCAGTAGGACCAATTTCTCCGCAGACTGCTAACAAATTACATGCATGGGAAATGTAATGGAAATAGTGACGATTTGGTGATGTGAAAGCTGATGCGGTGTAATACCAGCCGCGACAATTATTGGAGCGAGATGCATATCCCTGGCTAGACTTGCAGCTGAATTGATCTCGATTGCCAATTAAGTGCATTTAATTCGTCCGTGTCTTATATTGTACGGTTTACCATCTAGTCCCAATTCCTGCCATCGCCATGATATACACCTCTTGAGCTCGCTACAGCCCTCCTGCGAACTCGTTTGCACCCATATCTCCTAGGATGCTCTTCTCACTAGCCTCAGCATCATTCCGCGTCTCTCGCATCTCACGTCGCTGCACAATCCAAATATCGTTCAAAGCATATCAATCCACCATGGCATCTTCTAAGTCACAGCAGTTCTTTTATACGTCGGGCGCGACAGACTCAGTCTGGGTGCATCAAGATCCCGTCTCCAACCGGCCATCCTTCTCTAAGCTCAACCAAGACATTGAAACAGACGTCTGCGTTATTGGTGCTGGAATCGGTGGTATTTCTACTGCTTATGAGCTCGTCACTCGCGGGCGCGAAGTCGTCCTTCTTGAAGCTCGTCAGGTTCTCTCCGGAGAGACAGGTCGAACTAGTGGCCATTTGACGAATGATCTTGACGACGGGTATACTGAGATTGCGAAGAAGCATGGTGATGAAGGCGCAAGAGCTGCAGCTGAAAGTCACGCCTGGGGGAGAGACCGCGTCGGAGAGATTTCCAAGATGCTCGGTATTGAGTGCGAGTACCGCAAGCTTCCGGCATACGAGGTCTCTCAGTATTCTACCAAGGATGCGAAAGAACATGAAGATGAGATGAATGATCTTCGTAAGGAAGAGGCTGCTCAGCGAAAATTCGGCATTGATGCTAGATTTGACGTAAGTTTCTGACATATTCGCGTTCTGGAAGCCCGGCTAATTTTGTACAGGAATCGTTGACTGTTCGTGGCTGGGACGGCGCAATCGACCAACGCGGCGGTCTCATCGTAAAAGACCAGGCAACATTCCATCCAACAAAGTATCTCAACGGCATTCTCAACTGGCTCAAAACCCAGCCCAACTTCCGCTGCTTCGACGAAACACGCGTCATGTCCGTTGAAGAAAAAGGCATTGAGATTCTCGGCATCGGCAACAAATCCGTCAACGTCTCAACATCAGATGGCTATACCGTGAAGTGCAACAACGCCGTCGAAGCAACGTGCGTTCCTCTCCAGAAGCTCAGCGTCATTGCTCAGATGGAGTTCATGCGGTCTTACTGTATCGCTGCGCGTGTGCCCAAGGGCGCTATTGAGGATTGTCTTTTGTACGATCAGGCGGAGGAGTATAAGTATATTCGACTGACGGCTTGTGATGATGAGCATGATTATCTCGTTGTTGGAGGCTGTGATCATAAGGTTGGGCAGGAAGATACGACTACTGAGTTTGATGAGCTTGAGAAATGGACGCGTGAGAGGTTTTCACAGGTAAAGTCTGTTGACTATCGTTGGAGTGGACAGATCTTTGAACCTGTCGATTTCATGCAGTTCATTGGTAAGAACCAGGGCAACGATCGCATTTATATCATCACTGGTGACTCAGGCGATGGTCTTACGCATGGAGTTTTGGCTGGGCGGTTGATCGCGGATGAAATTGACGGTATCAAGAATCCATGGGCAGACGTCTACTCCCCGAAGCGCATCGCTTCGATGGCCAAGTCCCTCCCCAGCATGATCGCCCACGACGTACAGATCAACGCGCAGTACAAGCGCTTCCTACAGTCCGACATCACAGACATTGAAGACCTCGGTCGTGGGATGGGCGGAGTATTGAACAAGGTAAGTTCCCTTCATCATTGTTGTTCGTGCAGGAGTTAACCATTTCTAGGCCGGATCAAAGCCCATCGCGGTGTACAAAGACGAAGAAGGTAACGTCAAGCAATACAGCGCTTTGTGTCCCCATATGAAAGGCGTTGTGTGCTGGAACACTACCGAAAAGAGCTTTGACTGTCCTGTTCATGGAAGTCGTTTTTCACGAGAGGGTATTTGTGTGATGGGGCCTTCGAAGGGGAATTTGGCTCCTGTTGATGAGGCTGGAAAGAGTGATCAGGAGAATGTCGCCGGTAGCTAAATGTAGTCAACAATTGAGGATGTTCTTATGTAATTCAGATTCCTAAAGTATCCGCGTATAAGGTGAAACGTGCTCGGGTAATACGTGCTGAACCACTGCGGCGTTGTACGCGTACACATCATTAATCCGCCAAAAGGCGACATCCTCAACGCGTCATCTCACCAATGAAATGGCTGCGTTTACGACTAGCCCAATTATTTGCGTTTCGCAACACCCTTGCCTCACGTCAGACCAGAAACACCGAAGAAGCCGAGCGTAAGGGGTGACAAAAAGGATGAGACATATTTAGCCTGAAAGCTCACGTCATCTTTTCTTACATCCCATGCGGGGTAAAATAGCTGATGACGCCAACACTGTTCCGTCATAGACGTGCGATCGATATAAAGTCAGAGCATCATTGACCGTTTCTCATCATTGATAAGGACGTTGGAGTGGCTTGATATTGTCATTTCTTCTTCTATAGAGTTCGTTGATTGATCTATTCATTATGAGGTCTCTTTTGGCTCTTACTTTGGCTACGGCCACTTCAGCCTTCGTGATTCCCGAGGGCTTGGACGCTTTCAATAACTGGAAGGATGATCTTAAGCAAACGCTCGAAGATATTCCTACGCGTCTCCGCAAGCATCTTGATGAAGCGACCGAGCAGCTCTCCACTGAGTTCACAGCCGCAATTCACAACAGACTCCAGGATGAAGAGGTTTTCCTTCCCGCTGATAATGTAGAAGACGACGAGTCTGCGGATATCTTTGGCCGAACGGGCGGTGACTTTACCGATCATACGACTTACGAACTCATCGCCAAGAGCAACCACACCAAGAAGTTCTTCAAGCTTGTACAGAAGCATGAGAAATTCGGCAAGTTGTTGAACAGCACTGATGCGAACTACACGCTTTTTGTCCCGACTGATGAGGCGTTTGAGCATATTCCTCATCATCATAAGGATAAGCCTAGTGATGAATTCGTCGAGGCTGTTCTTAACTACCATCTTGGTATTGGCGAGTATCCTGCGTCACGAATCCTCTTCACACATACTATTCCCACTACACTGAAGGAGCCTTGGCTTGGCGATAAGCCTCAGCGTCTTCGTACCAGCGTCGGATTCTCTGGTGTGAGGCTTAATCTGTACAGCAAGGTCATCGCCGTCAACTTCGTAGGTATATTCCACTAGATCAATTGGTCTTCACTGACTGTTACAGAAAACCAAGAATGGCATCATCCACGCCGTCAACAGAATCCTCGTCCCTCCTCCCTTCATCGGAAAAGAAATCAGCCTCTTCCCCGCCCAATTCTCAACCCTCCTGCTCGCCTTCGAAAAGACCGATTTCGTCAAGTACATCCACAACGTCCCCATGGTCGGCAGCACCGTCTTCGCTCCCTCCAACGACGCATGGCGCCGTTTGGGTCCCCGCGCAAACGCCTTCCTCTTCAACACCGAGACCGGCAAGAAGTATCTCAAGGCTCTTCTGAAGTACCAGATCGTTCCCAACATTACTCTCTACAGTGATGAGGTTTACTATGGCGACGAGAAGATGTCGAAGAAGCTTTTTGGCCACGGTGGTGACTTCCATATTGAGCTTCCGACTCTTCTTGAGAGGAGCGTTGGTGTTGATGTTCATACTTTCAAGAGTTGGACTACTATTGTCTTGAATGGACATAATGTTATTGGGTTTAATGATGCTGTTGGTAAGAATGGTGTTATTCAGGTTCCTAAGACTATTCCTATTCCGCCTCACAGGAAGGGCGAGCATCCTTCCGAGATGGAAGGTGAGATTAGTGTTGAGGAGCTGAAGGAGAGATTGGAGGAGTATGTCGAGGAGGAGGATGACGGTGATTTCGAGAATGGCGAGTTGTAAGAACTGTTCGTTCTTTGGGGTTTGAAAGGATGAAAAGTCCAAAGGTAGATACAAGAGTCGTCAGTATAGTGTAGGATAGTGGGGAGGCACCAAGTTAGACTTCCAAGAAACAATGATTAGTCTCCCATCTGAGCTTCATTTGTGCACGTCAAGATCATGACACAACTGTCGAGTCAGTATTAACAGAATTTAGCCTCAGACAGCGCGAGACGTATGAGTATCACTTTACAAATGCAAAAAGGTTTGACAGAAGACCGATGTATTCTTAATCTAGAAATCTAATCAATTCCGTCCTGTGCATCGCAATTCCCAGGATCTCCGTCACTGGGGGTCTGGCATTCTTAGCTCAGACAAATCCTTCCCAAGACTCTACCAAGTCAAGAGATAAACAAAAACAAAAACAACCATGAGTGGGGGACTTTTCTGTCTACTCGCGCACTCGGTCTGGCACTTCCAGGCTCAGACAACCTTTACCAAACTCCGAAAAACCAACAACAGAAGGGAGAGATCACACGCGTGCAACGGATTTAGTTCTCAGCAGTCTTGATGAGGTATTGACGCATACCCGAATTCTCAGCCTTGCCAAGAGTCTCGATGTTGAGACCAATCTCGTTGGTAAGCTCATGGATCTCAGCCTCATAACGCTTCCAAGACTTGAACATTTGGAAGACAGTGCCGGCGGGGACGTTGATGTTGAACTTGGTGCACTGCATTTCGTGGTTGGCAGTGACATCGAAGTAATGCATCGCTTTGTTGAGCTTGCTCTCAACAGTCCAAGCAGTCTTGGGGTTAGCACCTACAATACCAGCGTGATCTTGAAGACCTTGGAGGTAGGTGGTGAAAAAGGCGTCATACTCGACGGTGTTGTAGGCAGCGTGGGTCTGGCTGGCTTCAGCGCCGGTAGGACCGTCCTGGCCGACAATGAGACGATCGACAGGAGTCATGTGGAGCTTAAACTCGACACAACGATCCTTGGCCATAGAGTCGGGGGCGTTATAGAAGATGCTGCCGAGAGACAGGAAAAGGCGGGCAGTAGGGCGGGTCTTGTTGAAATAGATGTCGCCCTGTTCGAAAGAGCCCCAAAGACCAATACACTTGACACCAGGGAATGTAGCCTTGGCCTTGGCGATGTGCTCGACAAGAGAGGCGTGAGACAGGTCAAGAGCGACATAGACGCACTCCTTGCCCTGGGAGATGAACTCGTGAACATAAGGTTCAAACTTCTTGCTGTTGGCAGCACCGAGATCGATGATGTGAGTTCCAGACTTGAGTTGCTGGACAACTTGCTTGGCAGTAGCCTTGATAATAGCCATCTCGTCCGAAGTCTGGTACGACTTGTCGGCAATTGCATTCCACTTCTCCATGCCAGAAGTGTAGGCGACTTCCTTGGGGAAGTCACCCTTGCCAAGGAAGGCCTTGGGGAGTTGGTCGTCCACGAAGGTGAGGTTGATGGATGAACCACCAATGTCGATCACCTCACCATCAGTGGGATAGGCAGTGGAAAAGGAAGACATGTTGTCGGTTGTGAGGGGTATGATTGTTGTGTGAGTTGATTTGGTGTATGAAGGTGAGGTTGGGAGTTGTTGGTAGTCGTTAATGGTTGTGAGTTGATGTGAAGACCAAGGTCGAGATGTTGTGAGGTTGGTGAGGAGGAAAGAAGAGAACTGGATCAACAACAAGGAAGAGAAGCATTTATTGGGAGATTGACGGTGAATATTCTTGCAGTTCATTTCGCAGTGGTAGCAAACATTGCCAGTGTCAACAAGAACAACAGTCTGTTCGTCGTCGGTCCATGGTGACTAGCGGTCTTGTTCAGCCTGTCGAGCTACCAGCTGAAAGGAACTGCCAGGACAAGTTCGAACAAGCTGTCAGTCCAATAAAACAATGAGCTCGCAGTGCCAGGAAGGCATTGAAGAGATACATTGTTTAGATGTTTCATGCTTCATACTCTATGAGTTACTGGGGAACATCGATGGACTCCATTGGTTAAGGGATTAATGGCAAGTCTTGACACTATTCTTATGGGCAGACGATAGTGGTGATATTGCTTCGCGGGATAAGATACAGGAACTGCACTTGAGATGATATAACAAAGGTATTCACCTCATATTCGCTGTCTAGACAATTGAGCTGGTTTATACCAATCTACGGATATAACATAAACTGCAGCTACAAAAAGGTATTCGCACTAAGCCACTTTTGGAAGCGTCAAGATGCTCTTCACAACATACGATTTTTCAAGAAGCATAAATAAGAGGCCAGATAAGAGACGACGAATAATAGTTCAATACTAGCTAGTCAGATACTGCGTCTCCAAGTTCTACCCACCAGGAGTCCATCCACTGGCACTCCAACTCTCAGGACTAATATCAGGCCAATACAACCCCTGCGCCCCATCATGATACATCGACGCATCAATAAACTGTAAATCTAAAACTGGCTGCGACAGCAACTCCTGCAACGACGGCTCCGACAACGCCATCCCCGCCGTAGGGTTTAGTACATCCAACCCCAACAATCCCGTATCCTGCACCACAAACTGTCCCCTCCTCGCCTCAAGCGCCCTCATACAAACCTTCATAGCATCAACATGTCTACAAAACTCCTCCGCCGCAAAGTTTCCATTCTCCTTTAGTTGGTGCAGAAACTGTGCTGCTGACTCGAACTGCTCTTTGTCACTGCGACATTCTTTGCCGTCGATGAGGCTTGATATCGCGAGGACTGTGGCGGATGAGAAGAGGTATTGCGTGTAGAAGTAGTCGAATGTCGCGAAGGACCCGTCGATCCAGCAGTCGATTAGGAGGCGGCACGAGTGGCGCGCGCAGCGGATGCAGGCTTCGGAGAGGGTCATGGCTGATACGGGGATTTGGGGCTCGGTCCGAGGTTGGGTGTCCCATGCTGAGACGTGAGTCCTCAGGACGTGCAGAAGAATAGGGCGCGTTGCGGTTATGGCGACTTGGTTGAAGTACAAGTGCAGTGAGAGAGGCTTTGGACTTGGTTCTGGGGCATCAGTCGGTTCAATGTGTAGATGAGGCGGCAACTCCTCCACAAAAGCCCTCAGATCCCTCAACGCCTCTTGAACCCTCTGCGACAGTGTTTTCTGCTGTGGTCTTCTCGTATAAATCGCATTGATAACCTTGGCCGCCAATCTCGCAAGTCTCAGGCCCGCGATGAAATACGATGAGTCAGCAAAGTCATCCGATGGCGTATCCAAGACTGGATCAGTAGGAAGATCAACTTCGATGTCGTCATCTTGAATAGCGACAGGATGGCCAAGACGAGAAGCCCACATCCGATCGAAACTATATGCAGTCCACCACACGCGATTTCTGTGTTCTCGTGCGCCGGTGTCGCGGAGTTGGGATTCGGGGACGTTGAGATGAAGACCCATTACGACGGAGAGACGGACTGATGAGCCGGCGAGGGCGTAGGCTGTATAGCGGCGGTTAAGAGCGAGGGAATAAAAAGACTAGATTGTCAGCTTGGTTCTACGAAAAAGGGAGAGACTTACAAGAAGAAGACGAATCTCAATAGCATCAATGCGAGGTCTTTCGCTGATGATCCGAAGAATACGAGTCGCGCGGGCAAAATACGCCATACCAGGAAAGTTCCTATCCTTGGCTGCCGTACGCGTAGAGTACATCTCCCCAATCGCAAACAGAACCCAAAGTTTACTCCTCAGCAACGAATCCGCCGAGTTAGGATTAAGAATCGTCTGCTCTAACCCCTCCAAGATCTGACTCTTTCTCACAATGTAGTAATTCCGACTAACATACTTCAATGCGACATTAACAAGCAACCGTGCCCTAGAGGGTATAGGCCACGGACAATCTTCATCCGAAAGAGCAAGCAATCTCTCGTCCGGTGCATAATTCACCCGGGGTATGTGGCTATGCCCCGGTTCAGAAATAGCCTGCCTAAAGCGCGTCGCAAACGCAGCGTCGGACGCTTCGCCGATGAGGACGGGGGTGTGAAGAACATTCATGTCAAAAAACCAGGGTCGTTCTTCGAGGAGTGTACCCTGTAGGGACGAGGACGTCTCGGTGCTCTGTGAGATTGAGACGTCGGGGATGGTTGGCTCAGGCCGAGGTTTAGCGTCATCTTGACGAAGACGCTGGTTCTCGGCGATGAGATCGTCAATGTATCTGGACCAATTGATAAACATGGGGATACGGAGGATAAAGAGAGAGGGTCTTACTGTTGGCTGACTTTGACGAGACGGTTCTTACGGGGATAGGAACATTCGGCGCCTTTGCTTGCTTGACGGCAGTTTTCACAGGGCTGGCCGCCTGAGCATTTGACTTTTCTCGCATGACATCGCCGACACCTGAACCAATTCAATTAGTCAATCCGCAAAAAATATATTCCAAGTAAATCAAAGACTCTTACGCTGTAGATTTCGTCTTGCGCTGTCGTTTCCCCGGACTCAAGGGCGTAAGCGTCGAAGACCCAACATCCTCCTTGTCCGAGTCACTCTGATGATCAGCCATTGTCTCAAACCTTGTACCAACAGGTGATCTTCAAGGCCAAGTAACACAGTCTTATCTCACAAACCCACCCGATATCTTCCTGATTGGATAGCCGAGTTACCGATTACCAGCTGGTGTCGTGTGACTCCCCAAGAATAGAGAAGTGAAACTCGGTTCAATGACGCCGACAAAAATCGGCGAGAATTTTAACTTTCCCGCGCTGACTCAGCGTTAACCTCGGCAGAAAAGTATGCTTTTCGGTGGTTTGGGGAGTTGGCGCCGAGAGAGGTGAGTGGGAATAAGACGGGTCAAGGTGGTTGACATCCGACACCGCTGGGGAAAGTCATAGCGGTCCACTATAAGTGAGCCAAGATGCAAGGAATTGGGGGGGTTTTAAATACCTGATTGAGAAGGTGAAGAAAACTCTTTTCAGTAAATATTTGTATTGCAGCTTCAATGGATTAATCGGACGTTCATTTCATTCACCTTTGTGTTAATTAAGTTACCCCTCGTTACTAGCTTTTTCGTTGTATAAATCCATTCGTTTATTCACTATGACCACTGAACCAAAAACAGCCCTCACAGCCTCCCCAGAGACGCCATTACCGCCAATCGGTGCAATAGACGACGACGTCGCACAAATCCCCACCTGGCGAAAATGGGTGATTCTCTTCGTGGTATGCTGGATGCCGCTCCCCATGACATTCTGGAGCACCGCCATAATGCCCGCCACCATCGAAGTAGCTTCTGATCTCAACATACCCGTAACTACCATCACCACCATCAATGCTGGTGTCTTTGTAGCACAGGCGTTGTCGGGGTTGATTTGGTTGCCGGTTAGTACGATTATTGGACGCAAGTCTGCGTATCTTGCTGCGAATGCTGTTCTGTGTGTTTGTGCGATTGGGTGCGCGACTGTGCCCAATTTAGCTGGGTTTGCGACGCTTTGGATTCTGGGAGGGAATACGGGGCCGTTCTTTTTGGTTGCTGGGCAGACTATTCTGGCGGATATCTTTGATCCTGTGAGTATGTCTTGATGGTTGAAAGTTGTTTACTGACGGTTGTAGACGTCTCGTGGGACTGCTGTTGGGTTCTTTCTGGGGAGTTGCGTGTCGTTCAATTCAATCGGTAAGCCTATCCGACCTCCTTGACATGAGCTGGTACTAAGATCTACAGCACCTCTTCTCGGTAGTATCATCGCAACATTCACCAGCTGGCGAGTCATCTATGGCGTTGAAGCCGGCATGTGTCTCTTTGGACTCATTCTTTCTCTTCTGTTCATCCCGAAAGCCAGTGAAGTTGAAAATCCCAAGTTGGCTGAGACGACACGTCCTCGAACCGCCAAGGAGATTCTTCGGACGTTCAACCCGATGCACGTATTCTGCCAATTTAAATATCCCAAGGTTATCCTAGCCGTATGTATCCTTCCCCAGTTGAACAAATACAACACTAACATGACAGAACATCGCCTGCGGTCTCCTCGGCTTCAACCAATACGGTCTCCTCTCCTCCATCCGGCGCGTCATAAACCCTCGCTTCAATCTCACATCCCCTCTCGCAAGCGGTCTTTTCTATCTCGCGCCGGGCGCTGGATTTCTTGTCGGAAGTACCGTTGGCGGTAAAATCTCCGACGTAGTCGTCAAGAGATATATGCGAAAGCGAAACGGACAGAGAATTCCTGAAGATCGCTTGAACAGCAGTCTAGCTAGTGTTCTTATCATTCTTCCTCTTGGAACATTGCTCTATGGGTGGAGTGTCTATCATAGACTTGGTGGTATGGCGTTGCCGATTGTGAGTGCGTTTATCCAAGGGTTTGGACTCATGGCGTCGTTTAGTGGGCTGAATACATACGCTGCTGGTAAGTCAATCAACATCAACACACGAATGCGACTAACAGTCTTCAGAGGTTCGACCTGCGCATAGAACGGCAGTTATCACAGGGAAATATGTTATTCAGTACAGTTTCGGCGCAATGAGCGTTGGAGGCGTCGTCCCCATGATTGACGGCATCGGCGTAGGCTGGGGCTTCACCGTTAGTAAGTATACCACTCCACCTTCACTCGAATCTCCACTGACTGGTCAAAGTTACCTGTTTCTCAATGCTCGCTGGTGGCTTAGTTCTCCTTATTGCTCGATTTAGCAAGAATTGGAAGGCGTAGATCAAGACATGGCTTACATAAAATCACGGATAGACATACCAGGAATGATGATCTCTACGAAAAACAGCTCCGGGATCTAGGCGCGGGGAAATCTAGATCTACGCGGCGTAGAAACTTAGATCGAATTAATTACCATAGAAGGAATAGACAAAAGTTATTTTTTGAGCGCCGTAGCTACAGTAGTCAAAACTCACTCCTCATTTTCGCTCCGAGACTGGGGCGATAAGCCACCAATCCGAATTACTTCGGCTTGCATTCCTCCGCCAAGCCTCGTAGTTTAGATCTCGACGGTTCGCATTCGGTCCCGAGAGGCTAATAATTAAACAGTCGTGGATTCTTGGGATCGGGTTGGCTGGGATAAGCCATTGAGTTCTGTGGTGGAAGTTTGCGCTGACATGAGCTAAGATAGCTTGGGGCGAGGGATGTCGGATATCGGCATGTAGCTCACACGGGAATGTCCATGTTGAAGAGTAATAACATGACCGGCTGCTGCTCTTTTTAATTTCGCTAATAAAAGAATTTTTTATTCATCACAGATTGTGAAGAAGTAGTTCGTTTTGAAAGAGCCTGCAACATGTTTCGCGATTTATTGCTTCTCACTTCGCTCTTCAGCTTCACCCTCGCCCAAAGTGGAGCTGATCCCTACGCCCCAGTCTACACGACATGTCCCTCCTCCCTCAAGATCCGCAACGCATCAGATGTACCCATCCCTATCCCTCTTCACCACTATCTCTAACAAAGCCAGGGCCTATCCGATGAAGAGTCATCATGGCGCGAACAGCGCGCCAAGCAGATAATCCCTAATCTCGAAGATTACCTCAAACTCGCCAACATCACCAATTTCAACGTCTCGAACTATATAAACAAGCTCAAGAGTGACGATGTTCCCATCGTTGGGCTCTCCGTCTCGGGCGGAGGCACACAGTCTGGTCTTGGAGGACTGGGAGTCTGGCAGGCGTTTGATGCTCGGTCTGCTATCGCGAGGGCTGCGAGAACGGGCGGGTTGACGCAGCTTTTCTCGTACATCACTGGTCTATCCGGCGGAGGCGCTGTCACCGTTTCTCTACTGTAAGTTCATTCTACCATCATCTCAATTGTTACTCACATTTCAGGGCTGCAAATAATTTCACCACAACGGACGGCGTCAAAAAAGCCTCCAACTTCTCCCTCGATTACTCATCCGGTCCAGACGGCAATCAAACAGCATTCTTCACAACCATCTTCGAAAACATGGGCGCAAAAGATGAATCCGGCTTCCCCGTCTCCGTCGCAGATACATTCGGTCAATTCTGGGGAACTTGGCTCCCCGAGGACAAAGTATACAGCAACTACTCCGACATCGCCTCCAAGAACACCGCCTTTACTCTCGGCGACGCACCAATGCCAATCGTATGCTTCGCAGAAGTCATTCCCGGAAAGTCTCCTGAAATCGGAAAGTTGATGTATCCCGGCTTCAACGAATCTGAACGCTTCAACTTGACTGCGTATGAAGTTACACCCTTTGAGTTTGGAAGTTGGGTTGGTGGCCGCGTTCAGGCGTTTATCCAGACGAAATTCCTTGGTACTTCCATGTCAGAGGGGAAACCGCAGAATAAAAGTGAATGTGTGCAGGGCTTTGATAAACTCACGCTCATGCAGGGCACGACTGCTAATGCATTCACTGCATGGTTTATCGATTCATTTTATGGAATTCCAGTTTTTGCGAAGCGGTGGCTGGAGAAGAGACAGAAGGTTAACCCGGATATTAACGACATTCCTATCCCGAAGGATCAGTATGATAATCCACTGGTTCAGCTTACGAACATGACGGCGGAGTACTTTGACTTGACATTCAATGAGTCGTTGTGGGCGACATATCCGAATCCGTTTGAGGATTACAATGAGGATATGAAGGGTGTTTCGGAGCTTCTTTTAGTAAGTTTTCATACTTTTATCATGAGATGATGCTGATTGTTTAGGTTGATGGGAGTCTTACTCTTGAGAGTAATCCTTTGCGTCCGCTGATCATTCCTGATCGCAAACTTGACTTAATCATTGTTTATGAAGCATCATCTGATGCGCCCAACTCTTGGGTCAACGGCACCAATCTCATCAGTAAGCTTTCAACTTCCATCCGCAGAAAGTCTTATTAACATCTCAGATACCGCCCTCACTGCATCCCAAGGCAACATCCCCTTCCCCAAAATCCCCGACGTAAACACCATCGTCGCCCAAAACCTCTCTTTCCAACCAACATTCTTCGGCTGCAACGCCTCATCCTCCACCCCCCTCCTTCTCTGGCTCCCCAACGCCCCGTGGACCGGCTACACCAACTACTCATACGCCCAAACCCAATTCACAACTAATCAAGTCGACATTGCTCTTGAAAACGCATTCCAGGTAGCCACGTACGGTAATGGTAGTGTCGATGAGAATTGGCCTGCTTGCTTAGCTTGTGCGGCTATAAAGGGTTCGTTGAGAAGATTGGATATTGAGATGCCGAAACAATGTGAGCAGTGCTTTGAGAGGCATTGCTGGAATGGCACGACGAGTGATAGGAAGGCTACGGCGGGGGATTTTAATCTTACGCCGAGATTGGAGCCGGAGCTGAGCTTTGCGAAGTGGAATGCGAGTGATTGGGAGAAGGAGGAGAGTACGGGAAGTGGAAGTGGAGGGGATGATTCGGCCGGTGTCAAGGTTGGGAATAATATGGTTGGTCTGGTTTTGTCGCTGATCGCGATGGCTTACATGCTGTAGTTGTACGTTGCAATGCTGCGAAGCGATATCGGTTGTAGGCAGTTCATTAGTGAGCGCGCGTAATGGCAGAATAATGGATTAATTGCTTCATTCGATGTAGCAAGCGCGAGATTTGAACAGAGTGGATTGAAGAAATGATAAATCTCGTTGCACTTTGTTCACTGTACTAGCAGCTGACTGAACTGTAGTGAACGCGCTACAGAGGGTCAGCTTCGCGTCCACCAATTTTAACTTAAAGCGAGTCCACGCAATCCAGTGGCACTCAATAATATGACTCAATACAGTAACAACCTTCAATTGATTCTACAGCTTCTCTATTAGACCTAGTTCTTCACCTGCACATTCTCCCTCATAACTGCCGGTTCAACCTCTCCATCAGTCGATTTGTTCTCCTCAATCTTCGCCTCATCAACCTTTGTTAGATCAACAGCCTTGAGCGCAAACATAACAATGAGCATCGGCGCCAGAGAGCACGTCGCGGCGATAGCGAGAAGTCGTTGTGTCTCGCGATATGCTTGGTCAATAGCTGCGCGCACAGGCGTACCCTTGGCGAATTTCTGAGCGACGACGATGGACTTGTAGATCTTGAAGGCGTTGGGCTTGGCTTGCTCGGGGAGGTATGTTGTGAGTTTCTGGGGGAGGATGTTGTTCCAGATAGCACCACCGACACTGTAATTGTTAGTGGTGAATAAAATAACCAAGTGGGGCGATGGGCTGACCTGGTACCGACGGCTCCGCCAAAGTTCATGGCTGCGTAGTAAACGCCCGTCACAACGGGGACGTCTTCCTTGGCGACGAGAGCCTGAATAGAGACTTGAGCGGCCGTTTGGTAAAATGCACGACCAACACCGACAAGAGTCTTTGCTGTGATGAAAGATGCTTCGTTGGCGTGGCCTCCGTTCATGTTGACAAAGTGAATCATGAGACCTTGACCAAGGACACAAAGCGGAACACCAATGAAGACAAAGATCTGACTGCGCTTGGTGTACTTCATCAAAACACCGACAAGTACCGAGGCGATCTGGAACGCGACACGAAGAGCGTTACTAGCAAAGTCAGCATTATCTCAACCACATGTGAGAGGTACTTACTCAATGCGCGTAGCATGTCCAGGACTGAACCCCCCGGCGACCTGAAGATAACTCGGAAAGAAGAGGGTAAAGCAAGAATAATGGAAAAAGTCCAACATGGATAGAACGCAAGCCGCAACGACAGTTCGCTCCTTGATCATGCGGAAAGGAACGAATGGAACCTTTGCAAACTTTGTATCCCAGACGAAGAACACGCCGACGACGACAACGCCTATGACGAGCATGGCGATATAGCTTCCCTGATCCCAACGGTCACTATTCCTCGCGCCCGTAAGCGACAACGGTATAAGCGTGAGTCCAAGACCCAGAACAAGAAGCACAGCACCAAGAATGTCTAGATCAACCCAAATAAGGTTGATAATCCTCTTGCTCAAAGGCTGCGTCTTATCAGCAGCGTCCCAAGCGCCCTTTCTTCTATACCCAGCCTTTCTCGCGCGGCGTTGAAGAACATATAAGGTAATAATGAGCGGCGCTGCGCAGAAAGGCAGGATGAGAGCCCACATTCCATAACCCCAGCGCCAGGTTGAGTGTTTGAGAACACTGTCTGCGACAATGGAGCCGAGGTACAGCGTTGGGATCGAGGCGAAGGACTCGGGGAGGGATGTCCAGAGACCGCGGTTAATGAGGCTTGTTGTGTCGGCGATAAAGACTTGTTGCATGATGACGTAGCCGGTGTCGCCGATTGATTCAAAGATTCCGCCGGCCTGTAATGTTAGTTGGGCATCAGAGGGGGATATGAGGGCTTACGATGTAGGTTGCGATGTTTTGACAAGCAGCGTACATTACTTGCGATAGAACGAGGAAGAGAATCGAGAAGGTCAGACCTTCTGCTCTACCAAACACCTGGGACAGTTAGTTTGAGCGTTGGGGTTGAGTGGTATGGTATACATACGTTGGAGAACTTTGCCATGATGGGGTACGTGACGAGACCAATGATTGTGCTGACGACATTGGCTGTCGCAAGCGCTGAATGGCGCTGGAAGGCAGAAGTAGCGTATGCATCGTAGACCTTTGTCGCGTACTTGAGGAATTGGGTTATGAACGTCGTTGCAAATAGACTAAATTGTTAGACGAAGCGTATAGATAGCGGAAGGGAACATACCCAGTAAATGCAACGATCAAAGCCTTCTTAGACCAAGACTCCCTCAGAATATCCGTATTCGAGACTTTCTCACGCTCTTCCTTCGGCGCAGCCTCCACGTCGGAGCTGCGATGAGAAGTATGATCTGCCATTGCAATAAAGCTTAACCAACATTGAATACTGGATACAATGCAACGCTGGCTCCTGTTTATATCCTCTCAGCGACGGAAGTCATTCCGCGCCCACAATCCGGTGATCCATCTAATCTTATCAGATTTTCATGCATCGCGTGATGTAATTGGTCTGCCAAGACATCGCGTGGCATGACTTAACCGTGATCTGATAAAAAAAGCCTCATGTTTTACAGGGATTGGGTAGAGCCGCTTCTTAGCGATGGAGACTTTTAGGTAAATTTCTAGACGGATGGATCACATGAAGATGATTAGCAGTTCGGTTAGATGGTGGATTCTGTGTTGGCGATGTTCCGATAACAGGCGATCTCCAATGACACGTTTCTCATCCCTGCTCAGAGTTTTCGCATCTGATCAGTGATGAGATTTTTGGCTTTGGGTGGCTTGCTGGGTGTTGCCACGCGCTGGAGTGACATCGACCATGTGATTGAAAGTTTATTCCATCAGATAACCTTGTTGTTATCAATCTGATCAGTAACGTAGGGGAGCCATGTAAATCCTCTAAATCATAAACAGTGACCATGCGAAATAAGCGACATGGCGATTTAAAGCCGCGTGCGTTCAGAACCGACCGTTGAAGGAATTTCTGTGCAAATAAGTTCTGTAGATTTAATGATTAACGGTTCATGCAGTACATTGAAGTTATTCCCGACACAATGGTACGCGGAATAATCCGCTGGTCAGGTCCACTTAGGGAGCAAAGGCACCGAGTTCTGGTCTGCAGACGAGTTACCGCTTTGGGAACATACATCCGCTGTCTCTCGCGATGAATTTTCGTACGAAATATCATGTGAGATTCACGTCGCTGGATGTTCTCAGGTAAGCTAAGGGAATGGCATTCTATGAACGAGGACATTGACACCTCTGAATTACAAATTCTATACTATATACCAGTTGTTCACCAGACAACTACTTCTCTACGTATCTCACTATCTTAAGCCTGCAATTGGCCATTGTCAAACTCTGTCCCCGTCTAACCAAGGTTGTTCGGGCTCTTGGCTCGGATCTTAGGTCCATACAAGAAGAAGATCACGGGAACAGGAACAAGCGCCAGCGCCAAGAACGCAAGGATACTGTTCCCCCAACCGAGACCAAGATCATCGTACATAGACAGTCCGGCGAGAGGAAGCATAGCGCCAGCGAGGGATCGGAGGACTGTCATGGCGGCGACGGCTGATGCTGCGTAGGTGATGTACGCGTCGACGAGGTAAGTTTGCAGACACATCTATAATTGTTAGCAACTCATGTCTTGATCAGTATGAGGACAACTTACCATGATACCCATAAGGCCAAAGCAAAACAGCGCAACGCCAATCATGGGCACAATCCAATGCACATTCTGATCCGCCGCCCAACCATACCAAAACAACGCCCCCACAATAAGCAACCCCGAAGGCAACGTCATCCAAATCGGCAACCGATCCTCGGGAACCGTCTTACCGTTCTGCTCAATCTTCTTCTTAATAACAACATCCGTCATGACCCCAAACGTCATTGTACCAAGCAGCATTCCAATACCGGTAGGAAGATACGCCAGACCAATGGTACCAGTGCCGAAACCGTATTGCTGCGCAAAGACAAAGGTGAAGGTGCTGAACATGAGATACAGCACACCGTAGACGATGGCGACATAGAGAGAGAGGATGAACACGGGGAGGTGCGTGAAGAGCATTCTCATTGGGCGGATGGAGGCGTTGCTGAGGCGTTGTTTGGGCGTGAGGCCGTCTTTGTCGAGGATGGAGTATAAGTCTTGGTTGCCGGTTTCTTTTTTGAGCTTGGCGGCTTTGGCGCGGAGAAGCGTTGGGGCGTATGTCTCTGGGGCAGCGAAGTAGCACAGCGCAGCGATGAAGCCGGTCTAAATGGTCAGCGATAATACGATATACACGCAGAGGTATGGGACTTACAAGAATAGCAATCAGCCAGAATACCCAGCGCCATCCAATAGCCTCAACCATATACCCACCCGCCAACGGTCCAATACACGGTCCAAGTAAAGGTCCCATGGCCCAAACAGCCATAGCCTTACCTCTCTCCTGCACCGGAAAGATATCCGATATAGTACCCGATCCATTAGTAACAGGCGTCGAGCCCGTGAAACCCATCAAGAAGCGAAAGACGATAAGCATAGGCATGTTTTGGCTCAGTGCTGTAGCAACGGTCATTATAAGGAAGAGAACATTGGCGATGTTGAAGACGATGGCGCGGCCGTAGATTTCGCTGAGCGGTGCGGCGAGAAGAGGGCCGAATGCGAAGCCGAGGACGTAGACGGAGACGACGAACGTGGCGATGTTGCGGTTGGAAGTTTCGAATTCGCGCATGATGTCTGGGACGCCGGGAGCGAACATTGAGGAGCCCTGGATTGTTAGAGGGGAGTGCAGTTGGGGTTGAGGTTAGGGACGTACGAGAGGTCTGAGATGTTAGCGAGGGTATGAGGAAGAGGGAGAGGGGACATACGTTAGGAGGGTCATGACGGAGAGGGCGCCGATGCAAGTCCATTTCTTCCTGGCAGGCCAGTTCATGGGATTGTTTGGATCATCAGGGCCATCCCAATCAACAGCATTCGGGTCTTCAGGCTGAGCGACGTCTTCTTTCGTAGCTGGACTCTCTTCATCCTTCTTCGCAGCGCTACCAGTGTAAGAAGGCGTGAGCGTCCGTTGACTCGCAGGTCTTTCAATATCGATCGAAGCTTTGTTTTCCGCCATCGTGAAGCTCGTGAAGTCAAAGAGTACTACAAGACGAGAGACGGAAGGGGTAATGAAAAGATATTTAACCAAGCCACGGCACGACCAACGAACCAATGAGCGAGTGAATCGAAAGCGAAACCGAGAGATGGCGGAGAAGAACCAATCGCGTCGCTTTTTCGGGCCCGTTTTAAAACCCGCGCCGGGTCTGTTATGCGGGAGCCCCACACGGATCTGGCGATTTCCGTACCGTTAGTTATGCAATTCTACGGGATTTGTGCAGAGTTGTGCAGAGGTCGGCCGGATGGCCCCTTTTAATTTGATCCGGGGACGGAGTTGTGAATACATGTATTTCACGCCGCGAGGCGGTGACGCGATGAGTTGTTCGGTATCTGTTACGTTTTAGAGAGGAGTTGATTCTTGGCGAGACCTTTATTACTACCTTGAATTCATTTGTCCGTGAGGCAGCCATCTGTTCAATTGAGAACATGGCCGAGTATACGTTATACGCGTTTATACGCGTATACGTTGTCCCCCCGCAGTTTCCGATCATGTGAGGTTAATGCTATTTTTATCCTCAACCTTATCCTTATTTCCATCTTATCGGCGTCACTAACCTTCACAAGAAGTAACAATTCAAGGCGCAACACGATCAATTCAATCTATCCATATAAACAATCTAGACCACCTGATTCCATATTACAACAAACCCACTCAAAGCGTCACCATATCTACCTCCTGCGAACTCAATCTAAGCCTTCCTCTTCTGCAACAGTCCCTTGAACGGATTCTTGCCTCTGAAGCGCATCCACGTAGCAAAGTAAACCACCGCATAATTAAACGCGATGAAAGCGCAGAAAATGCCAAAGTCCCTCCAGATATTCCTATAATACACACTGAAACCTGCTCCAAACTCATCACCAGTAGCATACTGGCAGAACTCACAGTATCCATCTGAGCCAGTGGTTACATACCCTCCAGCGCGCTGAATAAATGGCTCAACATACTCGTCGCACGATTGACCGCTCGGCGGCTCAAAACGAGCAAATTCGCCCTCCTCGCAGCGAACGGGCTGGTCGTGAATCGCAGCGCCGAGGAAGGCTTCGAGGAGGTAGTGGAAGGGAGTGAGCCAGTACATCCATTCGCGCCAGAAGGTAGGAAGACCTTGTGGCGGGACGACGACGCCGCAGAAGGAGACGACGAAGAGGAAGAAGATGGGGACAAGAAGAGATGCGAGGAGCTCATTGGGCGCGAAAGCAGCGATGGCTTGGCCGAAGGAGACGTAGTAAAGCTCAAAAAGCAGAACGAGCAAGAATGCAAAGCCAGAGGTAAAAGCAGATGCGCGCCAGCCGAAAACGCCCCACCACCAGCAATTGAAGTAAATACCACCCGCGACAATACGATACGGAATCTCAACGACGACAACGGCTGTAGTCCAAGCTACCCAGCTGTAGATCTTGGCGTTGTTCTCTCTCCACTGGAAGATCTGACGCGATTTGAGGAAGACGGGCTGGAGCTGCTGGATAAGAGGTGGACTAATCGTGAGCGTCATAAAAATGGAGAACAGCCTGTTCTGGTAATCAATCGATGCGAAACCGATCTTGTAGAACGTGAAACAGTTGAAGAGACCGGTTGCGATGTGAAGCATAAAATTGCCAAAGATGTAATCAGGTGAGCGCCAGAACGAAACGAAGCTTCGACGAACGACGGCGTATGTCTGTGTAGATAAAGGCATGGCGTACTCGCGATCATCTTTGAGACTCTTTGATGGTTCAACGTTTCGGCGACGTTCAATCATCTCCTCAATCTCCTGCGAGCGCTTCTGTCGCTCTGAAGACTCTGCCCAGACATCGCCCCAGTCTTGACCATCGTAGTCAGGATTTCCAGCACCAATTGCATCGAGCATGTATTCCGCTGGATTTGCGTGCGGGGGACACTTGGGACCGCCGTTGGACTCGAAGTAATTAATCAAGTTCTCTGAATCATGGCCCAAAGGTCCGTGGTAGACGACGCGACCGCCTGATTTGAGAAGCAAGAGCTCGTCGAAGTTTTCGAAGAGAACAGCGGAGGGTTGATGGATCGTACAGAGAACAGCTTGCCCTGCGTCTGCGAGTTTTCTCAAGAAGCGTACGATGTTAAATGCAGCGCCTGAGTCAAGACCAGAAGTGGGTTCATCCAAAAACATAAGCAATTCCGGCTTTGACGCTAGTTCAACACCAATCGTCAAGCGCTTGCGCTGCTCTGCGTTAAGACCTTGTCCAACTGTACCGATGATCGCACCAGCAATATCGCGCATCTCAAGTAGATCAATGATAGTCTCACAATACTCCATTTTTTCCTGCTTCGATACTTCTTTTGGTTGACGAAGTAGAGCAGAAAATTGGAGGGCTTCGCGCACGGTGGCGGTGGGTTCGTGGATGTCCATTTGTTCAGCGAAGCCAGTTGCGCGCTGGAAGGATTTTGGCAGGGGACGCCCGTCGACGAGAAAGTCGCCTGTGATGGTGCCGAAGTTGAGACGTTGGGCGAGACCGTTGAGAAGAGTTGTTTTGCCAGCGCCTAATACTGTTAGAATGATTATGTCAATTAAAGGGAATGGAACGTACCAGATGCGCCCATCAGAGCAGTTAATTTACCAGGGCGAACATAGCCTTGAACATCGTTGAGAAGTTTCCGCTCGCCTTTCTCGTAGGGAATCGTGTAATTGATGTTCTGGAACGTAAACACTGTTTCATTCTTGGCGACTTCTTGGGTGATCTGTTCGTCGCTCTTGGTACGTTCAGCATCACCGTTCGCGACAGGATCACTGCGGCCAGACTCTTCATCATGCTTATCGCCCTTGGCTCGACCGCCTGTTGCGATGGACTCTTCGACCTTTTTAGGAACTTGTCCTCGCTTGAAGACGGTGATTGCGCCGCCGCCGACGTTGGGCTTCATAAGTTCCATACCAAGAGCAGTGAGGAACACGAAAAGGATAAAGAACGCCCAGAGAAAGCCGAAGTTGCGCCAGAGGTGGGAACGGGTGTATGTAAAGGATTCTTGGATATACGCGGCACCAGATACAGAAGTTGAGCCAAGCGATGCACCCGCAAGAGTACAGCCTTGGTTCTGAGGTCGCGCATTCGGACCTTGCGGTACAAGATACGGCGGTTCGCATTGGAGAGTAAGGTAAGCGAACTCATTGGCCATGAGACACTCAAAACCATACTGAATCCAATTGATCCAACGTAGCCAGCCAAACCAAGGATGCATCGAGTCCGGCGGAATAAGATAACCCGTATATACAACGAGAATCTGAATCGCAACACCAGTAAACCTCGTCGCGACATCCAACGTCCCGCACCACGCTGAGATAGCCCTGAAGAACGCATACGTCACCATAGTGACGAGCCAAAGAATAAGACACGAGATGAAAAACTGCGACGCCGTTCGCGCGAGGTTGGCCATGAAGTAGATGATGACGTTGAAGATGATGACTTGTATAAAAACAAGCGGGACATCAACGACTGTCTGGGCGATGGCGAATGCAGAAGGGCGGTAGAACGAGAAGGATTTGTGCTTGAGGAGAATAGGCTTTGACTCGAATGCGGCGGTTTGTTCAGCGAGCGCGAGAAGGGCGTTGAAGAGAAGAAGAAAGAAAAGTGCACCACCACGAGGAAAAGCTCCAGCCGCTGTGTCGGGAAGATTGTAGAAGAGCGAACCGACAATAAGACCTTGGAACAACAAACCGCCCCATTTTCCAAACAGAGACGCTTTGTCACCAAACATGACGAGGAACTGGCGGTGCGTGCAGGCCAAGACCTGTTTGTGGAACGCAATCTCATAGTTCTTCTTCTTGCTCTTCTCACTCTCATTCCTCCTCCGCTCCTCCGCCAACGTCTCAAGCTCAGCCTCAAACTCATCGATATCACGAAGATTCTTCTGATAATCCTCGCTGCGGCGGTATGCATCAGAGAACTCCCCCGCCGTGCGCGGGATCCGATCTTCCCAGCCCTCGCGAACACTGCGTTCATGCTCATCCGTCACACTCGTCAGAAAATCAGCTGTAGTCCACCGCTCAGGACACTCAAATCCCAGCTCCATGAAATACTTCTTCGCATCTTCTGCGCGCCCGTAGTAAAGACATTTTCCCTCATCGATGAGCAATACCTTATCAACGAGGTCGTACAGCGTCTCACCAGCTTGATAGAGCGAAACAGCCGTCGACGTATCAGCCATGTTCGTCATAGCGCGAATAGACTTTACGTACTCCACCGCCGTACTCGCATCAAGGCCTTTACTGGAATTATCCCAGCCCTGTACCGAAGCGCGCGTAATCATGGCTTCTGCGATGGAGACGCGCTTGCGCTCGCCGCCAGAAACACCTCGAATAAATTCGTTGCCGACTTTTGTGCCGAGGGTGTGTTCGATCCAGAAGAGCTTTGTGACGACGCGCAGAAACTCGCGGACGTAGTCTTGTCGTGTTTCACCTTCGAGACGGGATTCTTTGCCTGGTGTGCGGGTCTGCAGCGCGAAGGTGAGGGTGCGCTTTACAGAGAGGGTTGCGTAGTGGAGGTCGTCTTCGGGGTTGTAGATGATCTCGCCGCGGAAGTCTTTCGCCATTGTCGATGCGTCCGTTCCGCCGTATGTTACTTGTCCTTCGACGGATTCGAAGCCTGCGCGTTGGTTGCAGAATGTTTTGAGGAATGTACTGCATCCTGCGCCTGGACGTCCAAGAACAAGGAGTAATTCACCTGGTCTCACACAGCCGTCGAAGTTGCTGATGAGGTCTCTGACAGGTGGTTTCGCCATCGCAGCTTTCGGTCCTTGGGTAAATAACTTTCCCAGTTTTCGCGGCAGGCCTAGGAAGAAATCCCCAACAGTAGGTTGAAGACTCGACCCGAGACCAACACCGCGAACAGTGAGGTTACGAAAGACAACACCGCTATGTCGCGTCTTTTCCTCTTCGCTCTGCTGCTGGCGCTTTTGGCCAAAGATACGAGACATGAGACGGTCGAGTTCTTCATTATCTTCGTTTTCTTCTTCTTTTTCAGCGGGTGTTGAAGCGTTGGTGCGACGACGGGAGAGGACGCGGAAGAGATCATCTTCAGTGCGATGAGACTTGCGCTTCTCGAGGGGAGGTTTCTCATTTTCGGTGTGCGATTTGATCGGGGCAAAGATTGGTTCGTCGGGTGCGTCGTCGTTGGCAGAAGATACACTCTTGCGCTTTTCTTCAGATTCGCCACGTGGAAGAACAGTGCTTGATGAAGAATTGCGATCGAGAACAGGCGCGTGTTGCTGTTGGGGCTCAGAGGTTAACGCCCCAGTCGCGCCAGATGAGGCTGTAGTGCCCAATGCCGCTGAACTGCCGGCGGTGACATGATCGTACGTCGTAAAGCCAGGGCTTGCCGCAGTATCACGGCCCGCAAACCCGGCCTCAAGTTGTCTATCGATATTTCCCGTTGGGGTAATCTGATCAATCGAGTTGACGCTTGGCGTGACAGGAAATCCGCCCGGGATGTCTTCATCCCTAGGCGTAGGTCTCTCATCAGCCATTTCAACAAAAAATAGCAGAATAACCTCACGGCAACGATGATGAACACTCTATTCTAGGTTTACGGGCATTGACCATAATAAACAGACATTCTTTTTACTTGTGATATATCTATGACGACATCAAAGAATGGTCTAGTCGGTCTTTCGGACATGCTGGAATTGCGACGGGGCCCGGGCGTTGGGTGGAGATTGGGCGTCATAGATTGGTAGAGTAGGTTACCCTGTAGTTTTCGGAGAGATTAATTTTGACTTGCGAGTAACATACACTACAGGTCAAGTTACGCATGACGTTGCAGCGGCATTTTTAATTGTCCGAAGGAGGGAACGTGTCGTCGGCTGAGGCTTGTGATTATCAACTTGTCATACACTTTCAGCTTTGACCTTTCGGAGGATTTGTTAGATCGTAGTCTTATCTTGGCATCTGTCGGTCATGAGCGGATTGCAACCCAACCTGGCGAGACAAGATTAGGGCAGGTTGATTCATTTTCTTCGATCTGTGCGATTGATTGCATTCAATGTCTTTGATACGTGTAAGACTTGTACATGCTGTGTAACTGCACCCGTGACAAAAAGATTCGTCATACTCACAAATGCGGCGTCTTGCACTCAAAGACCCGTATCACTCACTCACTGTACAGTATGTCTCCCCAATCTCCACCGCCAAGCTTCCATCACTTCTCACTAAAAAAAACGACACGCGCGATGGCACTAAAACATTCCGATTACCAGGAATTCAAGCACTCTAACCAGGGGAAAATTGAACTAGACTAAGGTGACTAGACTAGAACATTTGAAACATGACCAGATAAAAATCAGATCATGGCCTCCATTGATTATCGGGCATTCATCTTGCCATTTCGAGACTGCTGCAGCGATGTTTCAATGTCTGTCTCAGCTCGACCTCTCATATCTCAGCGTCAAAAAGGCGGGCGCCAATTAACCGCCGATAGAGACAATTCGCACTTTTACGCTCGGATAAAAAGAGCCGATTGTGAATTAGCGGGAGATGTACCCGCGCTTCTAATCTGATCTGTACCTGGGTTTAAATCGTGAAGCTAAGCTTAGCTTGAAGTTCAAAACACCATCACCAAAGACCCAAGATGTAGAATAAACGTCCTTTTTTTTTTATTGTTTTGAGAGCAAGAAAAATGAAGGACAAGTGCTGCGACATGTGCTGCGACATGTGCCGCATTCATAGGATCACATTTTCATCCCCCTCAGCCCAGACCCAGCCCAGATGCAAGCCTCGAATGCATAGAAAGCCCTTGTGTTACACCAACCTCAAGGGCATTCGATGCCCAACAGTCCTCTCGCGATCATCGGACCGGTCCGACAAGCTTGATTCGCTAAATATACTGAATTTTGCTTCTGTGGGCGAAAGGTAGTCCCGCATGCATACTCCTGCTGGTCAAGGTATATATGAGGCCCAAATCCCCCATCTCAAGACTACTACTCAACTAGCATTTTTTTTATCATTTCATCACCACTAAGACCAAAAAACCATGTGTCAAATTGTTGAAGAAAACGGCAACAAACCGCAGAAGCAGAGTCAGAACTGCTGCATGCAATCCTCGGCTACGCGATCTTCACAGGGTCCTGCCGATCAGCCTCAATATCACGTCGAGAGCTTCCCCATCCCCGCTCCTCAATCGGAATATGACTTTGATCATCGGAGAACTATCACCATTGAATCTCAGCAGCGACTATGGCCTCAGGACATCTGGGTTCACAGTCCACATGGACGACAGCTGTATCAGCCTGTATTGATGTTTGAGACGACTGCCCCGGAGGACAAGACGGAGACGAATGGACATGCTTCTAAGAGCGGTTAATGTCCTCAACACCTGGACGGAGAAATGCCGGTATGCGATGCGATATGGGATGTTTGTCTGGAGGAGTCGTGATGGGAAAATGGAATTGAAAGGGAATGGGACGGTATGTTGGAGAGTCTGTGATGACATCGCCAATCAGATCAATTGGGATTTATTTGCATTTCGACCAAAAAAAAACCAAAAAAAAACATAAAACAAGAACAAGGGCTTTCTACGTCTGTACCATCGCATTTGGGGCACTGTACTAGCATAGCGAACACGATTGATGAGACATAATAAATCGCAATCGATTCCCCAACATCAACATGATCGCCTTACTCTTGCCAATTGAAGCTTCAACACTCAAACCTCCACTCAACATCCTCCCACCCCTCCCTCATCACTATCTCAGCTCCCAACCCAGCGCCATACCTCTCCGGCCGCACCGTCCCGCCCGCAAGCTGCGGCCCCAGCATCTTGACATCGCCAAACCGCATCCCAACAGCCTCAATCTCAAAGCCTAGCAGCAGAGCAGACGCGAACCCAATGATCTCTGCGAAAGCGAGGTTTCGGCCTGGGCACAGATGGCGACCGCCGCCGAAGGGTATATACGCTGCCTTGCGCTTGCGCTCCTCTTCAAAGTTTCCCCTGGAAGATGGGAGGAAGCGCTCTGGATTGAAGACGTTGACATCAGCGCCCCAGACACTGTCCTCGTAGTGTGCTACGCCAGCGGGAAGTTGCAGGTCTGTACCCTTTTTAAGAATATATGTTGTTCCTTCGGGCGTCGTGATGCTTGTGTCTTCGAGGATGCGTCGCATGCTGAGGGTCTGGTTCGCAAGACGTAGTGTCTCGCGATAACAGCTCACCAGCAGAGGAAGCTTCTCTTCAAAATCTGCTATATTAAACGTCGCACTCCTCTTCCCATTATTATCCTCTATAACAGCTGCATCCTCAGCTTCGACTCGTATCCGCGCGAGGAGATCTGGTCGGTCAAGGATATACAATAAGAGCCAGTAAAACGTCGGCACAGCATTAAGCGTCGCCACATTCGGAAGAATAACCTCAAACTTCCCGATCTCATACCCCGTTAGACCGTTCTTTCGCAGTGCTCCGGCGCGGTTTCGTACGAGGGCGGAGACACTGGGATCGTGGATGTCGTGGTCTTCGGAGTACCATTTGCAAGCGATGTTTTGGAGCGTGGAGCGCGCTTTGTAGGCTTTTGGCATTGTGATTGATGGGAAGAGCGAGAGGAGGAAGTAGGGGACTGATTCTTCGAAAAGCCTGGCTTATTAGCGGTGCGTAGACGCGGGATGGGGGACATACCACATGTCTTCAATTAAAGAAGGATCGCCATTGAAAGGATCGGTGTCGCCGTAGAGAGATCGCGTTGTAGCGAGGCTCATAACATCGCGACACCAGAGATAAAGATTCTTCACGTGTAACCGTCCATTTGCGACCGTCTCCTTTCCCGCATTGATCGAATCGGCACGTATCGTCGCGTGGTTCAGCTTCGCAGCGATGCTACCCAGGAAATGCACATTCATCTGATGCAAATGCCTAACCTGGAAGCTCGCATGAATCGCCTCTGTAAATTCATCGTAAACTCCCGGTACTTTAACTTTCGCAAAAGTCTCGTGCTTCAGCGCGAATGTCTTTTCCGCGTAGTCAAAGACAAAGGGCTCGAAGGACGCGGTTTTGTTGCGGAGGAGGGTTTGGAGGAGCGCGGGGTCGAAGGCGGCGTAGACTTTGCCGTTGAGCATGGGCAGCGTCGCGATTTGGACGTGAGGGTTCTCATTGCTGCGATTGACGTGTTAGAAATTAAGGTAGAAGAGGGGAGAGACGGACTGGATTATTCTGCTGTAATCTGCTTGGTGACGAATTATCCCGATGATGTGTCCTACCCAGGGAATCGACGGTTTCAAGACTGGCGGTTCACGTGGGTCAATGCGGGGAGTTAGTAGGCGGTTTAGCAGTGAGAACGCCACTATAACCGCCAAAACGGTTGTACTCAGAATTGTGACATTTCCACCGCGATAGTCAACGAGACTTGTCAGTAGTGATTGAGAAGTCATCGTCGCTGGGTGATGGGGGAAGATGAAGGAATTAGGGCGGATTTAATTGATGAGCGGTGAATTGCTAATGCTGCTGACTGTATTGGTGCCTGGCATCACTAGTGCTGAGGCCGGGAGATTCGATCAAGAGGAGGAATTGGCCAGTCGTGGTGTATTCGCTTCCATGCTCGCATTGTAAGCAATTGACTTGAAGGATTCAGATCTTATTCATTGCTGAAGATGTCATCATTGAGCTACAAAACCGTCTATTTCTTGAATTCGCGAGGTATTATGGCTAACACTTGAAGCAGCACGTAGTCTAGTTGGTGCTGCTCCAGGGAAGATGCACTGAAGCTTCCCCACTGCTGACGGGACCAGCGTTCAACTGCCGACAGTATGAAACGTTTCTCTATCAACGACCAAACGGTACAAACTCAAAGTCCCAATTGATGCGAAACTCAAAGCTTCGCGACAGGTTTCTCCGCCTTGATCTGCGCCTTCAGAACCCTCCTCAGAATCTTCCCACTCGGACTCTTAGGAATAACATCCAGCACCCTAACACCGCCCTTCAGCCATTTATGCCGCGCCTTATGGCTCTCAACATGCTCACAAACAGCCCTTGCAACATCATCCTCCTTCAAACCATTCGTTTTCTTACTCTTTACAATAAATGCTAATGGGACTTCGCCTGCGCGCTCGTCGACAATGCCTATGACTGCGCAGTCATCTACGTAAGGATGGTCAAGGAGATGCGCTTCAAGTTCTGCGGGAGCAACTTGATGGCCCTAAAGAATCAGCAATGCTTTTGAGCAAGGGTTCGGGGCGCTTACCTTGACTTTTATAAGCTCCTTGATTCGATCAACGATAAAGAAATGATCGTTTCCGCGTGGGGACTTCCGCACGAGTACTTCATCGCCTGTCCTCAACCACCGCCCATCATCACGGTATACAAACGTCTCTGCGTTAGCCTTCTCATTATGCAGATATCCCAGCACTACATTCGGCGCTTGGACGTATAACTCGCCTGGTGTTTCGTAGGCTGTGACTTCAGACCCGTGCTGGTCGATGATCTTGACTTTTGCGCCGGGGAGGAGAGAGCCTGATGAGCCGAGGACGGGATCTGCTTCGCTTGTGTGAAAGACCGACGGTGAAGCCTCCGTTAAGCCTGGTCTGTTAGTATAAGTAAACAGTAGTGGTGGTGAACGTACCGTAGCCTTGGCTGATTCTCCATTTTGGATACAACTCCAGTAATTTCTGAATCGTTTCACCTCCCAACGGCGCCGCACCTGAGAATACCAACCTTACAGAGTTGAGATTATATTTCTGGCATTTCTCCTGGTTACTCAGAATCTGTACAATGATCGGCGGTACGACGCTGAGTTGCTCAATACGGAATTTCTCAATAGAGGCTAGAAGTTGATCGAGTTGAAAGCGCTGCAGAACGATGATCTCATCACCCCGATACTGTGCTATATGGGCGATTACAACGAGGCCGTAGATGTGGCTGAAGGGTAAAAGACCGAGAGCTACTTGCGTGTCGATGTTGTCTTGGGCGCGGGTTATAGACTCGAAGGTATGAATCATAAGGGTGCATGCGATGACGTTGTAGTGAGAGATCATAACGGCTTTCTAGGCTTGTTAGACAGAACACATGAGAATATGGTATACGTACGGGAAGACCTGATGTACCGCTTGAGTAGCACAGATACGCGACTTGTCGTTTTCCCTGCCCAGGCGTCCAAGCTGGTACATTCAACGGCGCAAGATTCTTACCCTCTTTGATGAGATCTTCAATTGTTTTGAAGGGTTCTTCAGAGGGAGTCTCAGGCAACGGAAGCAAGAAAATATGTTTTTCGGAAATTCCAACGGCAGAAGCTGCTTTGATAGCAGTGCTGAGAAGAGGAGCGCATGTGAATAGTGCTTTAGCACCAGATGATCGAAGTTGATGTTCGAGTTCAGAAGCTGAGTGCGCTGAACTAGCAGGCGTGACGATGCCGTCTACACGATGGATGGCGTGTGTAACGGGGATGTAATCAATCTAAACAAGTCATTAGAGCTGCGAAATTCTCGCAAGACTGGTGGATTTACCGTGTTGAGAGCGTAAATCGCCACGACTCTATCCCAAGCTGTTCCATCGTGCGGATCAAACCCGACAGTTTTCGCTAACCCGCGCGCAAGGAAATCAACACGCTGTGCAACCTCTTCTGCAGTCCGCGACTTTCCCGTTACACCGCATGTATACGGCCTCTTCGACTTCTCAAAGCTTTCCCTTCCTGCTTTTTCGGTATTGATAAAGTCTGCTACACTGATTGAATCCGGTATATCTATTCGCATTAGTACTCCTCCTTGCAGAGCGGGGCGGCGCAAACAGTACCGGGCAGGTTAGGGACCCAAGAGGGAGGATAAAACGCCATTTTTGCTGAATACAAGGTGAGATTGGATATTGGGGTGAGCTTGGCAATTAGATTGGTAGGTTTTTTGATCTATTTAAGCTATGTCTGGACCGAGGTTTGCCTGTTCAAGTTCCGCGGATGAGATACCGAGCTGTTGATCTGGTATTGGGAGTGGGCCAATTAGACGGGACGGGATTGAGGAGCGTGGGGAAATCTGGGGAAGACACGTGAGCGATCTTCGTGGGGTTTACCCTGGAGGATTGGGTTTAACGGTTCTGGTGAATGAATCGCCATTTGGGAGTGAATGATGAATAAATTGGTAGATGTAGCCTGTATTTACTGATGTCATTCTATATCGGCTATTGCAACGCAATAAATGCAGGTACAGACTTCAAGGTTCCAAGATTGAGATACGCGACAAACTCAAATTGATTTGCCCTCCAACGAATTACGTCAAAAATGAAAAGTCTTGGTGTGAAACTTTATTACCTGTAATAACTTTTGACGATAATGATCGCAACGCGTGAAGCGAAAATTCAATTGAGTGCTGCAGAACAGTATTATACTTCACGGAAAGCAGCTGTCGTCACCAGATTGTGCTGAAAGATGGGCAAAAAAATGTGGTTCCGCCCGGGATCGAACCGGGGACCTTCTCGGTGTTAACGAGATGCCATAACCAACTAGACCACGGAACCGGGCTTTAGCTTTAATTGGTTGAAGAATGGTGCGCCAATTAGAGCTCAAGTTGCTGCGACTCATAACACGGATTGGTCAGGCTTGGTCGGGTTATGTTTTTCAACGTTGAAGGCTATCGAGTTTTCAACGTTGCTGTGTCAATTAGAGATAGATAATTGTAGTGTATAGGGCATCGTAAGAAGAATATCAATTTTATCCATGACCTATGCCTTGATTAATATCCACCATTGCCTGTAACGCCTGTGATCTGCATACGTTTACCCCACCAAGTCCAATAATTTCATTACCATTCTGGTATAGCATCAATTTCACCCCAACTCCATTAAACCGGCAGCCTCGTCTTGGCCCTACTCAACGTCTCAGCACACCTCCTCGCAATATCACTCTTCTTCCCCAAAATCCACAAGATCCTGATACACTCCTCCCCCCTCCCCAACCTCTCCTCCAACTCCTCCCCCGCCCTATCAACCTGCAACAGCTCATTAACCTCGCCCATCCAATAATTCGCCGCCTTTGAAAACGCCCGTATCAGAATAACCGTCCACGGTTCAGTGAGAATCATGCACTGGTTAATAGCGTGGTGAAATTCTGAGAGTGTTGGCACGATAAAGGTGCTGTTGTCCGGGGCGGTCACGCGCGCTAGGTCGGATAGCTCTCGGGCGCTGCGCTCGCGGATCCGCATCACCCATTTGCAGTTGGAGCGGGATTGGCTCGGGGCGGGAAGGCCGAGGGCGTTTTCGTCGATGTGGTGGATTAGATCGGCGAGAAGGAGGACGCCGAGGTTCCAGTGGGCGCAGATGCAGATGAACCAGCTTTGGATGCGCCCTGGGATGGAGTTGTAGTTCTGAAGAAGTTCTCGGAAGAATGTGCCACTGAACAAATTAGTAAAAGGATAAGAGTCAGAGGTAGTGCGGACTTACTATGTCGTGTTCCAGTATCGATAAACCCTTGCAGAGCGTTCAATAAACTCCTCAACCTTCTCCCCAGATTCTCCCTGCCTCAATAAATTCTGCAAATATGCGACATGTCGAAACATCAACACCTTAACCGGCGCAGATCTCGTAACCGCCTCAGCAGCCTCTTCATACGAACAAGGCCAATGGACATTCTGCCTCGGCTTCTCAAGGCTATCCTGAATAAACAGCGGAACATTCCAATCCGTATCACCACGCGCATCATCATGCTGACTATTCGCATCCACCACAACAAGCGGTCGCTCACTCATCGTCGAACTGACCGTATCAAACATGACAGTCAACCAGTATAACAAACTCACGGTCCCGGCGTCTTCACTGCTCATTGATGCCACGAGGTTGGCGCGCTTGCGGCCTTTGGTGAGACCTTTTCGCTCAGCGTCGTACCGGTATTTTAAAGTGTGCATTCTTCGGGCCGCGCGCTCCATGAAGATTGGTGGACCGTCGTTTTCGATAATGCTGGCGATTTCGTCGGCGACGGACTGCATGTCGTATACGTCTTCGAAACAACCTGATGTATCTACATCGCTGTGCTCTGTGTCCTCGGGATCAAGAGGTTTTTGCGTAAGACCGAAGATCATCTCAGCGCAGACGACGCGGTAGGACTCAACGTCTGCGACGTCGTCAAGAGCGCGTCGTGCTTGATCCCAGATATTGCGTTGGAGGTGTCGATCGAATTCCTCCTTGAAATCGTCCATGTACTCGTTCAGTGGGTTCTCCTCTGCGATGTCATCAAGCGAGGGATATCGTTCTCTGTGTCGTCGTGAACTTTGAGCCCATTGCGTCGCGAAAGCCATGATACAGAGATGAAGAGCCTTGGCAGTCGCTGAATCCTGTTGGCGGGTCATATGAATCAATTGCGTTGATTGAGCTACACGATCGAGGTTCATGGTGCGTCGCAGAACTCGATTCGTCCATGAGGATCCCCATTCTGCAAGATTCCCTGGTTGAGACACGGTCTTCTGCTGCCGACCGAATGGACACGTAACTTCATTCAACCAACACGATAAATTATGTTCCAGCACATCGTGATAAATCTGTAAAAGGT